GGTAAAGAGGTAGAAAGTTGGGTGTGGATAATTCTTCTTATGTTTTTGACTTCCATATATTTTTGAGGGAATCAATTAGGATCATAGGAAGAGACACTATATATAACGGATTAGGCGCTAAAATGAATTCTACCATTGGATATATAAAAAACTATATGTGAATTATTTCTTTTTTTAATGATCTGTGAATGTTGTAACGCTGTCGAAATAGAAGACAAAAGCTGCAGTCTATTTTTATTTTAAAATTGCGACGCTCGAAAAAGGCCGATTAATATTTATTATTAGAACACTGTGGGAATACAAATTTGTGTGTCCACATCCTATAGTGTAATTTTTTATTGTTCAGTGTTCTTTCATATAATGTCTATAAACCAAGGCCATATACCGTTATCTTCTTTATGTTTCTACAACAGATTAGAGACTGTATAAAGTGATAACAAATAACTGCCATGCATAAATGCTGTTGAAGTGGTAGAGTGAGCCCCTTTTTTTTTTTTTTTTTTTTAATAAATCATAATAATAATATTTAAGAATTACAAAGTGAGCATTTAAGATTTTAGACCAGATTTGACTCAAATTTATTATAGAATATGACTATAATAGCGAACATTATTACTGAAATGTATCATATATTGAAGCTAGCTACCTAGATTAATAGATAAGTAATGTATCTGAACAGAGTTCTCGACTATAAGATTCTCATTAGGTATGATCTACCCTTTTTAGTAAACGAAATAACCAATATTACGATGCAACTTGCACCCTATTCGTCAAACTCGTACAGAAGATATAAGCTCTGGAGCATGCCTGGTTTTATATTGCTTGTTTAGACCAACTGAGTATACCTTTTTTTGATTTTTTTTTGAAGAAGCCACGCAAAGCTTTCCAGCATTAACATGACCTAGAGCATTAATTTCTTATTTTAAAAAAAAAAATGCTTAAAACACATATATGTCATAAATAATAGACTCAAAAACATGAGATTCTCTCTTGTCTATTGGAGAGGCTCTCAAAATTGTGTGTGTAAGACCCAGAGCGTAGTCATAAGTCAGAATGTGACATCAACGGAGCGCATTACTCAACAATCTAAAAACAATTGTTGGTTGCAACGTCAATTAAAATCACATTCGCACAAAAACATGAGACTCTTCTCCCGGACGTGGTGCTCATGCAATTGCTTTTTTATCCATTCTCAATATAGAATAATTCTCATTTAATATTGGCGCTATCGCCAATTACTGAATGAACGCCCTTATTTGTTGCATCAAGTTTTCAGTGTGACGTGTTTGATGTTGCAAGCTATTTTTCCCAATCTAAAACTAGAACCACAAGAATACGTTCGCTTGTAAGAATCCGTTTTTAGGGTTTTGATTTTCATACTTTGACACTATTGTGTTACTTAGTACCAGACGCACATATATTCGAGAGACTGAATCTGCCCTCTCCATCCACTAAGAATCGTACAATGGTTAATATAGAATAGGATTCTCACATTTCTAGTTAGCTTTACGATAATTTAACAAGTATGCTAGGTATACACAATTAATGTGTGTATAGGATTAGTTCTTTTAAGGACTTATTAAGGTGTCTTTTTAAAGATTTAATCATTCTTTGTATAAAATATAGTATCTCTCATGGCCATTGAGAAAGCTCCAAAGATAGCTATGAGGGTACCGGTGTTGAAACTGTCGCATTAAGCTCATAAATTGATTTGGCACATGGCTTCCTACAAGTGTGGTGCACATAGACGTAAAGCAATATAAGATAATAACTCTTGTAAATTTCGTTCAGATCACATTGGTTAACATGAAAAATAGCTGTGCTCAGATGGAAACAACTCCCGACTCATGGATTGCTCTCATTGCACTAAACATATACGTGTTGAATCAGAATAATCGATGAATATCTAAGCGTAGCAAAACTTCTACCGGGATCCAAGTTTAGGTGCACCGATGTAATTTATCACTTGGGAGGAGTGAAATTTTTATTGCGTATGCAATTCTAAATGGAGCACAGGGCCATCTGCACGCGCGCCAGGCGAGATAAGCCATGTCCAAACATACATATATCCACCAAAGTGCCACCTTATTATGGGGCCTTTTTGGGAATTGTTAAAGATCTTACACCTGCAAGGCTCGAAATCTCTAGCACTCACTAAGAGACATGATACATGACCAAGCATGATTTTCAATTTCGCCTCTAATCACTAACAATGTAAAAATTCGCTCAAGAACTAGAATTATTACTTTATTTTGTCTTCATAATAATGTTGTGTTCAGGTCTCATACATTTAGGTGCAGAAAGTTCACGACTCCGCAATTATTGGGTTAAAAAATACATTCGATGGTAGATCGGTGACCATGCTCTCTCCATATAGAAAAAGGGAGGTGAACAACAGATTTATAGAGAAAAATTATAATAATTATAAGAGAGTTGCATAATAGACAATTCTGAATGACACTATACAAAAAGCAAAAGGAGAGCAAAATAAGCATGTACGTCTCACCACAAAGATCAACAATAACCAGTCACTTTAGAAAAAAGATTTGTCCAAAAAACGTGCGCTGGGAGACCCCAATCAGATGCCTAAGAAGAAAACGAAAACGCACGACTCAATTAGTAAGTAGAGCATTGTGATAGAGAGGACCTCTTCTCTAATACCAAAAAAGGGAAGACATCACTATTGCGATACTATTTGGAACCAGGAGGCTAGAGATAACAAATAAAAAATGTACATGCATGTATGCGTTGTTATTATATCATACCAATAACAGGAGAACATCTATCATGTAAGAACTATCGAAACATTAAGAATAAGCAATGAGTAAAAGCAGAAGATATTGAGCCTAAGACTTGAGGCACAAGGAAGCTAATTACAAAGAGCTTCTTACTCAAACGTAGCAGTTGGATTAAGATACCTTTGAAGAATTCATTTACCCCAGGCCTATAGCAACCATAGAAATATAAAAGAATATACTGTGATGTTCTATGAAAACTAGACACTTTGAGAGTGCAACAAAAAACGATGAAAATAATAAATCAAGAGGGCTTCTTTAAAACTAGAAGGTGGTGAGAGACTTAGTACCTTGTGTGGATTTATCAGAATTTTTGAGCCCCTCCCCCTCCCCCCTTCTCGACCCCCCCCTGGCAAAAGCCCCCTCCCCGCTGCCGGAAAGCTCTAGTATGTAATAGTTTTTTAGCCCAAGCTCTTCTGTTTTTTATTTGTTTATGCACCTTTACTTATAGGGGTTAATATTTTTTTTTTTTTTATATTTTTTTATTATTTTTTTTTTTTGAAAGAGTGCTTTCTATAGGTTAAATAGACCATATAATTGAACAATTGTAATGTCGTTGGTCCTTTAGCAACAATTTGAGACATTAGGTTAAAATACTTTGGTCACTATATCTTTTTCATGTTATTCACTACGTTCGAATTTCAAGTGTAATATTATTCTTTTTTTTCTTATTTTTCACATGATATGTCTAAAATATAACTATTGGTTACAATTTGATTACACATTGTAACAAGCTTAGTTGTTTCAATGATTATGAATGTGTTGCCCCAGCTCCAGAAAAAGATCTATTATATCTAATATTTACTGTTTAAATAAAATAAGCGACCTACATCTTGAGCTGATTCACTCTAAAAAATGTGATTATAGAAATGAATCTAGTATTATGTCTCAATAATAGTCATGACATACTAGAACAATTTATAGGACTTTTAAAATACATAACAATTATGCACGCTCGATACCTCAACATATGCCTACTGCGCTTTCCTACAAGTTCACTTCATATGGACCTTTTACTGATTATATGAATATAGTCTCATTAACTGGAATGACAGTCAATTAATCACGAGTCAACAAATAGACATGATAATTGAATCACCAAATAAACAAACTTGAAAGTCGTTCCAATATCTATATCCTGAACATAATTAAGTAACAAAGGAGCTTTTTGGCTATATTTTTTTGTTTTATATTTATTATGCGTTCGGCGGTGTTGGTGCCAATTCTAAAATGAAAAGCACTGATATACACCATACAAGTTTCTTAAAAATTGTAAACATTGTACGTATAGATCCATGATAAGGTTTTCCTCATTTCATATTTATTTTGCGTCATGCATTGAAAAGACCACTTATAACTGTACAGCTGAAACCTAATAAATATTGTTTACGCCTACTACTCATTTTTTTTTTTTTTTTTTTTTTTTTTTTTTGAAAGAGGCTTTCTATAGGTTAATAGACCAAATATGTAATGTCGTGTCTAGCAACAAATTGAGACATTAGGTTAAAACTGTCAAATTCTTTCAGATTCACACGAATTTCAGGGATATATTCATATTATGTATGTAATTTTAATGATACATTGAGATGGCAAGATAAGCATGTGTTGCAAGCTAAAAGATCTCATATTACTGTATAAAAGACCCTATCTGAGCTGCCCTCAAATGTATAGAAGATATTGTCTCAAAAGCATGTCTGAACATAGGACTTCAACATAAAATAGCTCGAACTCAACATTGTTGCTTCCTACAAGTCATGGACTAGATATTAATATAGTCTCAAAACGGAGTATCAAGCAACAAATAGACAGATATTGAATCAAAACTATCGAATTCTTCCGAAGTTGTACAGATTTTGGATATTAATTATATGGCGTGTGCAATTCTAAATGAAGCCTGAAAACCACAAGATAAACATGTACGATAGACCAAAAGGTCCCATATTGTCATGCAAAAGACCCTATATGAGCTGAATATTTTACGTACATAACATACTGACTAAAAAGCAAGCCTGAGCACAAGGCTTCTTAGATCAGTGGGTGTACTTTTGGAAACTCATGAAGAACTTGAAAATCTCAAAAACTTACTGAAAATGATACATGTAATGGAACTCATGAAGAATTTCATTTATGAATTCCAATTTTCTCAAGGATGCCAAAATACTCGAGCCCTAGGCAGGTCGGCAGAGAGTATTAAACACTGGAAAATAGACCTATGCACAATTGAAAAATTAATCAGATTAAATCTGATTATAGACAACATTCTTTTGTTCCTTTTTTCCATGCCCATGGTTGAAGAACAATTACACTTGAGATCTTAAAACATGCCGAGCAGAAATAAATAAAATTTACAGGAAAAAAGTACAAAGACAATGAAATAACTACCATTCCTAGCTTAAAAAATCAATCTCTAGACCAAACTTAGGTCAGAGTATTCAATAACAAGCAAACAAGTAAAATAGAAAAAAATATGAGTAAGGTGACTTCTGCGAGACAACACTCTTGTAATTAAATGAGGCGCCCATAATTCCCCCACATTCTCAAACTTCTTCAACCTATAAACAGAAAGCGATATCTTTAAAACCAATTGAAGCATCCGCAAACCAAACAACAAAAAGGAAAAAACAAATGGGAAAAAAGTCAAAACTATTTTATTGAACTTAATGTTGACTTTGAATGACCTGAGGGAGACGCATCAATTCAAGAACAGCCTTTTTTGGGGTTAGTTCATTATCTATGATCCGCGCAACTGCTGTCAAAACTGGCATCTTAACATTATATTTCTGAGCTAATGCAATCACAGCTCCTGCCGTTGATACACCTTCTGCTACCTATAGAAATATAGGCATTGCATATCTATATGAATTAGCAAACTTTTAGCTATCAATGGATAATGGATACACATATTTACAAGCACCTGATTCATGGAACATAAAATATCATCAAGCTTCTCCCCCGAACCAAGACGCAGTCCAACTGTTCTATTTCTTGAAAGATTCACAAAACATGTAAGCATAATGTCTCCTGTTCCTGACAGTCCCATAATTGTTGCAGGTTTGGCACCCATCTTAGGGAATCAAAGTGAAGGAAGATTATAAGGAGACAACCATACAATCATTTAGGACAACAACATAGAGCAAAATGACCAACTAGAAACTTAATGAATTTAATATAGCTAATACTCATAAGAAGATAATTATTAGGAAAAAGAAAAGGCATGAATCAGGGATGTAAAAGTCCACTTATAGGCCAGCTCATGCAATTTCAAGTACATTAAGAAATTATTTGTCAACTAATGTTCTTTTCATAGAAAGAAAACATGAAAGACCATCAAGGTGGACATGATAGACAAGAATGAGCACATCATTTTAATCCTATAGTAACAAGTGAGCACACAATTAACCATAGTTATCCTCTACATTAAGCATCTGACACGCCTGAGCCTATATTCTCCGATTTTTTAGATAGACACCTAAACACGGCCTAGAACTTCGCAAAAGTTCTTCTACAGCTACTCTTTCCCACTTTTCTTCTTCAACCAACAGTGATTGATAACCATCATTAAAAGATAGTTTTTGCTTGTTCCATCTAGGTGTTACCATCAAAGAGGAAGCTATTAAAAATATTAATCTTGCCCAAGATCTCCTAAATAGTGAGCAAACCACACATCTTCCAGTCAAAAAGGAAAACAAAAACAAAAACAAAAATCAATTCACTATTTGGGCAAGAAATGGCTAATGAAGGTGCAAAGAACAGATAGAACACCTTTGTAGCTAGCCATCGAATCTCAGAACAACCTTGTGCAACAAGAGCTGCCATAGAATTATTACCAAGATTCATTCCTTCCACAATTCCAGCTGCTATAGCAAGCACATTTTTCAGTGCGCCTGCAATTTCCACCCCTGTGACATCACTGGAGTTTATCAGAGGTTACAAACTGAGCATAATCACTTGTACATATTTTCTAAACTTTGCATACAATAAGCCATTACATAATTTGGCTAAGACTAAAAGCAGGGTTTTAGAAGATAACTACCGTATCAGAGGAGATACATAGAAGTCAATATAGAATATCGAGATTTTTTTTTTTTTAAAGAGATCAACTTTGAAAGCATTACCAGAAATCTAAACGTGTTATTTTCATCAAATTAGGATTATGATTATCACATGTAATCCAAAGTTTTATTTCCTGCTTATTTCCTTCAGCATATTGTTCAATCAAGCCTCATCATACATCATATATCATTCAAAAGTACATAAATAATTCGACCAATAATTGCAAAGCGTGTCCCCAAATGTTGACTCTATGCATGCATATGCACCCATGAGAGAGAGAGAGAGAGAGTCACAGAAAAAAAATCAATTTCTACATATGGAAGACACCATCAGATTATTTTGTAAAATTCATGAATATTCTATACCTTGAAGTGCTGATCCTTAAATGAGAAGAAGCTAATAGCTGTTGAGCAGCATTTGCCAATTTTTTGTCCTTTGATGCCACCACCATTGCTATAGAGGCAAAGACAATAAAAAGAGGAAAAGTTAGTTAATACTACAACTAAATAATTTAAGTTGACGGCAAAGTTTATTGAGTGTGAAGAAGTCACCTGTTGGTAACTTATTCATCAATTCCAGCGCAAAAGAAGGTCCAGAAAGTGCAACAAAAGGCTGGCGAGAATTCTCGAGTGCTCTGGGAATAATCTGAGACATCATCCTCAATGTGTTGAGCTCCAAGCCTTTGCTAAGGGATATAAAAGGCAAGCCCGGATCAACAAATTCTGCAATTCCCTTCAGAAATGATGAGCTAGACTGCAGAAATTTTAAATAGTCAAGATCCAGAATGGGATAGCTGCAATTTTCTAATGATCTTTTGATGTCAGCTCAAATAGAAATTGATAAATGCGATAAACACACAGCAGAGGGAATGAAAAGACCTGGACAGGGACAGCATGAAGGCAGTAGTCTGCACCAAGCAAAGCAGTTTTAGGATCAGTCGAGGCAATCACATTGTCAGGTAGCTTGTGTTCTGGGAAGTATTTGCTGATAAAAAGAAGTTAGACAAATATCACAAGCTTGCATCTCACAAGCAGTAACTCTCAGTGAGGTGTGAGACGACCAAAAAAATAAATGTGGGAGTAACTGCATATATATGAGACTAAAAAGTACCAATTGAAGTGGTTATCATTGATCGATTGACACACTAAAGGATCACGCAGAAGCATGTGAACTTCCAAATCAGCCTTTCTATTAGCAACATGGGCAGCCATTGCGGTACCAAAGGATCCACCTCCGAGCACCACTACCTACAAACAATTTTGGGTTTGCTAATTCTGGGTTTGCTCCGAAAATGGCCGCGAACATTCAAACAATTCAGATATTGAACTTCAAAATTAGAGAAAGAAGGTACCTTGTTGGTGCTTTGGAGGACATCGGTTCTGCTTCTGGAGCGCCAAGAGCGAGACCATCGGACCAGCTTCTCCCAGGCAAGTCGAACAATTTTCCGGCGATCCCGAAACGGTTTTTGTGAATTGGGATCAGTGCTTTCCCCTGCCGAGTTTTTTGGAGAAGGTGGAGTAGGAACACTTGAAGAGGCAGAACAAGGAGTGATGGTCACAAATGTCTTTCTAGTGGACGAGGAAAAGAGCAGGTGGTTACAGTTAAACAAAGGTGGTGATTCCAAAAACGCCGCCATTGCTAATGAGCTAAAGTAGAGGAATTTGTACTGAAAAAGAAAAAAACAACAAAATACGCCGTGTTCTATCTCTTTCGACTATGAGAAGTATTGGTCATTATATCCGTTGGGGGCGACCGTAGAAGCGCGCGTGCTTCGGCTTCCTCCAACCGTTTGGTTCTTTGTTTGTGCTAATACATGCGGCAGAGTACAATACACCAATTCACATATCATGCCAAAGCCATACCAATCAGATAATATGGCCATACCATATGGGGGTTTTATCTATGGGCCAACTGAGTGGACAAGATGGAAAATTTAAATGGGCCTTGTAGCCCATTTGTAAAATATTTTTTTAAATATTTATTAATTTCAAGGGTACTCATGGCTTTCCACTGTGAAATTAATTTCGTCCCGAAATTATAAATCATAATTGTGATTTTGAAACCCATAAATTTTGTAAAATGTGTAAAGATAAAGATAATATGTATTTTCTTTTTTTTTTTAGTTTATAGAAAACTACAAACAATATTATAATTATTACCTAAAAATATTAAAAATTTCTTATCTATATCCGGTGTATAAGTGATCTCATATATTAAACTAATAAAAAAAAATAGTTTGAATCAAAATATTATTTATAATTAATTTAACTTATAAGTGGATTCATATACTAGATATAAATAAGTTTGTCTGTAAAAATGTTGACGAGAAAAGTATGCTAACTAGTCTAATAAGTAATAATAATTAGGGGTGAATAAAAGGTCCGTTCGATTTAAATCAAACCGAATCAAGTCCAAAAAATATAAAACCAAAGTTTTTGGACAGCAGATCGAACTGAATGAAATTCGCATCTGAGCTAAATCTTTTCAAACCGAACCAGTCGGTTCGATCAGTTTTGATCAGTTTTTTCCATATCGCTCAACCAAAAATTTCTATAAAATTCAGTTCAAACGAAATAAACCGATAAAGCGATCCTCCCTTAGATAGCTGACCAAACCGAACCAAAATAGATTGATTCGATTTTTGGTTCGTTCGGTGGGTTTGCACGCCCCTAATAATAACCATTGATGTTAACTGTTAAGGGACGAAGAACAGCACTGAACTTACTAGAAATAAAAAAACAAAGCAGTAATATAATTTTTATTGGATAAAAGAGCACCAAATGCACACGCAAACGACACGCAGTGCACGCGTATGCAGACGGACCAAACTATTGACTACCTACATCCTTGTAAGTTGTAAAATGTAACAAAACAAGCTTGCTTCTCCTCTGAGAAAAGCCTCTCATTCCCCTCCATACGAATACTCTCCACCCCGACATATTTATTACAAATATTCTCTTTTTCCTCAACTTGGGATCTTTACATGTGTATGCTTTTCTGTTCTTCTCTTCTCTGATTTTCAGCCTTCCAAGATAAGGTAAAATTTACTTGTTCCATATATTATTTCCTTGTTTTCATTAATCTTTTTAATTGATTTCAGTCTTGAAGATGAAAAAGTTGGTTTCTTCTTGGTTTTAGGTGATTACTGCATAATTTGGATGAGAAACCATCATGATCTTGGTCATGGCCAGCGGCAAATTATGAATAATAAGAGGGGGAGGAGAAGAAGAAATAAAGAAAATAAAAGTCCATGCATGGCTTGTTGTTGCTGCCCTTTTCTTTTGGTTTCTTCAATAGCTAAAAGGTTCAGTAGATGTTTGTTTGTGAGTTGTTATCCAGTTTTACAGTGCTCTGGTTTAGATGAACATAGACACCACCATCACCACCACAGGCATTTCCATTGATTCCAAAGAAAAAAAAAAATGAATCTGTCGAATTTCAACTTAATTTTCTTTTTTTCCTTTTTTTTTGGGTAATTTATAATGCAAATATACATATTGTAATGTATTAAATTAAGAAGGTTAATATATGCAAGCTTAACTATTTATTCAATATTTTTTTTTTCTTGATTTGGAATGAAAAAATTTAGTTAATGCAGAAGTCAGTAAGCTTTGAACAAAATCAAGAATCAAAAATCAGTTTGCTTTGAAGCTAAAGCAAGTTGAGATCTTCTTCTATTCTAATAAGTAATAACCAATGTAGCTTCAACACAGCTCATAGCCTCCTCTAATCACCCTCCCTAATTTTTAGTCTTCATAGGTGCTTTTTTTCTAAAAGAAACACATATCTGTGGTTTGATCAGCTTCTGCAATTCATTAAATCAAACTTCAGTTTCTTCACATCTGATAGTTTGAGAGGCTTTAGCATGAACATCTGAGCTCCTTCCTCTAAACACCTGCTTAATTATTTCATATCATTAATGAAGCCTTTAAAACAAGAAAAGATTATATACACAGAGCAGAAGAATTAAGATTAAACATATAATTACTTTTTAATTCGAGTTGGGATGTTCTCAGATGACATAATCACAACTGGAACCTCCTTCAAGATTGATGATTCCTGTTTTGCAATATAAATTTAAATAAGTAAACATGAATAAACTAACTTAAAACAAAAACTACTTGCTGTTTTAATATAGACCTTAATTTTCTTGAGCAGTTCATAGCCTGTCATTCCTGGCATACAATAATCTGTGATTATCAAATTAACCTTTGAGACCTGAAAACAAAATAATAATATGTTAACCTAGGAATTAATGTTAATTTTAGTTTGGATTTGTAAGAATCATGTAAAAGTTGCTTACATTTTTCTCTAAGGTCTTCCTCTCATCATCTCCTAAGCCTAAATACTCCAATGCCCTTAGCCCATTTTCTGCTGTGGTAACTGCAGAAGCAAACTCATACATTTCATTTAGTAACTATAATTTCAGACTAATGCCTCAAATAATTAAAAGGGCACCAGAGAAAGAGATCGATTACCTCTGCAAGAAGAGTTCTTGAGCAATTTTTCAACGAGTTTTCGGTCAATAAGATTATCATCAACAGCTAAAACATGTGGTTGATGATCTCCATAGTCTCCCAATATCTTATCCATTGATGAACAAAACTCACGACTACCCCCACCATCCATGTATACACTAATTAATAAACAAGAAGAATGAGCTGAAGCCTATACGTAACAGAAGAAGCAGTGCAAGAAAGGTGGTTGCAGGCTACAATATAAGCAGTGCAAGAAAGGTGGTTGCAGGCTACAATATATATATATTACTGTAATAAAATTCTTGTAATAAAAGAAAAAAATTTAAATCCAACAAACTCACAGGAGATGTATGAACTAATATTGGTGAGTTTTTATAGTGAGAAACCAGAAGAAATGAAATGGGTAGGTGAGCAAATTAAAAATTATAAAGAAATTTTAGACAAAAAGAAATGGAGAGGACAGAAGAGAGTATATATTATCATGTGTTAACAGTGATATATATATTGAGAGAGAGAAGAGAGGGAGGGAGATAATATATCACAGATATTTCGTGATCCTTCTTGGGTTTCTCTTTGATTTGGTTCAATCATATCACGTAATTCCAAGCTTTGTTTCTCTATGTGTAAATATGTACAGAATCACAATTAATATTCAGTATCTGTATCCTTCTGGCTTCTGCAAGATCCTCACTCTGTCGATATAAGCACTGCATTTCTTGAATTTTTGGACCACTCTGTCGATATAAGCACTTAATTTTTTCTTTTCTTTTGAAAATAAACTTTTTATAAGTTTCTCTTATTTTTTTTATAATTTTTTTAAATCATGCATGGATGTACCATTTTTCTACTTCTCCACAGCATTATAGTACTGAAGATTTGATATTTCGAACCCATAATTTTTGGCAGAAAGTACTCCAAGCAGTCCATCAATGACTAATGAAGTTTCATTGAAGATTTCATTCACATTCGCAAGGCACGATCTAATTTTTCACTATAAAATCTTATATGCACAACTGGACAGATATGCTTAATAAAATTTATCCATTTTTAAATAAGGAATTTTGTCTTTTTTGAAGAATATAATCTGCTTAGTTTGATCATACAAAGTACTACGGATTGTAGAATCTGCAAACATTTGTTAATTAGATGAATTATTATGAAAATAAAATCCATTTTGATACTCTTACTATGATACACAAATTTTGAGCATCAAATCATATAAATAAAATATAATATTAGCTAAAGCAATCACATCCCTTCTGATTCATAATCATATTCCATAAAATTCCTATTCGTATCTTGTATTTTCTACAATTTCACAGGTAAACTATGATCTGATATAATCTTGCTGTAAGATGATATCGCTGACCCTTCTGCATTCGACTCAATTCGATGTCTATTTCCTGTCTGGTCAAAATCCTAGAAATTTTTACCGGACTGCAATTCTCTCATGGATAAGCATGCAAAGAGAATTATTTAACCTGCATAGAATTTTGCACAAGATGGGCAACACCGTCCACGACTATATTCATCCATTCTTATTAAGAAATCCAAGGAAAAGTACTGCCCTCAATGCACTTAATAGTTAAGACCCATAACACCCATAAATAAGAGAAGCAATACCCACTTATGGCCTTTGCATGCATGAACAAGAACAACTATATGCCCATTCACAGCATAAATGGCCAGCCAATCTGCAAAACAGAATTGCACGTGGCTTTGTCCTGTCATGAAAAATCTGGGCAAAGAGGATTCTGAGAAAGCTGCAAGAACGATAGACCATCTTAAAATATACATGTTCCCAAAAATCAAGCATGGACAAGATAACAATTTTTGCAAGCTGCAATGATTGAAAGAAGGATGCCTATTATTAATGCAAAAAGGAAAAATGGAAGCGAGGGAGAATGGGCTTACACTAATACATCAATTGCATGAGACAACAAATTTTCTGTTAGGTATGATATACTAAGCTGATAAAACAAAAACACCTTGAATTCTCTGTAACATTAGATTCCGTATGAATATGAGAATCTCTGTACATTTGATGTTACCATATCATTCAAATATCTTTTCATACCAGACAACAAATAGAGATTAGGGCTAAAACTAAGATAAGAACCAGGAACTAAAGGTACATTGTATGCGAGATCCAAGTGATCATTATTATTTGATGCTTGCCTTTGGAATAGATGATGTGCACGGCCCGCCAGATGTCATAAATGGTATTCCCTTATATGTGGCCACACCCTTGTCATCAGTGAAAAGATTCTGCACCCATGAAACACATGAATCAGAAACTGGTATTCAGAGCGTTCATACAACAAACTAGAAGAAAAAGCAATAATTGCACAAGTGATGACCACAACATTAATGGTACAGTATGAGAACCCAGTTCTGTCCCACCTATCAGAACTGTCCGATCACCTCTTCTAAGATAACAAGCTCTCAAGACAAAAAAAATGTTGAAGTGCTACTGTTTCATAAGCTTGTGAGAGGAAATCAAACAAAAACACAAGATTTGCTGTGATGCCTTCAGCATGTGCCATATCTACTAGGAACGAAATATGGCAGGTACAGTTATTAAATTTTAACAGTTGGCATCAAGGCATTGTCATATCATCTAATCAATGGATAATTAACTGCAGTGGGCCACAAAACAAAACAAAAAACCACATTTGTCCAACTACCGACCAATTCATTTTCCCACAGTTTATCTGAGTTCACTGGAAAATGATCCTAATAAGGTGATTGAATGGCTCAATTCGAGGTCCAGGTTAAATTCATTGCCAATGCCACATAAATGACCAAGGAGCTCATAACAAAAATATTGGAAGTCCCAAGCACATACCGGCGTTATTTTGTCCAATTGCTTCTTTTTTGGATTTAGCACATCTTCTGGCTTACCATCAATTCTATGAAATATCGCATTCAAAAACATGAGAACAATTAGTTTCAGCAGCAAAATCAAGGAATTTTTCAGCAATGCAAAAGGAAGCAAATGAATACAGATAAACATCATAATCGGCCAGGTAAATGCATGCATATTAACCATTTATATATGGCACTGTTATTGTTTTCTACTCTTATAATGGCATAACTTGCTAGTTACCCAAAAAAAGAGCAAACTCCAAGGAGTTGGAAAATATACTGACCAGCAATATTGCAAGAGACAATAAACTGATTTTTCTTTTTTTTGTTAACCAAAAATGCATCCAGAAATGGCAACTATTTTCCATAACTATGGTACTAGTATATCACAAGGAAGACAAAATATGCTTCCACTATCAAGTAGCATGTAGCAAATACTAAACTAGCTACCAGCATATTTCAAAGTATGCTTTACAGTTTACACATTCCCCTCCAGAAACAATTCAGGTATTAAATTATTGTTTTAGCTTTAAGTAACTTCTGCATGCTTACCCTGAAAATGAGATGCGTTCTCCAATTTTAGCACCTTCTGGAGGGAGCAAAGGCTCTACAACAGAGTGATCTTCATTAGAAGCACAAAGTACCTGAAAAATTACAAAGCATACACATGAATTGTTATTTCCCGTTACATATAATTTAATTGCGTTGCACTAAATAAGTTAAATAAATAATTAAATTGCAAAATCATAAATATTCACCTATCTCTATATTATAATTAGAATTTAAAAGTATACTTCTTAGGATCAAAAGTTTGGAACACGAGAACTGAAAACTTTGAGAGGGCTAAAATTGAAACCAATAAAAATTGAAGTCATAATTTAAGGTACTTGAAAATAATTTTGGAAGCTAGGGGACCATGGCAAACCTAGCCTCCCTATCTGACAATGGTTAGGACTATCATGTCAACAAGGTGATACAGTATAACAAAGAATTAACTGATTGCAATTTGCAACCTATCGTAAATGGGATCTTTTGGTGACAAGAAAACATGGAAACTGCGAATTTTTCACAAGTGGGAATTCACAAGCACTAAAGCACATTGTCATGCTCAAACCAATGACTTAAAAATCTCATCCTAGCCTCCGAATTACAATAAGTTTTATCCATATCTATGCTTTTAGAACAGGAGAACAGCATCAACTGTATTCTGTATGACCATTTCCATAATAATTCCATTGAAGAGGTGCAGCAACAATTTTCCCCAAGATATTATTACAAGCAGTAGAATAATACTACCAACAAGACACCAATCATATAATCCATAAAGTGTATCCAGAACAGAAAAAATAGATCTTGAAACAAAAGCACAAATTCAATTGTACCATTAACTTTTACTGAAACATAAACAGCATCATTGCTTTATTCATAAAGGAATGAAAATGTCAAGAAAACTTGCCAGTCCTTCCGACATTACGTCCCGCAGCTTTCCAGATTTCACATTTGTTATCAGCACAACCCGGCGATTCTTTATAGAAAAGAAAACACAAACAAGAGCTATTAGCAAAATGGATTTTAGAACAGAACTCTTAAACAAAAAGTTCCCAGAAAAAGAAAGTAAATATGCATATCACTGATTATGTCAAGCAACTACATAAGAAATCATACCGTCAACTCATCTGGACTGCAATACTTTGCCAGACCACTGACCACCTGCCTCAATTTTGACTCCCCAACGTCAATCTCCTCGACCAATAAACTGAATTACAACATTGAAAAATTCATGAAAATTTTCTATTCATAATGTAACACTGCAAAAGTTTAGAGGCTTCAAAACTTAAAGCTACCTCAAATAGGACAAGCAATGAAACAGCTTTTCTAAATGAATATAATCTTGAAGGAAAGGAAAGACAAGTTGTCAGCTTACCTATCAGCAGATGGATGCTTCCATGCTTTGCGAATAAGGCCAACCTGTATATTCAGCAAACTAACGCTTACTTCTTTATCTTTCTCAGCTGGTTCTGTTTGAGGTGGTTTCTTTTTTTCTTGCTTAGCGTCCTTACTTTCTGTAACTTTTGCCTTCAAGGTAATAAAGTAACAAAGAAAACCATAAAACTATTATTGCAAAAAAAGTTTACTAAGATCATTACACAAGAGTAAGTAGAATAATAAAATATCCTAAGGCATATGAAGGCACACAAAAACTCAAATTTCTTTAAGTAACACAAAAAATTACAATTAACATATATATATATATATACAACTGTCAGATTCCTGCCAATGGCATAAAGTGCATGATGGTAAGTTGCTATCCCAATGGAATGAAGTAACTTGAGGTTAAAATTCCATAGATTTGAATATGCATGGACGGGTTCCTTATTTTTTCATGAAAATATAAAACATTAACTAGGACTATGTCAAATCTGTTAAAAGTATAGGAGGAACAAAGAATATAGTGGACATTCTGATAGTTCCATTGAATTCCAATCCTTTAATTAAAATTCCATGTGTCTGTATTAAGTAGCTTTACCATTGTGATATCACATCAAAATCCCATGGTACTGCTAACCACAATTCTAGTGGACAAAATCAAATTAAACAGATATAGACATTAGCTTATCTTGTCATCAAGATTAATACAAATGATTCAGGAAAAGACAAATAGCAATACTCAGTAATTTTTTGAATATGCCGCGGAAAGGGAAAAAAGGAAGCTTCTTCCAGCAACATGATCAAATGCAAGTACTAACATTAGTATTTCCACCGCTGTAACTGTAAACACTTGAAATAGTCCATTTGCATAGACCTTGGACAGTTATGGCATTCTGATAAGGTCTGAATTTAATGATTATCTTGGTTTACTAATCAGGAGGCATATTTTCCCTTATTCAAATATAAAATAATCTAACCTCCCCTTTCAGTCGAGTGGGATTCTCTCAGATTGAATGGTTTGACCTTTGCTTTTGGTTGCAGCCACCTAGGGTGGACGTAGGGTAGAGGGACGTTGAGTCCTCCATCTATATGGCTATCTTCTTATTGTATAATTATTCTCAGCCTATTGTGCTAAAACCTTATGACACTCTTCATATGAAATGGCAGACTTAGACAACTCATATAACATTGACTTCACCTAGAAAGGAACAAAGAATAAAGCTAGAAAAGGAATTACCCCAGCATCACTTTTCTTTACATTCTTGTCTGCTTCCGATTTTTCTGTGTTCTTTGTGTTTTGTGAAATCTTTTTAGCATTTGAATCTATTTCAGCCTTAGCTGCATCTCTTGCACCCTGCAACTAAATAAATATAAAATAAATAAGAACTCAATCAAAAGAATGTAATAATTTAATAAAAAAAAAGGGGGAAGCACAGAGATGTCCCAACCCAACATACCAAACATGCATCTCAATTACTCGCCAACCCTCAACCCTTCTTGCACCAAATTGCAGAATCAGTAATATAAACACAAAATAATTATATCAAGCTCACTCACCAAAGGCTCAAACAGAGGCTTCTCTAATAGTATCTTTTCAAATAGATCCACCAACTCTTCTTTATTCTGTCAAAATGAAACAAACAAACTAAACTCTTCCTCAAAAAGAAAACAAGTAATTAAGATTTCTTACAAAAACAAAATCAAAGACGGCCACGTTTCTAGGGCAGTTGTCTCAGGCTATTAACTAGAAATATGCACATTCAGGTTCTGATAAAAAGGAAAAAAAAAAAAAAAAAAAAAAAAGGAAAAAAAAAAACAAAAAAAAAAAAGTAAACGACAAAAACAGTTCCACAGATAAACCAGTGACGTGCATTCTTTACTTGAATCATTAATATAATGGTGCAAGTTTCTGAAATCTGCTTTCTAAGAAGAGATAAAGGGTAAACCAAAAATTTTCAATTGGGATGAAAATCCAACTGGATATAAAAAAAAAAAAAAAAAAAAAAAAAAGGTAAACGACAAAACAGTTCCACAGATAAACAGTGACTGTGCATTCTTTACTTGAATCATAGATATAATGGTGCAAGTTCTGAAATCTGCTTTCTAAGAAGAGATAAAGGGTACCAAAAATTTTCAATTGGATGAAAATCCAACTGGATTATAACCATTATCATATATAAAGCTATCTTACGTGGTAGGAACATAGTGGCTAAACTCAAACTTCAACTGAGAACAAGCAATTTTTCATTTGAGAATAAGACGACCACAACCAAATGTTACTTGAGTAATCATGATAAATAAAGCTGCCAAACATATTAGATTCAACCAGATCAGAATAATGCTGTTGCTGATGGGCCTAGCAGCCAAAGAAGAGAAATAAACAAGTCAAACTCAGAAACAAATCTTGTAGCTATAGAAGTTATGTTTTAGCAAAGAGTTTGTACTTCAGCAGCTCATGATAAAACATAGTGACTAAGAGGCATCCTTCCACAGGAAGTAACAAACTCCAAGAATAATCCAATAACATAAACTAGTAATTAGTAAGTGCCATTCCTAACCTGGATATAATCCATCCATCTCATAACATATGTCAACTTTTCTCTCTCAGAATGGGAAAGCCGAATCTGGAATAATTTAACCATTAAAGAAACATTAGAATTTCAAGCATATTCGTATAATACCATTAAGAAATTTTGCATTGATGAAGGGGAACAGCCTTTTTTTTTTTTTTTGACTGTAAATTCTGAATTTCAAAATGAGTTGTTCACACCACAAAGAAAATACCACCCCACCCCAAAATATTACATATCTTAAAAAGAAGGAAAATGAAAAAAATAAATTAATAAAAATTCACAAGCAAAATAACTTTGAGCAAAGCCCAAACATCATGGGAAGATTTGTATGCAGTAAAGTGACAGGACAATTCAGACCAGAAGAAGTTGAAAGCATACCACAGAAGGATGTACTACAGAAAACACTATAACATCAACCTCAGAGGGTGTCAATCCATTGCCCAAGATTACAGATTTAGGAGCTAACTCTTGATTTAATCTATTGAGAGCATCAAAGCATGCTTGTGAGTCAATAGGAAAACTTTCTGCAAATTCTATCCATTTCATCACCTGCAACCAAAAGATCATTTTCAGGTTGGGAATCAAAACTGAGCCGCAGAATGATACTCAAGCATAAGCAGTGGCATCAAAGCAACATAGTAACAATCACACACAAATAATTTAAACCGTACCTCATCATTTTCTTTCTGTGGCAACCATTTTCCAGATGACTTCAAAATGTTCGTGTACAAGCTCTTAATATTGTCCTCCCCACTGACCGAAGCTCCCTACAGAAATCAATTTCTAATTTAGCCACAAAATCTTAAAAGACAATAAACTTACAATTAGCAATCAGGTGAAAATAAAATTCCCAAATTTCACAACTCAGGCCAAGATAAACCATTTAAAATTCATCTGTACATGCCAGTCCAATGGTCTCTCTTTCATAAGTAATGAATGCAACATTAGTTAAAAGAACATAGAAATCGATGCAATGCAGCAAGAGCAGATTATTCAGAAGGTGAAAAACAATATTTCCATCAAATTTTGAACACCATTCTTCTTTTCCCCCTTACCCATTCCATTATTAAGAAAAGGAGAAGTGCACAAATAATTGTTTAAAGATGAAAATACAATAGATGTAAAAATGATGTGATCAAACACTAAGTAATCATGAAGTCATTAAGCAATCATTACCTATCCACTCAAAAATCAAAATTGAAGAACGCAGCTAAAACAAGCACACACCATAAGAATGTAAAAGCAATTCAAAGTTGAATAGTATTTGAGGCTTACATAATTTAAATCAAGGTGCTTGCTGAGAGCTGATGCTACCGTTTGCTTTCTTTTGAGACTGATGCTTTCATCAACAACTGCCATTACTTCGTGCGTTGGTCTTGCAATTTGTTTCACTTCTCTCGTCTTCAGAGCTCCAACACTCGCAGGTTACAGCTTACAGGCACAGAGCTTCGATAGGGTTTTTGTGGGTTTCACTCATGGGCTTCACCAGCCAACCCATACTCAGTATTGTTCAAACTTGAAACAGAAGTGCACAGCTCATTGAATCCAATCTCTTCCTTATACAGTAGCTGGATGGGCCGGTAATAGGCCCAATTTTAAACCCATAAATTAGTTTATTAAGCATGATCCAGTCACATACATACAACAATATGGTTGCCCTAAAGCACACTTTACATTTAGAACAGTCAGAAATACCATCATTTCAATAAAAATTTTTAATTTCATTAGAGTCATATGATCCGGTCTAGGTAAATTTATTTTTCTCGAATATACATATGCATGCCCAACAAACGGCAAGACGGAGAGAGCGAGGTTGCAGGCTAGAGTTTGATTACTTCATCTTTGTACCCGGTCTACTTGGTTGGGCTAATTGCAGCCATTAGAGTAGACAGAGCAAACTCTGCTGTAACAACTTACATTAAATATTTCATCTTTTTATCGAAAAAGGTTCGAAAATTAAGTTTTTTATTTAAAGGTTTTGGGTTCATTCTACTCAAACCAATCCTATTTGCCGCTTAAATTGTCTTTAAATGCATAATGTATTGTGTACTATTTAACTTCAAGTAAAAGAGTAGAGTAAGTATGGTAAATGTATTGTGCGAAAAATAAGTAAATTGCATTTAGTTGGAGGAGGCAAGTGTGCAATACGAATATGAAAGATAGCAAAAAAATTACACTAAAAAGAAAGAAAAAGGGGTCCCCTACTTTATTGAATAAGGCATCTCATGTCCCAATCCAATCTGCTGCTTCCCTGTTTGTCCAAGAAGAAGAAATTCCTGTGTATAGCTAGTGGAGTGCCAACTGTGGTTTTTTTTCTTTTTTCGAGTTTTGAGTTTTGACCAATTAAAAGAGCCAAAGACAAATAGTAAAAAACAAAACACACCTTCAGGTCCTGTCGTTTTACTGTCTGGCTTTATTTCATCTTGAGACTTGTGAATCCGTTTCCTTTTAGAATTGACTATTCCTTCTCACCTCCGTCCCCTTATTAAGAAAATTACAATACTCTACACCTGCCTTTTTTTTTTTTTTCAATACCCTTTTCCTATATATATATATATATAGACGATTACCATACAGAATTTTCTAAACTTACAAATAAAGTCAACCTATTACCCATACGCTTCTTTAGAAGAAGACAATGTTCACATGCAAAGACAACTTTAACCTTGAAAGGTGTAGTGGATAAGTGCAATGGGCATATGCACATCAAGAGAGCTTGAAACATGAGAGCAAAGTAAATTAATTAGATGAAATAAGTTGACATGTTCATGTACGTAGGTCACATGAATGAATAAATAAATAAATAAATTATTTATTTAAATGGCTAGGTTTAGATAGTAAATGCCTAATCATGAATAATTAATTTTACACTCAGAGATAGAATTGAACTAAACTAAACAATTTAGTTAAATTTGATTCTTGAAAAAAAAATTAATACGTTAATTAATTTGTTAAAAATAAACCAAACCGAACCATAAATCATATATAGTTTGTATATTACGTAGTATATAATATAAATTTTGATATTTTTTATGAATTTATCAAATGATTTTCTTTTTTGAATTTATACTATGAATGACACTCATGAATATAACCAGTATCCTTCTTTGAATTAAAATTTAAAACCAAATAATATATTTATTTTGATAATACTGGAAAGTAAGTTGATCCTTTGAAATCCCAGGTGGAGTAGAAAAACTGTGTTTAGGTTATATGGATTTATCTATTTTTATAAAATTGCCATGTCTTTGTGAAAAAAGTATGTTATATTCGTTGAACTGCGTGTAAGCATTGTGTTTTTACATTTCACCAATTAAAAAAATTATTTTAAAAGAAAATTAGTGAAATTGGCAAAAAAGCTATAATTATACTGTATTAAAATAAATTTATTTATTTAGTTGAAATGAAGACTTGCTAAACATTCTTAGAGCCATAGGTCATAGATGGTATTAAATATTAATCCCATTAAGCCATAAAGTCAATATAACATTCTTTAAGAATCGATATATGATGACTTCAACCCAGTAGAATATAAACGAGAATGATATAGTAATAAGATCTTAATTTTAAAACAAAAAAGGAACATGGCGAAATTGGTAAACGCTATGGACTTAATTGGATTGAGCCTTGGTATGAAAACTTACTAAGTGATAACTTTCAAATTCAAAAAAACCTTCGAACTAAAAATGTGCAATCTTGAGCCAACCCTATTTTCCGAAAACAAACAAAGGTTCAAAAAGCTAGAAAGAAAAGAATTTAAATCAAAATACTTAATAGCATGGCGATACATTTATACAAAACTTCTACTCCGAGCACACATAATGAAACCGTAGACAGTCAAGTGAAATTTAATACACAAAATAATTTGATCTATAGACAGCATCGTTGTGGTAAAGGATGCTTTTCCGAGAAATAGGAAAAATAAATATATGCCGGTTGAAAAAAAAAAAAAAAGAAATAGAATACAAAAAGGTTTTCTAAATGAATTTCCATTCACTCCGTGTAAGCTTTGAATTTTGGTACGAATTTCACCTTAGGATGACTTTTTGAGTAGTGATACAACGTTCGTGGATCTCTTACATAATCAATAATTATCTAACTATAAATAGTAATTATCTAAGTATAAATAGTTTTCGAGATTCCTCATTTTAATAAAAAATTTTATTTTTATAAGTGAGACGGTTGACTCGATTTAAACAAGTCAATCTCTATCTCGAAGTGTTTATATTTTTACGCTACGACACTTTGTCTCGTCTATTTAGTGTGCATAATTATTCCAATAGTCTCTTCTTTACCATTGGTATTATTTTTTTTCACAAGTAGGTGGATGGCTAATGGCTTAATGACAAACCAAATTATTACAATTTACAACATAAGAACAGAAAAGAAGATTCTAATAGCAGAAGAAAGAGAAGTTTCCAAACAATGCAATGATTAACTTGGGATTTAATTTTTAATTTTTTTTTTAAAACAAAGGTTAAAAAAAATTTGTAATAGAGTTTAAAGAACTGTAAAAAAAGAGAAGTAAATGCAGAAATGCAATAGCACTGCAATGGGGACCCATTCTGTTTCAATGGAATTTAAGAAAAGCTTATAAAAGTAAAAGATGAGTCCCTCTCAACACCACCACCACCATCACCAGTGCTTCCTTTATTACACTACCCACCATCTCCACCTACTTCTCTTCTCTTTAATGCTTTTTCTTTCACTTTTTATTGTTGCAGTGTCTGCCCATTTGCCTGCACTTTAACTCTACCTAAATGCTATTCTTTTTCTTTCCTCTATTATCTCCTTATGTCTCACACATTCCTCCAAAAAACTTCAGCTAGCTTCTGTTCTAAAAATAAAATCTAACCCATCTTGAGGTTAGGTGGGTGTTTGTCTTTTTTCACTATTAGTTAATTTCAGTTAATCCAATTTTTATTCACAATTATTGAATTTTTTTTTTTTTACTTCTGTTTCTTTTTTCACATGTTTTAAAAATCATTTTTTCCAACCACCTCCAAGGTGTAGCTTTTTTTTTTTTTAAAATATTGAGCGAGAAAATTTGAACGTAGAAATATTATATGCATTTAACACTAAGTTATGTCTTAGTGTGTTAGGTGTGACCTTTTTATAAACATGCTCTTGATCTTAGCAATATAAATCTTCTTTCTATAACACTAATTGCATGTTTTTAGCATGTGTAAAAATTAGATTTTTACTTCATTGTTCAAATTTTTAGTCGATTAAGATTTGCTTCGTTAAAATAATAATTTGAGAAAATATATATAGATTAAATATTGTTAAAAGTTATTCAATAATTTTATAAAATAAAATTTTAAATTATTTTCTTACAACATCATTATTTATCAGGGATTAATTATTAAAATGAAATGAGAAATATTATCTATAGAATTTTTAAGTTTCATATGGACAGTATATTTTTTAACAAAGTGAAAGAAATTGACTTATTATATATCTTATCATTAATTTTGGAAAAAAAAAAAAAAAAACATATGAGCAAGATGAAGATTAATATGCCAAAAGAACTAAAATTAGTTAGAAGAATATAGTGTTAATAATACTCCAACAACCTTATGTCCAACTCCAATCCAGTGGCAGATAATGCATTGCTCTAAGGGTCACCGTTACAACCCACTTGTCTCATCCACGTCAAAAACTGATCTAAGCAAAAGCACTACGTGTAGGCCACGTAGGAAATCCACGTCATCATATATTTTGACACGTGTCCACTATCTATTTAATAGCCCCCACCCACCCACCCACCTACCTGGTCCATTTTCTCTTTCCCGTTAATAAAAACACCAACTTTTATTGCGCCTCTGTCTCTCTCTTTCCCCCACCAGTCACTTCCACAGCTTACTTCCACTTTCCGGCCACTCCAACCGGAACCCTAACCTCATCCACCGGACTTAACAGCAGAACCATTGGGGTCTTAAATTGGGCTTCGAATGCCATAGTGTTTTCAGCGTAGTTTTGGTCTCTCATTTTGCTAACAGCAACTGTTTCTTTGTTTTCTTTAAGCCTCTCCTCATTGTCTCTCTGGTCTAAGTCTAGCCGTTAGAAAGAAAAAAGAGAACCCTTTTTCACATTTTCCATTTTTGCCTGAAATTCGTGGCAGAGTTGGTGAGCTTAGCTTTTGAACAGTAAAATCGATTCTTTTTGGTAACTATTGTTGTTCTCGTCCATTTTTCTGTATTTTAAAGTTAAACTTCAATGGGTTTTTCGTGATTTTGTTTGCTTTCATTGTTAAAGCATAGAAACAAGCTTTCCATGGCGAAGCTGCTAAGCTTTTTGATATTTTTTGTTTTAGTTTCGAACTCTGTGGGATCTCTAAACCCGTCTCTAAACGATGATGTATTGGGTCTAATTGTATTCAAAGCAGACCTTCAAGATCCAAAAGGAAAGCTTTCATCTTGGAATCAAGATGATGATACTCCTTGTAACTGGGTCGGAGTAAAATGCAACCCGAGATCCAACAGAGTCACCGAGGTCATGCTTGACGGGTTCTCCCTCTCGGGTCGGATCGGAAGGGGCCTATTACAGCTCCAGTTTCTCCATAAGCTCTCATTAGCAAGAAACAACCTCACTGGTAGCATTAGCCTCAATCTGAGTCGCCTTGAAAACCTTAGAATCATTGATTTGAGTGACAACAGTCTATCTGGGTCTATCCAAGATGACTTTTTTGCGCAATGTGGGTCTTTAAGAGCCATTTCTTTGGCCAAGAACAAGTTTTCGGGAACGATTCCAGGTTCTTTAAGCTCATGCGCCACTCTTGCATCTATTAATTTTAGTTCAAATCAGTTCTCAGGGTCTTTGCCATCTGGGATTTGGGGTTTGAATGGGTTAAGGTTGCTTGATTTGTCTAATAATTTGTTGAAAGGTGAAATTCCTAAAGGGATTGAAGGTTTAAACAATTTGAGAGCTATTAACTTTAGTAAAAATCAGTTTTCTGGGAAATTTCCTGATGGGATTGGAAGCTGTTTGTTAATAAGAGCTATTGATTTTAGTGAGAATTCTATTTCTGGTTATCTTCCAGAAACAATGCAGAAGCTTAGCTTGTGTAATTATCTGAGCTTGAGCAACAATATGTTAGCTGGTGAGGTTCCAAACTGGATTGGAGAAATGAAACAACTTGAGACTTTGGATCTTTCTGGGAATAAATTCTCGGGTCAGGTTCCTAATTCAATTGGGAATCTTCAGTCACTTAAGGTGTTGAATTTGTCTGCTAATGGTTTAAGTGGGAACCTACCGGAATCCATGGCCAATTGTGGAGGTCTTGTAGCCTTGGATTTCAGTAGGAATTCAATACGTGGTGACCTTCCTGCTTGGATTTTTGGTTCGGGTTTGGGGAAAGTTATACATTTGGAGAATAAGCTTAGTGGGAATTTCAATTCTGTTCCAAAGCTTCAAGTTTTGGATTTATCAGAAAATGAATTTTCTGGTAAAATTTCATCTCCCATTGGTGTTTTGAGCAGCTTGCAGCTGTTGAATCTATCAGGGAACTCTCTTGTGGGTCCTATTCCAGGGACTATTGGAGAATTGAAGGAATTAAGTGTCCTTGATTTGAGTGAGAATCGGCTGAATGGGAGCATTCCCGTGGAAATAGGAGGAGCTTTCTCTTTGAAGGAACTGAGACTTGATAGGAACTCAATTTCGGGGCAAATTCCTAGCTCGGTTGGAAACTGTTCTTCACTAACATCTTTGTAAGCTCTCTTTGCTACCTTTCCCTTTTTCCTTTTTGCATTTGATTTCTCGTTCACCATTAAATTTTTAAGGCCAAACTTAGTTAAGATCATGAAGACTGCTCCATCTGCTGCCTGTTTGAATCCTCAAAATTCTTTACAAAAACCATGGTAATTTCTGTAGCAGTAGTAGTCTAGTAGGTAATTAATTCCTTCAAAATCAAGGGTGATGCCTTCTTTTGAAGATTTGACCAATTGAAGAAACATTAAATGATGATGCAAATGCATACTATAGTTCTTTTTTGTCAAATTAGTTGTTAGGATTTGAAATTTAGAGTTCCTTGCTACTTAAATGATTAAGACGTTTCAGTTATCTGGGATTATTGCTTGATATCTAAATTAAGAAAGAAGAAAAGTTCCTTAATGACTTGGCAGTTTGCCTCCCTTTGGTCAAAAAGTTCTATTTGATTGAAGGGAGTCTATCTTCATTCTTCTAACAGATTTATTATTTCTTGTTTGCTTGTTTCCCATTGAACATTTAGGATCCTATCTCAAAACAACTTGACTGGACCAATACCTGCTGCGTTAGCAAAAATTACAACCCTAAAAGATGTGGATTTTTCTTTCAACAGTCTCTCGGGTGGCCTACCCAAGCAACTGGCTAACCTTCCCAACCTTTCTTCGTTCAACATTTCCCACAACCAGTTGCAAGGAGAACTACCTGCTGGTGGTTTCTTTAACACCATATCATCTTTTTCTGTCTTTGGCAACCCGGCCCTCTGTGGTGCTGCAGTCAACAGGTCTTGCCCTGCTGTCCTTCCCAAACCAATTGTTCTTAATCCGAACTCTTCCTCGGATTCTGGTCCTGGTGAGCTTCCTCAAAATATTGGTCACAAAAGAATCATCCTAAGCATATCTGCTCTTATTGCCATCGGTGCAGCTGCTGTCATTGTTGTTGGTGTCATTGCTATCACTGTCCTTAACCTTCGTGTTCGGTCATCAACATCTCGATCAGCTGTGGCTCTAACATTATCTGCCGGCGATGAATTTAGCCATTCCCCCACTACAGATGCCAATTCTGGCAAGCTTGTCATGTTTTCAGGTGACCCTGACTTCAGCACTGGGGCACATGCTCTGCTTAACAAGGATTGTGAACTTGGACGAGGTGGGTTTGGAGCAGTGTATCGGACTGTTCTTCGAGATGGACATCCTGTTGCCATCAAGAAGCTCACTGTTTCAAGTCTTGTCAAATCCCAAGAAGATTTTGAAAGGGAGGTTAAGAAATTGGGAAAAGTTAGGCACCAAAATCTTGTGGCCTTAGAAGGTTATTACTGGACACCATCCTTGCAGCTTCTAATATCTGAATTTGTGTCTGGAGGGAGTCTGTATAAGCATCTACATGAAGGATCAGGTGGTCGTTTCCTTTCATGGAATGAGAGGTTCAATATAATTCTTGGGACAGCAAAAAGCCTGGCTCATTTGCACCAATCAAACATCATCCACTATAACATAAAATCGAGCAATGTCCTTATTGACAGTTCAGGTGAGGCAAAAGTGGGAGATTTTGGCCTGGCAAGGTTGTTACCAATGCTAGACCGCTATGTTCTAAGCAGCAAGATTCAGAGTGCACTAGGTTACATGGCACCTGAGTTTGCTTGTAGAACAGTAAAGATAACTGAAAAATGCGATGTGTATGGGTTTGGCGTTTTGGTTCTGGAGGTCATTACTGGCAAGAGGCCTGTGGAGTACATGGAAGATGATGTGGTAGTGCTTTGTGACATGGTTAGAGGAGCATTGGAAGAAGGAAGAGTGGAAGAATGTGTGGATGAAAGGCTGCAAGGCAATTTCCCAGCTGATGAAGCAGTTCCAGTAATGAAATTAGGATTGATTTGCACTTCACAAGTTCCATCAAACAGGCCAGACATGGGAGAGGTAGTAAATATACTGGAGCTTATCAGATGCCCTTCAGAAGGGCAGGAAGAGTTGGTATGAATGTGAGGGAAACTATATTCAGTAATTATGAGTAAGGAATTTACAATGGATTATCCGGCGAAGAGGAATCCGGTTTGTTCAATTGATCAAAGGGAAGAAAAAATTTCATTGTTGGAAGGTCTTTGTCCTTTTATTTTTCTTGTATTGGTTCTTCTCTTGTTTGTTTTCAGTTTATGCTTGTAGTTTCTTCTCAATCTTTCAATTAGATTACCGGATTCCTTTTCACCGGCTTCCATTTTGGAAACCTTTTGGAGTTTTTTTATCCAGTTACTACTAATATTCAGCTTCCATTTGGCCTTTTGGTTTGTTTCTGTACTAGCATTGATTTCTGACTTTATGCACATACTCTGGAACTTGGTTTGACTTGCATTATAAACCATGTAGACTCCATTGTTAAACTTCTGGATTTCTTGTTTCTAGCCAACATTAATAATTTTGAAAATGAATGCGTTCTCCAAGTAAACTCCAATTGAAGTAGACAATGATGTGACAATGATGTCCTTAAGAACAGGAAAATTTAAAGTGTGCTCCTCAATGTTGGCTAGAGTTTTGGACATAAGTACTTTGCAGACAAGGGCAAAATTGACTCTTAAACTTCCCAAATAAAGAGGGAATATTTCCATCATCAATTTATTTGCTGTCAATGATAGCTATGGTGAAAGTATTAAAATACATTTTTACAAGTCAAAAGTGATTAAATAGCCAGACGACTCCCAAAGATTCTTGGCACCCATTTTGAAGCAAATAATCTTAGTGCTTAATTTAATAATGAAAAGGGCCAAAGAAACCACATTAGAAAAAGTGAGAGATAGGGTTAAAGAAAGAAAGAAAGAAAGAATCCATGCCCTTTCAAATAAAGATTGTCAAGGTGTAGGAAATAGAATATTACACACTATGATGCTGTCGGAATAGAAGCATTCTTTTTTTATATTGCATTTTAGCACTCTTGTGTCTTTTAGTAACTAATAATCAACTTTCTTTAAATGCTTTTTTTGTTTCTTTCTTTTCAGACTGTTCTAAATGTCCCTGTTCCCAAAGATAAGCTAATTACATTTAAACATAACTAATCCCACATGGGTTTGCCCTATTTCTTCTTCTAGTCTTCTTAGCTCATAGTCCTGGCTTGCCTATTAATAATTAATAATCATTGTATTTCTTCTTTAAATTTTAACCAACTATTGCTTACTCTATAGTCTATGCGAGGGGTAGCCAAATTCCCATTTTTGGAGCTGGAACCGTCAGTTTGAAATCGGTTGAAATTAAAATTGGAAGCGTGATGTATCGGACTAGCTAGAATCAGAACTGTGATTGGGAGGTTGTAGTTCGACTTCTGTTTTTAGTTTTTTAAAACTGTGAACCGTCAGTTTCAAGAACTGGCTAAAGTCGAAGGTTTGATAACCGTTATAATCGGCAGTTTCAACACATTTTTTTTTTATTTTTTCAAAAGTTTTTTTTATCAAAATCTCTAAATTAACCCTCCTAACAACTGTAAATGGTTATATAATATCTAGTTATGTTAAATATATTTGAGTAAGTTAGATTTTTTGGTTTTAAAATTATGTGAACTCTCAAAAAACCGATCGGAGAATCATCCAGAATCGTTGATTTTAAAACCATTAAGGTACCATAACCGACCGGTTCCATATTATTTAGAACTGAAACCGTCGGTTTTTGAAACCTGAACCGTGGCCACCCTAGTCTATGTATAGAAAAAACTGTCTGTCTCTTTTTTTAGGTGGTAGGAGTCAAAGAAGAAAATAATTTTTTTGATGAGCATGTGCAAGGATTATAAGCAATGAGTTGTCCCTACTAGCTAGTGCAGTCAGCTTGAGATTTTATAAATGGTGGATGGGCCCTATAGGACTTCATGTTTTACCATGTCATCATCAACTAGCACATGGGACCTTAATAATCCTGTTTTTTCATTTTTTTGTCTGAAGATGGAATATTTAAATCCCCTTGGTTACAGGGGAAGTTACGTGTTAAATTACCTACTTTTTTTGTTGTACTTGAAACGCACTGACCATAGTGTCTGGTGCCAAGTCCCATGTGTTAATCTCCCTGGTCAAGGATCTCTGTTATTAATAGATCGATATGAAGCCAAGAAAAAAAAAAACAGAGAAACAAAAAGCTGGCCATAGCCATGCTTCTTGAAACTGTATTATGCACTAATAATTCACATTGGCCATCATATTAAGAATTCAATTTTAAATTTTAATGTTTATGTTCGTTAATGTATTTAAAGTACAAAAGAGTGGCATTAAAACAAAAAAGGTTATAAAAGATGTATTGTGTGATCTTTTAAATATAAAATAGCATGAAAAGAACAGAGCATTACTGGTGAGGATAAATTGTATATAAAATAACTCCCACTTCTAATCTTCCCTTTTGGTTTTCTTATTCCTTTTAATTCAGTTTTCTAAAATTTTCTTGTTTTATTGATAGGCAGAAAGGATCCCTCTCAGCTTTTGTTAAGCACATGGTAGTTGAAACCAGAGAGCCAATAATCTTTGGTTTGGTAGTGGGGAGACAGTGCACTCTGTCCAATAGATACCCACTTGATATAGTTTAGTATATGAAATGGGAATTTGAAGCTTTATGCTTTCTATCTTCCAGGAGTTGATTTTGGCTTTTGTGAGAAAAAGCTCCCCAGCCATCAAGTGAAATTGCTGGAAGCATATTCTTCGTTTAAACTTCCAGTAAAGTTTCAGATTGATTTGAACAAAAAAATTTGGACATTTGTGTAAACGCTCAATACCCAAGTAGCCTAATGTAAGTTCTGTTCAATCTCAAGAGACTCGAGATCTTTTCTCCATGGAAGTTAAAATTATAGTTCAACATTCTGATACAATGCAAGGATGACTATTTTTATCAGCAATATGTGTATTCCTCTAGTTTGTGTTTAGGTTTGGGAGGAGTTCACCAAATATCAGTAACAAGCTCGTTTAAAATAAGCCACAGCGCACAAAAGGTGCAAACTTTTCAACAAGATAGATAACGATATGGCCAGTGAAAAACATCATGAGGAAGAAACTTTACTTCGAAATAATCAAAGGGTGTCTTAATTATAGCATATGATAACATTCTGTCTAGTAAAAGGAACAAGAAGTTGCTGCCAAGAACATAAACAGGCGCAATAATCCTATCAATTTCCTTCTTTTTTTTTTTGTTGGGAAAAAAAGGTAACAAACAAACTCGTGTACATGTCAAAATTGTTTCTACTGTGGCATTATTCCACAATAGCATGAACAGAGAAATATTGAGCACTGTATTTACATCTTCATCCTGCTGCATTTTCTGCATTTCTCGACATCCATCGATCCTTTTTTTTTTCTCTCTCTCTCTCTCTCTCTTTCCTTTTCCATCTCCATCTTTCTAGACCATGCAAGGGTTTATTTTCTATTCTTGCTCTAATCATCCCATTCATTTTCCCATCCACCTTTATCAGAAGTTCTGGATGTATGACCATTAGCAGAATGATTTTCGTTTTGATGTGCATTTGTTGATTTTGCTTCCCATGGTTCTTCGCAGTCGTCACCCCAATCTTGATTCCACCCTACAGCCATTTCCTCGTCATTAACTGAATTGTTGGCCGGTTCTGCCATTTCAAGCTCCTGATAGCGGGCTCCATCAACCTGCTGTTCATTTTTCCCAATCTTACAGCAGGCCCATGTTCCTCCAGCAATCAGAACTATAAAAAACAAGAAGTAGGCACCATAGATGGGGGATAAATGGGTGGTAAACTGCTTATAAAATTCACTATCCCCTTTCAATGATCCAATGTGTATTATACATTTCCCATTTCCAGCATTTATTATTATAGATGGACTTCCTTCAATATTTGCCACAATTTTTATCTGAAACAGAAAAGGTAACATGACCAATCAAAAGGCCATCCCTGACAATGGCAAATAAAACCAGAGTAAGATCAAAACTCTAAGTCTTAATCTAAAAATTAAATGGAAATCAGTTTTGCATAACCATGATTCTTTATAAGCTATATAATTCTTTCATATGCATGCAAAAAAAACCAAGTTTTATCAGTTATCCTTATGCTTTCCTCTTAAGTCATCTCCAATTCCTGAAATAGTATTAGAAAAAGAGGAAAAAAACAAGGTTTGGAATTGAACCCTTTTAGCTTGGTGTTTGGACACTCGTATCACTGGAAAAGTAACATCAATATCTAAGATGGTAACATTCGCTTGTAGAGCGTCCTCTCCATCATTCTGGATAAGAAGAAACAAATCCTTGGAAGCTATAGAAAAAATGAACAAGAATTACTTCATTGTCACCCATTAAGAAGTTAGGAGTGCAAGATTTTAAAACCAAATTGAGTGCCAATTTATGAAAGTCAACAAACTGTCTTTTCTCATAGGAAATATATCATCAACACAAAGTTTCCTCTTATAAAAGCAGATCAGCATGACACCTTTTCACTTGGAAAGTACACATTATAAATCAAAGTATAAGAGAAGAAAGAATTGAAACTAAAGAAAGTTAATCAGCAACTGCAGAAACAAAGATCATAGACATGCAATTTTAGTTGAGGGCAAAAGGTAGTTATATCTATTCAAAAGAAAAGGAGGTTAAAGCCATCAACCATGCTTGGGATGGATTAATGAAGTTCTAGATTTAGAACACAAAGACTGAATTTATTGACAAAGAGGTTCCCAGCTACAAATTAGTAAATGATTAAAGATAGAAAAAATGACCAATTGATGTCCTAAAACTAATGTCACGACCCCCTAGTGAACAATGGTGCAGATAGTAACTGAAGACAAACTGAATTTACTTAAAATATTCATCTGTACATTTCAGATTTTTTGGCATGAAAAAAGAGAGGTTCAAGGTGCAGCAAGTTACAGAACACCTTAAAAATTAATTATGAGGTGCAACACATTGAAATTTTAACGTGGAATATTTTGATTTATTTATGGATAAGGATCTTACATGCATACCTACCATAGTGGGAAAAGTTAATTCGTTTTTTGGAAATGTCTAAGTAGATCATAATAAAGCTCTCTCACATCAAGTCTTTATTACCTGATTTGTATTTGGAAATTTATACCTCAAACACAAATTTGTATTTGACTGATTGCATTACCTTGAACTCAATAATCACATTCTAAACCTTTAATACTAAAAAACTATTCAAGAGCGAGGGACTAGTCAAAGCAGCTACAACCAACCCAAAGGAAACCGAAATAGAGTCTTCTTAAAGGGTAAAGGTTCAAACTTTACTCACCAGCAGAAGATGAACCATTGAGGCAAGCAGTCATGTTTTTCAGGTCATGACAGCTTGTTGTTGACGAATTTGAACACCTCTGCTCAGTTAATGCATCAGATACAATTCCACCAGAACCCACATTCGGTTCAGGACTAGGCGACGGCGAAATCTAACAGCCACCCATAAAAAAAAAAAAAGGAAAAAATTTACAATTTCCATTGTCAGCTACCAAGAAACAGAAGTATAAAAGAAACAAAATTTTCTAATTCCAAAATTGAAAGATGATAAGGTAAATACCTGTTGAGATGATCCATTGGCAGTGATCAATAGAAGCAAGACCACCACAACGACTTCGGTGTTCATAGCTCTGAATTTACAAGGAATCTAAGTCTAAGCTAAAAGACTTACCCTTTTGAAGAGAGAGATTCAATACTCAAAGTCATCTCATTTTTCCAACAAAATGGAAACGCAGGAAAATAAATGAAACCCATAAAAGTCAAAAGTCAATGCCGCTTTCAGTCTCTTCTTCTTGTTCTTCTTCTCGGTAGCTTTCTCTTGTTCTTCTCTCCTTCTTCGCAACATCCGCAAGGAATTAGAATCCCCTACGATGACCACCACTACAACATCTACACCACCTTATGCAACTTCATTTTTCTTTATTCTAGCAATTAAATTAAAAAATAATAAAAATAGAATTTTATAGGCATTTAATTCTTTCACGTCACTGAAACATCTAAAAGATAAAATATTAAATCTGCTTTGTTCTGGACTGTGGTGGAATTAAAATAAAATATTAAACTTGTAAGTTTTTATTTAGAAAGGATTTATAGTAACAAACCTCTTAATTGAGATTAACAAAATCACATTCTAGGTGGTTGTGATCAAAGAAAAGCAAATTAGTGGATTTTACATTTTCTTTTGTTTGTCAGCAAAAAAATAATTGAGCTAATATTATATATTCAACATGTTTAAGGATTTTATATATATATATAAAAAAAAAAAAAATTTGTAAATGAAAAATTTATCAAAAATTTCCCATTTTCATTAATTATATATTTTCTTGGTCGCTAATTAATTATCATCATTAATTACGAAGTGTTAACTTGCTATAATTAATTTGTCAAAGAAACAGTGGTTTCTCAAGAGGTGTATCGAAATTACATGTACAGTTGCTCCAAGGCACAATCACTAATTCACAATGGAAAATGGGAAGCAAGAATAGGGTGAGTGCTCAGAAACAAACAAGGAAACAACACAAGCATCCATCGCAGACCAGAAAGCTTGCAATTTCTTAAAAAAAAACCAGAAAAGATAATTTTATACTTCATGTATAGATATAGAGACCCTTATTTATAAAGGAATTAAAAAAAAAAATTAAAACTATATCTTCATTCATATCTACAACTCGTCCAAGTCTCACGTTACAAATTAGATGATTTCATTGAAATTAAAAAACTGATATAACTACAAATTATCCAAAAACTGCCTTAAAATTAATACTAATATTTTTTTTTCCATGGTTAAATCATTCCATGCGCTCGAGACTTCGCTTTTATTTTGTACCTAAATGCTAGAAAATTTACCCAACGAGCATGTTGTACGGACACGGGTAGAGGCCATCTCGCTCAAAATGCTGCTGCTTAACACTTGGCTGAATTAAACCTGCAAATTTAATGCCAATGCAAAACAAAGCAGACATCAAAATACTTGCATAATAATAATTTACAAGAAGCAAATAGTCCATATAATTTCAATCAAACAATCATTATAAGCATTCAACAGAGGCAGACATCTGAAAATGATCTAATGCTTTGAAAGGAATTGTTTGTGTTCATGTGCCATCCAGTTATTTGAAAATTTTAGAAAGAAACAACAGTAGCACAGTAACAAAGGTGGATAGTTGCCTTCCAAAAGGAATGACAAAGTCGATGTGCTCTAGATAAATACCATATTAAACTGATCAGAACAATCTGTACAGGGAAAATCATTCCAAAATGCTGTGTTATTCCTGTTCTTTATGGCTTTTCTTTAACCCAGGTGATGGAATATCAAAGTATCTATGTTGCATGAAAAATGAACAAGCAGTTATGAAATTAGAACAATTTTTTTTGGGTACTAAATGTGGGAAGAACATGATGAGGCCAGATAGATAAAAGGAATACTAGGAATTATTCACAAAACAACAATGCAGCATTTGTGTGCATCCACTCTATCAAAAACCCCATATCAACCAAGAAAAAGAACGTTTTGATTTCCAACCTAAGTAAGGGTCTTTGCAGGTCAATACGTGGGGTTTGCAGTGTATCTTCCAACTTATCATTTCCATCTGGTTCACTGATCGTTCGAGAAAAATCTGCAAGCTCCTTAAAGCCCTGCTAGCAAAGAAAGAGAAATCAAGTTTTGAGTTCAAATTAAGTGCACATACTCTGTATTTTATTGCTGCCTAAACATCTTCAATCCAGTAGTCCATTATCTGAGTATATATTAGCTTCATATCGAGGCCACAAGTTGGGTTTCACTGAACCACATCACAGTCAACTGTGCGCACTCACGTGTATGCGCATGCGCACGCACTAACGTGTGTGTGTGTGTGTGTGTGTGTGTGAGAGAGAGAGAGAGAGAGAGAGCTTAGAGGATATATACCAATGTATTTGGGAGCAAACGAGTTTTTCCAGAATGTTTAAGCTGATCCTCTAAACATCTTCAATCCAAAGTACGTCCCATTATCTGAGTATATATTAGCTTCATATCAGGCCAACAAGTTGGGTTTCACCTGAACCACACTCACAGTCAATCTGTTGCGCCTCACGTGTATGCGCATTTGCGCACAAGAAATGGGAGTGATTTTGCATTGGTTCTTTCCTCACTAACGTGTGTGTGGTGTGTGTGTGTGTGTTGTGAGGAGAGAGAAGAGAGAGAGAGAGCTTATGAGGAGTATAATACCAAGTATGTATGCACTTTGGGAGAGAAACAGTAGTGTTTCTCCAGAGAATTGTTTAAGCTGATCCTGCCGGAGAATGTTGTCAATGCTTAGTTTAGGCCTGATCAGTTGGGAGTAGTTAATCGAAAATGAGAGAGAGAGAGAGAGAGAGCTTAGAGGATATATACCAATGTATTTGGGAGCAAACGAGTTTTTCCAGAATGTTTAAGCTGATCCTGCGAGATGTTTAATGCTTTGTTAGGCTGATCAGTTGGGAAGTTATCAATATGGAACTAATCTTGGAGAACAGATCTAACTTATCATATTCCATTTCCTTATTAAAGGATCCTAATCCAACTATCAACAATTTCTTCTACATGCATAGACTGAAAGTGCATGAAATGTTTTTTCTACCTCAAGAGCTTTAGGCATTTTCATTTTTTGGCCACCAACATAATTGCACAGGAACATAACTCCCTCATTTGCAAGATCCTGCAACCAAATCATTGTATCAGTAAATCCCCAAGTGCACAAACAGAAGATCAAACTATAACAACTGCTAATGCGATTGCAAGGAATGCAACACAGGTGATTTATTCGCGCCACAATTCCAAAGGAGATCATTAACATACCAATAAATTGTTAAACAAAACAATGTTTTTTTTTTTTTTTTTTAAAAATCTTGAATACCTTTCAAAAGAAAGCTCCAGTATGAGCAAATATATCGAGTAATATTATGCAGCATATGCAAGCATTTTTAGTTACTAAAGAAAAATAGAAATGAATAACAGTGTTTTGCAACAAAAGTTCCAACAGAGTCGCTTGTTAATACTAAAGTAAGGATGGTCCTGAGGATGATGCTTGAAATAAAAATAATTGCATTCATCAACATTCAAACACCGCATACCAAACTAGTTTTAAAATTAAATGTAAAAAAAAATAAATAAATAAACACATCCCCTCCCCCTGAAAAAAACAAAAGCGAAACTCGAAGAATAAACAAATAAACCATGCAGACCACGGACTTTTCCTCACATATATGTTTCCAATACCAGAACATTTTGTTGAATGCTAGCTACAAAATAAACAAGCATAACAATATAATATTTAGTACAGAAGTAATAATTCTTCTATTTAAGTCAAATAAATATCAAAATTGCTACCTGCTTCTCCTCCAGTGAACATATCTTGTCATCCTGCAAGATGAAGAAAGTAACAATTTACAATCATTTTCAGCAAAAGGAAAAAGGGGCAAAGAAAGAAAAGGAGAAGATGGAATGTGGTCAGACTTCAAGAATGGACCATTATTTAACCCCTTCTTTCTATGCTCTTACAAAAATGAAAATGAACCTATAAGTAGAACATTGGATAATAATCTGAAAAGTTTTCAGTACAATCATTAAAAAAAAAAAAAAAGAAAATAAGTGGAGACCTTTAGTAAAAGGAATCTGTCGATAGAAAAGACATTGGGAGGATTAAGAACATAAAAGACAAGTTAGCAGTGACCACCAACATTAGAAAGCCAAGAAGTTCCCTAACACTTACAAATACTGCTAATTGAACTTACCAAACCAGAAACCAGTCGCTGTAACTGCCACAAGTCTGAGCCAATGTTTTCTATATGGGTAGAAGCCTCATCAACCTGTGTCAAAAGATTGGAGTAAATTAGCATGATAGAACATATAAATTCTAGTTACCTTGCATCCACAATCATAATGCACGTATTTGGAACAGTAATGAGTTAGTGACAAATATAAAATAAATGTTGACCAATTTACAGGGCAAGTCTTTAAGTGGTTCTCACATGGGCACAAGAAAGTTGTATTTTAGCCTATGTTCTGTTTTTCCTCAACTGTTATTTTTTTCAACATGTTCCATGTGCTGCTTAAATTATGACATTAATTATTTTTTATCGTAATGAGTGGTTATCTAGTGGTTGCACTGGGATTCAGTTGTATCAAAGATTTATCATGGAATTAAAGTTTTATCAAGCAGTTTCTTTCAATTGTTTCAGTCCCTTAAACTTCCAGATTGAAGTGCTCTCTCTAACAAGCTCTTGAGGGCAGCCTGGTGCATGAAGCTATGTGTGGGTCAAGGAAGGGTCAGATCCACTTTGTGTCTAAAGTACATAGCCTTACCTTGTAATTTAACAAGAGACTGGTACCATGACTCAAACCTGTAACCTCCAGTCACATGGCGACAACTCTACTATAACCTCTTTAACAAGCTCTTGTTATAATTTCATAATAGGTCATATAGGAAGAAAATCTGAAAATCAAAGAGCTTGGTTCAAGTCTTGAAGGTATTATAAATGCTGCTATTTGGACATCTAACAATTCCAACCTCCCTATCTCTCTCTCACACACAGACACACACACATGGACAGAAAGTTGTCCTCTTACCTTAATTTGAATTTCCCTAGAGAGCTCCTTTTGACTCTCCATTTTATCATCTAAATGTTGTATTCGCTGAGTCAAATGCTTCTTTGCAGCCTGGAAAGAAAGGGAAAAATAAGAACACTGATAAAAAATGCATAAATTCGAGGGAATAAATAACAAGTTTAGTTGTTCACTTTATACACGTAAAAATATGGTTATCCATGTTAGATGATAAAAATTGTAGTGTTCGTATTATATTTGAATATGAATATAATAAGAATCCATTTGCTTTAACATGTTCGCTGTAACAGGTTTGTACATGAGCCTTACTTTTTCAAGGTCCAAAAAGGCAAGTCAACAGAATAACAATTTACAATTTCAAAACCAACAAAAGAGAGCCACCAAAAAAAAACAAAAAGAATTAAAAAAAAATATATTTGAATATTGAATATAATAAAGTCAATCTCTATTTGTCTTTAAACTCCATGTTTCGCTCGTAACAGGCTCTCGCTACCATGAGCACTCTTCATTTTTCAAAAGGTCCCAAAAGGCAAGTTCAACAGAAATAAACAATTTTAACAATTTCAAAAACCAACAAAAAGAGAGCCATTTTATCGGCGGGAAAAAAAAACATAAAAGAATTTAAAATTAAAATATATATATATTATATTATTTATTATTATATTGGTGGATATATAATTAAATTTATATATAAATCTTGCTATATCATCTATAGTCTTTTGCGTGGTTGTACACAAGAAGCCTTAGACCCAGCCCAGTCCTATTTGCAAATATATATGCATACATCTATAGTCTTGCGTGGTTGTACAAGAAGCTTAGACCAGCCAGTCCTATTTGCAAATGAATTTTTTTTAAAAAATATTATCTTTAAGACATCCTTATAATAACCTAGAAGACTAATCAATTTACAATATATATAAGTTCATCAATCAATTAAGACTTACAGATAGAGCCTCAGTTACTTGCTCCAAATGTTTTGTGAGGTTGGAAACAGCATTTGCCATACTGCGCTTTGTCACATACATAAGATCTGAAAATTTTAGCCCCTGTTTGTCAAAAGACAAAAAATTTAGTCTCATGGAAACTTCTAACCACATCACTGTTTAAAACGTAAGAGTTAATTTTGAAGCATACACTTCATTATACAAACATTGGCATCCATTATTTACCTTCCACCACATGTAACCATAACCTACTGCCCCCACTGCAGCAGCTGGAACTATGAGACCAGTTACATTACCTGCAACAAGCAAATGGAGAAATTATAACCCTACATGAAAGATGATACAAATAGATATAATCCGAAAATTCTTTGTTTGCATCACAAAATGCGTCATGCATGGCCTTTGTTGAGACAGGAATATGCAAATCTTATAAGGGGGAAGAATTTTGAGGAACGAATCAAATAGAAATATGGTAGCAAATACCAATTTGACCAGAATTCCCATTCAGAACAGTTATTTGCCGTGCTGAGGCAAGTTGCCGAACCTCCATAGCCAATCGCTTTACCTGAAAGCAATTTCATAACACCCAAACGCATCAACAACATATATATAGAACTAAAACGGGCTAACTAAATAAATTACTCCTCGATTAAAATAGTGATTACCTGTTGGGCAATGGCATCAGTATAATCAGAATCACCATCTGAATGCTCCTTAGATTTTTCCCAACCTTTCACCAGGGACTGCGAACACAAGCACAGATAATTTAAAATTGTTTGCAACAGAATAAATCAATTTAGTCAAAATCTCTGTTTAGGAGAAACAGGAAAAAAAAATCCAAATAAATTTTTTTAAAAACAACACTCATATTTCCCGCCCTCCCAGCGACCAAACACCAAACACCAGGACGAATTCAAAAACTAGCTATAAATACAGAATATCAATCTGACTGAATCCGTAGCTAACAAACCTAACTACCTAAAACAATAATAACAGTACCTGAAGTTCACCTATCACGTCTGATAATTTACCGTTTTGAAACAGAACAGTACCGGTGTATCCTGTAGACAACAGTATAAGGTCAAAGTGCAAATTAGAGTTTCCATGTCTATATACAAATACATGTATATAGAGTGAGGGCGAGACACAATCGCGTATATAGATAATTGATTGGGCAATAGTACCTGCACCGGCTAGGACAATGATCTTGGAAAGACCGATTCCAGTTTGCATAGCCATGGCTAAGCAGGTGAATCAAGGAACCCTAGTAGAGATCTGCAATTGTAGAGGAAGATAAAAAGTTGAACACTACCATATACCATATATGTGGGAGACAAGAATCCGGTTTCTGTTAGTATTGGGCCGGAAAATTGGGCTTTTGATTCGGACCTAGCTTAGCTTTGTATCCTATTTTGAGAATGCTGACGTGGGAAATAATTGTCAAACACGGGGGCCCACAGTGATGACCTGTTTCCTCGTTTCAATTTAGGTTGGAGTGGCCATTGCCTGAAACAAGAACAACCGCTCACAATTTATTGTCTGCATGTCGGAAATTAAAACGTTGTCGTTTTCTTTCTGCAAACGACATCGTCTCCTACCTTCTCTTTCTCTGTCTCTGTGAAATGAATTTCATTTTTATAATTTCTTTCACTCTCTCTTAAACATACACTCGATTTCACAGCTGAAGCAATTTCATGCCCAATTCGTTAAAATTAGGGTTCCATTTTCATGTAATTTCAGCTCGAAAATTATGTCCGCGGAGGAAATCGCCTTAGTCCCCTCCCAAAACGGCCTAAATTCCCAACTTGTTTTTCAAGACGACCCCTTGCGCTTCAATTGCGGCCCTCCTCAGCGCCGGGTCGGAGGGGATCCGGGCCCCAAAACCACCACCCGAGAACTCTCCGGCTTTATCGACGATAAGCTTTTCTCTTCCCCTAACTCCGCTGCCGCAGCCGCCAACGACCGTTACTTCCCCTCCCACCAGGGTGGCCCTGAATTCCCGCGCAATATGTACCGGGAGAATCGTAGTTGGAACGGGAATGGGACTAGTGGTGATGAATCGGACGGCGAGGACGACGACGACGACGACGACGACGACGATGAGGCCAATGATGATGACATTGACGGTGGAGATGGTGACCATGATAATGTAGAGGGACTGGTTGCTGTTGATAATATTAATTGTAACAATAACAACAATAACAATAGCTGCAAAAGCAATATTAATAACACTACCACTACTACAACTGCTACTACGACAACCAATACTGTTAATGTAGATAAAATGGGAAATGGAATTGGAAAGCCGAAGAACCTTTCTTCTTTCGGTAAGTATAGGTAAATTATCAAATTTAGCTTCTTTCCTTTCCATTTTTGAATTTCTTTTCATTTTGGGTTATTACTAATGGTTTTTTTTATTTTATTTTATCAGTGGGGACTAGTGGGGAAGTGATAGCAGTGAAAGATGGAGGCGGGCATATAGGCCAAACAGGGACTAACGCTGTTACAATAGCAGAACCTGATGGGGAGATGTATTACTCTCAGTATTTGCAGGCAACAGAGGGGGCTGGTAGTGGAGGGAAAGATGTAGGTGTGGAGAATGGTTGCGGTTTTAGTGGAAGAAAGGAAAGTTCGTCATTTTCTATTGAGTCTGGAGAGTCCTTGAGAGCCATTCTATCAGACGCCGTCACGTAAGTACCTGTGATTCGTTTGTGTTGTTTCTGCATGATCAAACTGTACTTTGCATGAAATAGGGATTATATATATATATATATATATACGAAAGTCGTTAATGATTGATTGATTTCAAGGCGCAGCTTTTATGCTTGGTTGACTTTGATGTGTCTGTTCTTTCTTTTCTAATTGTGAATTTGCAGCTTGTTAGTGTTCTATTTGTATTTTAGATTTATGTTAGCTTTTGGATTCAGGGGAGCTCTAATGGATGATGCAATGATATTGCCATGTGGGCATTCATTTGGAGCTGGTGGAATACAACATGTTATCAGAACGGTCAGTTCTTGGTCAAGGCCATCTTTTTTAAGGATTTGGAATCATTCATTTCAATTAGTTGCTGTGCGAAATTTTATATAATGTGGTCTCCTAAATTTTGTCGTGGATATCAAAGAATCATTTGCTAATTGTTGATAAAGTGTAATGTATTACAAAATATGAAAATAGCAAATTCAACTATGAATGTTGCTGGTTATTCTTCACTCAGTATACTTGATGCAGCTAATTGGAGAAAATCTGTTATCATTTTATTTTAACCAACTAACCAAATAATATGTAATTACACCTGTGTGCGCACGCACACACGAAATTCTACCTAGTTTTCCATGTCAAAGAGGTGCAGTTACTGATATATCATGAGTTTTTGCTGTTATTACTATTGTTAATGCTAAGCGATTTGAGTTGCCTGTTTTTCTGCCTTATAGACCTAGCCATTCCCTGTAATTTGGATTAATATTTGTTATGTGGGAGAAGCTTGCTTGAATGAATTGTCTTGTCACTGTTGAGTTGACTATTTAATTTTTACACGTTTTACAGATGATATGCATGTGCAGTTGCAATGTTTCTTTTAGTAGTCTGTGGCTATTGTTTCAATTTTTTTGAATGATTATACACTGTATTAACTCTCTCTGTTTGCGGTTGCACTTTTCAATGTCCTTACCATTATTTGAGACATGATTTTTATTTCTTCTTTTATATTTTGCCATTCAATTTCAGAAGGCTTGCTATACTTGTTCACAATCAATTTCTGAAGATGCAATAGCTCCTAACCTCTGTAAGTATAATTTTGTTATCCTAGTAATTCACTTTAACATCAAAAGATTTGATGAAATCATCCTCAGAAAATTAGCAGTTTCTTTCTATTAAGAGCAGTGACTTGAATAAGGAATTGTTGTATTACAGTTCCTAATTCCCTAGCTGTATTCTTTTGATTGTATGTGAACAGCTCTCCGAGCTGCCGTACAGGCATTCCGCCGGGAAGAGGAGTTACAATTTTATCGCTCATCCAAACGAAGGAGAGAGAGGTTTGACCAGGTATGTCTTCACCATGCCTTGGATTCTTCTAACGATATAACTCTTTTAGAAGACTTGAATACTAGCATGTGTCAAGAGGTATACATAAAGGAAATAATAACTGAATAGCCAATTTATGTGGTTAATCCTGGCAAGTAGACCAAACTGTTTCTTACGTTTCTTGTAGCTTATTTTACTATTTCTTGTGAACCCCTGCTAACCAGTTACTGTTTTGTAGTATTCTCAAATGACATATCTATTTTGTTATTTAATATTTGCTTCCTTGCTTCATGTTTTGGCCTTGCACCATCTGTTTTAATTTCTTATGCTTTCTCTTAAAACTCTCTTTTTTTATGCAGGATAAAGGTGTTTATGGTGATTCAACTGCAACAGATACCCCAAGGGGTCGGGGTGTGCAGTTCCCTTTCGCTGTAACAGACCGGGTTATTATAAAGGTTTCCTTTCCTCCTAGCAAACTTTTGAAGTTTCAATTGTAGCTTCATCTTTATTTATTTTCACCTTTTTCATGAATTTTTTTGGTTAATTGAAATTGATGCTAACAGAGCATATGAATCAGGGAAACAAGAGGACGCCACAACGGTTTGTTGGGCGTGAGGCTGTTGTGACAACTCAGTGCTTAAATGGATGGTTCGTTCACTTGCTTGCACTGTCTTCTTTTCATTATACTTTATAGCAAATTTTAAGGTTTTGACATGTTGTCCAAACAGACCAAAACAAATAGAGCTTATGTCAATTGCTTTCATTCACTAATCAATGCATTCATCTTGTGTTATTCTTATGCAGTGGTTTTTCTTTTTCTTGGTTTACATTTTTTGATTCCTCGAGAGGAGGATAACTAATCCTCCAACTTGCTCTTCCTTCTTACCTTTAAAATCCTCTTTTTATCAAAAAGATGTGCATGCAGATATCTGTGGATGTGAAATCTATTGCAATAAGTTAGTTCTGAGAATCAATTTTAGGATCTCTATGGACATCTGTTCGGTAGAATTAGAATTATCAATTGAGAGTTCTGTTATGTGGCCTGTCGTTTGCACTTGTAAAAACCTAAGTGGTTGTTTCTTGACTGATGCACAAGTCTTGTGCAGGTATGTGGTGAAGACATTGGATAATGCAGAGAGTGTAAAATTGCAGTATCGTTCTCTGGCCAAAGTTTCAGAAGATCCAACCAAAGCAATGTCAAGCAAGCTGCCCCCAATTGGCACTAGTCTTTATACTTAATGAGGCGGTAATTTGTTACCAAATTCCCACGTTTCACACACTTAATCTAACTTATAGTTTACAGCTTTCTTGTTTGTACCCTTTCTATATTGTATTCTTACAGGCAAATATCTGAAGGCCTTGTAAATTATAGAAGCCCTGTTACAGTTAATCTCAGGAACCCAGGAATGTGATTTTGAGATGTCAACAATATGTAGTCATTTTTGTTTTATATAGCATTGCAGTCATCTTTGTATTTTTTTTCGTTTATGCATACAATTGTCCTGTAACCAATTTTTGTTTATAGTATCATGAGTGCTGGCCATTTCATTTTTTTCAAGTTGCACTAGGTTATATATATATATATATATGCACGCGTCGCGCGAATGTTTAATTGTGAAGATATGACATTTAGTATTTAATATTTTTTTTGCCCTCAATTAATGGTTCTGTAGTATTCAAAATTCCAATATGTACATACATCTAATATTTGATGATCTGGGAAAGTATTGACTTGTAAAAAATTATGAAAGAAGGAAAAAGGAAAGAAAGGCCGGTGATCCATAATCAGTCAATAACAAAATTATGAATCATGTTACATTCATTATCAAAACAAGAGAAACAGTACATCAAGGAACCTGAAAAGTCAGATCCTACCCCTGTTCTGTTTATGCAACTAACAGTACTAACAATCAGATTATACCTCTAATCTGATAATGCTGAAAAATAAATTTCAAACGAAAGAAGTTAACAGAGTTCTGCTCTAACGTTACAATTTGCAAAGTTGCAGAGCCTTGTAATAGTAAACACCTAATCATTAGTTTGCTAAATGTACTCGGGCATTTCATCAGGACAAGATGAATTGAAGGGGGAAAAAAGTATTGTTAACAAGATCAGAAGCAAGATACATTCTCCTTTGACATCAAAAAGCTGCAGGTTGAATAGATGGAAGCTGCAGCTGCTCTAACTGCTAATTCTCTCTCAGAGCTGTCTGCTTTCCCAATTCTGCACCACAATTTTTGTAAAATAACTTGCAGAATAATCCACCGCACAGGAAGGCCCAAATGAGGGAGAAATTAACAATGAAAATGCATCGTTTTTTGTGTTGTTTCATTATCAAAGAAATTAATCATAGGCCTTGTAATGCATGTGCACAAGAAAAACAAAAACTTGGTCTATCGTGAATCTCAACATGTCTAAGATGAGAATTAAAGTTTCTTCACCAAATCATTTGCCCTGCTCTCAACAATGGTGTCAATGTCAAGAAGTCTTGTGTTTGATATGTTTACTTCCTTCCATGCAATAAACCTCTTAAAGCCAGGGCAAATGAAAATTAACATAACTTTCCTACTATATAAGGGTAAAGGGCCATAAATGATTTTCTCTCTTATTTATGCCATATCAAGATAAATGCCTAATTGATCATAGTTCTTTTCCCAATGAATAACTACAATATCTCTATAGCATCGAACAGAATTTGAAGGACTTGAAACATGTGGTTCATATGCAATTTATGAATTTAAACTGTTAGGGCAGATTCGACCACCACCGCCATTGATTGACAATGGCATCAACAACCAACCTATAGAGCAATTTTCAGCTTGTTAAAAGCTTTACCTAGTGTAATTTTCTGATGTTTCTTGATGTTGGAAACCAAAAATTGTGTTCCACTGGAAACCTTGCAGCCCATGATCACAGTGCAATTGCATTTCCTTTACCTGGTTCAATGAATTTTCCTGCAATTCAAACCACAAGAGTTAGAGATTTAATGGCTGAGATTGTAAAACAAATTTTTACTTTAGGAAATTCTGTGCAGAGCATTATCTAGAGAAAAAAAAAAAAAAAAAAAGCTTATTTTCAAAGCTTATTTTAACATGAGATTATGCAGAAATATTTTTGAAAAAAATATTGAACCATTAATAAGTACAGTATAGAAAAAAAAAAAAAAAAAAGAAGCTTATTTTAACATGAGATTTGCAGAAATATTTTTGAAAAATCATTACCATTAATAAGTACAGTATAGAAAAACTAAAACAAACAATTGTAAATGGATGAAAAAACCACTTGGGTGAGACTGTATTCCTGATCCTCTTCAAGAGAATACAAAATATTTTGGTAAAAACCTATAGTTTTATTCCTTGAAGATATGATGGAGAACAGAATAATCTTCTCACAAGTTGTTTCTCTTCTTCAGAAAGTGCTTTATCCATCTGATCAAACAATGTGCTCCATCTTGCCTGATGCATGGCAGATATTGCATCACTAGTCAATCCATCAGAGGAAGTTCTCATAATATAAGGATCATTCTCTTGATTAGATGAGAATTCTTTTGATATTAAAAAAGGTAACTCCGTGGTAATTACAGCTCGAACTCTCTTCTTACTACGCCGCAAAGCTGCAAGTACAGAACACAGTTTATTACCAGGATAATTTACCATGTAGTCTTCCCTGCACAATCAGAATTTATTCAAAAAATAGACCACTACCTGAGAGGCGTCCTTTAATGTCTTGATGAAGAAGCTCTAGCCATTGGGAAGCAACACTAGCAGCTGAAATTTCAATATGAAGTTAAAAAGTGACGCCCAAATAGTTTCAAATTTTAGAATTCATTAATATAGCACATTTTCAGCAAATTATTGCTAAGCTGCCCCATTTTATTCGAACATAGAACTGCATATATTAAATTACAGATACCCTTGAAGTACACACCTTTTACAGACAAAGAAGAAATGCTAGTGACATTTGTTGATTCTTCATTAGAAAAAGTGCTAGATTCCTCGGACGCCTTGGTTGATGTTGATAATTTCAGTGCTAATGTATCATCCTCGGTGACAGCAGTGGAGTGTGAAACAGAATTTCTACCACATATCCTATTTACTGCACTGGAGTCACCTTCTCCACCTAATATATGGAACTCTCCTGTGTGTTTGCTGCCCGATAAAATAGTTGAACCCCCATTTCCTTGAGAAAAACTGAGTCGATGTATTCCTGAATCACCACCACTACTTATTTCTTTAGTTTCGGTTTTTAGATGGCTATCTTGTTTGGCTTCAGTGCAATTATTTTCTTGTTTTTCAGACCTCACTAAGGCCTCTATTATGGAATGGACCTGTTTTCTGTTTCTCACGTGATTTATAATACCAGGGTTCAATCCATTTAAGAGTCCACTTGGAGCAGCTATCTTTGTGAACCTATCAACTTGTTCTTTCTTAGCAAGCTCCATCTTTTTCTTAAGAACATCATTCTTGCTTTTTCTCCCACGTTGCTTTGGCATTGGTATCCCTCCATGTGAAGATGAGATTAAACCACTTTGAAACGAAATGCCCCCCTGAGAAGATGAGAGAAAACCATTTTGTTTCATCTCCTTCCAGACTTTCAATGGATCTTTCCCCTCCGCTGGACCAGTAGTACTCCCACACTCCGAAGCATCCCCTCTTGACTTCATCTGATCATGATTTTTTGAAGTAGATAATAACTCCTGGTTCATGGAGCTTGTAACATCTTCTGCGTTGAGATCCAACCCAATCCCTCGAGAGGTTACACGTTTATAATCATGTTCCCTATTATGCTGCTTAAGCAAGGATACTTTGTTGCAAGCCTCAGTACCCTCTGGACTTCCGTGGCCAGCTGAACTATCAGCAACATAAGCTTCAGAATTGAGATCCAGTGGTCTAGTGGCAGGATTGACCTCAACTGATAAAACGGTTCTTGATGTTCTTCCCAGTTCAGAAGCATCAGGATCCAAGGTTATTGGCACACTGGTAATTTGAGACATCTCTTCACCAAACTGTAATTGATCATTGGCTTCTTCCTCTTTCGAATGATGGGTACTGATTTCTGAATGAACTGTAAAGCATCAAAATTAATTTCAAAAAGAAATAATGATAAGCTTCAACAAATTCCTGAACATGGCTAATAAATTGCATCCCAACTGTGAATAAGGTTCACTGAGTGAGGTCTAACTATGACATGATTAAGGCTGCACATTAAGAAAGAAAACAAAAACTGAAGGAATTGGAGGACAAGTGCAATTTTCCAAAATAGAAAATGTATAAAGGTAGTCTTTTGGAAATGAAAAACCAGAAAGAATTTGTAATTCTATTATTATTTTTTAAGATTCCAAATTCGTTAAACAGCACTCAATAACATCAGGAAAATTGATAACTTAAACGAAAAAAAATATTACCTTCAGACCTCAACACGGAATGAAGATCTCGCATTTTAATCCGCTTAGGAGCACTTTCTTGTTTCTCTCCCAATTCACCACTACTTCGCTTCTCTCCAATCTCCTAAAAGAAGCAAAATTTATAAATAAAAAAAAAAAAAAAAAAAAAAAATCTATAAATAAAAACAAAAAAAAAAAAACGACAGTGTCATAAAATGGGAATGTAACAAAAACCACAAACCACCGGATTCGCTCAAGCCAAACCTTAGAATCACGATCCTGGCAACCCTAATCACCTTCACTCTTTATTGTCTTAGAAAACCCCAGTTACAAGTCCGAGACCTTTTTTTCGCACCTAACCAAACCTAAAAAAAAAAAAAAAAAAAAAACGACAGTGTCATAAAATGGAATTGGAACAAAAACACAAAACACCGGATTCTCTCATAGCCAACCTTAGAATCCGATCCTGGCAACCCTAGATCACCTTCACTCTTCATTGTCTTAGAAAACCCAGTTCAAGTCCGAGACTTTTTTCGCACCTAACCAAACCCTTAAACAAAAAGCATTCAAACAGTCTTGAAACCCAGTTCAAACTACAGATTTTTAGCAATAATCCATGAATGAAAAAGGAACAAAAATAATGAAATGAAGAAAAGTATTAATCAATCTAGAATCTTTTTTCAAATGGATATCTGGAATTGAAAATTTAAATAGGACAGTTAGGGTTTTGAAAAGAGTGGAGCAGATCTGCAATTGAAATATATTTTTGATTTGAACAGCAGAGAAAAGGAGGAGAGAGCGCGCCTCGCATAGAGCAATGGCAATGGGGTTTATTTTAAAAAGAAGCAAACGTGAATCGAGTTTGGTTTCAAATTCAAATACGAGCTTGGAGGGATTTCGGCTTGGGCCCAAAATTCGCGCACTTGCTGCTACCCGCTCCTTCTTATGCCATCATTTGCTCGATTTCCCTATTTCTCTCTTCTCTTGCTTTGCCTCTAAGGCTAAGCTCTTACTAATTATTATTCACTAATCACTATTAATTATATATCTCAAAAAATGATTATGTGAAAAATAGGTATTATAATTTGAATGAAAAATGATATTATTTTTTGTTATTTACATTATTGTGAAATAAATTTTTTTTTCTTGACTATAAAAGGTTTTACTTATTTATTAGATATTCACTCAAATCTATCTTGAATAAAATATGCATGAATTTTAATAAAATTTTATTTGTCTCGTAATTATTTTTAGAATTAACTTGTATTAGTTCGGTTTTATATGAATATATTTTTATAATAATCAAATATGGAATCAAATGATATAGATCCAAACCGAATTAAATTGATTTGAATTTAATTATTTTAAACCAAGTTTGAGTCTAAAAATAAATTCGGTTACTTATATATGTTATAAGACTAAATGGTTTTATATATTTAAACTGATTACTAATCTAAATTTTAAAATAACTATTTGAATGAATTGATTTGATTTGATTATCAATTAGAAACCGAGAATTGACGCCTATGCTCATTGAAACTACCCCTAATTGTAGACCTATTCAAGGCTTGAGGCCCAAGCCTACACAGGTACTCTTTTATTTGGGCCTTAAGGGGGCTCAAGCGTCCATGGGTCGAGTTGCTATAAATGTCGAGTTACAAACCATGTGCTTAAATTTTTTATTTTTCTGAAAGAACGTAGTCAAGTCAAAGCATATGGAAAAGATGTTTCAAAATATTTATATCAAGCAGAATTTTAGTTTTACTCTTTTCGAGCGAGATCAATCAGGTTGGTTCAGGTTTTATAGGAACTTAGGTGAATCAAAAAGGATTTTAAAAGTGAATTTACAAATTTCGAGTCTAGTCAAATTGTTTGTAATATCTCCTTAAAGTAGTTTAAATTTAAAGAAAAAAACTTAATTGGGTACAAATGGTTTCAGATTTATGAGTCAGAAACGAGGTTAAAGAAGTTGAATCAAATAAAAAGTCACCACCTTTTTAACTGGGATTATTGATATATGTAGGAGGCATGTAAATCAATATATGAAGAAGTTTGAAAAAACTCGAAATGGTATTGAGCTTGAAAACTCCTTGAATCTTATCGAACTTGAACCTCATAGCTCAAAAATTTCAAGTTGAATTTGAATTTCAAGTTGAGTTCGAGTAAACTTTCAAAAATTATATTGAGTTTTGAGTCTGAGAGGCTGGAGCTTCGAGCCTTCGCAACCTAGATATATGAAATCATCTTCCCCGTCCTCAATGAAATGAGAAATGGTAAAAGGGAAAAGAAATTGAAGAAAGATTAAGAGAAGCCATGCAATTAGAGTTGTTGATTGATCAAACAATCTCTTTATTACACATATCAATGTCATGTACAGAAACCAATTTAATCACATTGGCAATGGTTTGTTCCAAGTAAGTGATCAATCATTGACCAATCAATCAATCAATCAAGTAATAAAATGAAAATGATCATTGGCCTTCCAGCAACCAAAAATTCTTAAGCTGAGACCTTGTACTTTCCCTAAAACTCTTCACCTTCATCAAGCAGAAATGGGTGCAAAAAGCCCCTAAACCTGACCCAACTCTACTTGTCTTCAACAAGTAACAAACAGGTCCACAATCCACTCCTTTCCCTTGCACAACTATTCCCCATGCTCTCGTTGTGATTTCCTCTGGATCTTCTTCATCTAATTGCTCCACGAATATAACTCCTTCTGGCAATGGCGTCTCTCTTTTCCCCCATTTTTCCTTCACCGTACTCCATGTTTCCTCTTCTACCGCTTTTTCCGTCTTCAACGCTGTAGTTTCGCCTTTATCGTAAACCTGAACCAACAACGGCGCTTCTCTTAAATTCTTCACTATCTCCACCACCGAATCTTTCATCCACTCGTCCAGCTTTTCATATACAACCGCTGCATTCGCAGCTGCCGAATCGGAGGTGCTGATCATATTTTCATTCTTTTTTATTGTCATTGCAGCTTTCATCCTCCATCGTTTCAATTTCGAAGAATCAGAACCGGCGGAGATCGCGACGGAGCAGGGGCCAACAGGAGAATTTTCCGGTCCCCGGAGATTCAAAAAATGACAGTTTCCTTGACAGCGAATTCCGACGGAGGCCATCTAATCACACGGCAGCAGGAAGAGGGCGCAATTGGAGAAATAAATGCGAAGGAATTACGTCGGAGAAGGAAGGAAGCGAGAAAGAGAGGATATTTGGACGGTCAATATTGGGGAAAGCGTGGAAGGGAGTTTTCGGGTTTGAATTTCCACTTCGGCGTGTATTTAAGGAGCTTGTCCTCTATATAATAACGTTTGGTCCATCAATTTCCAACGCAGAATCTAATCCTCTACGCTTGGAACTTCCTGCAATCGCCCAGCTTGCCAACGAGGCTCGTGCAAAATGACCGCTTTGCCCCTTAAACTTGAAGTCAATATTCGAAGCGACCCAAAATGACCATTTTTGCCAAATGCATAATAATTTATTAAGATAATTAAACAATATTTTTTATTTAGTTTTTTTTAAATACTTCTATATTAATAATTGTATTAAAAATATAGACGTACATTAAACATGAATATATTAATAAATTATCTTTGAAAAAGAAAATAATAGAATTATATTTTAAAACAAATGAAAAAGAGAATAATAGAATTATATTTTTTGAGAAAGACAATCTAATGAAACATATTTATGTTTTATATGAAATGGAAAAGAAAATTATATGCATTAATCATAAAAAGATGCTAGCATTTTCTAGTTAAAAGTTTGTTGATTACAAGTGTTGCTTATAATCCAACGGTGGCCAGCAGTTGATTGTAATTGTTGCTTCCTATATATAATCTCATGCGATAAAATCCGAAGTCCAGGAGGTCAGCAACAAACAGCGATTGGCTAACGTAGGTGCGATTCTAATCGCGTGGTTCACGTGCGATCTGGGAATAGAATTGCGTGAGGGATTTAATCAGAACCGTGGATAATGAGGAAAGCAAGTGTAACGTGGAGAATGTGGTGCGTAGTGCATAAATTGACTGAAGCACGTGGAGGCACGCACTTATTGTACGCAGCAGAAACAAAGCACACGCTCAGCATGTCCAAAAACTACACCCATTTAATGCATGACACGCGAAATCCTAGTCATCAATGCTGATGTGGCAACGTTAACATCGGGAAATTTCTATTTTTTGCACTTTCTATATAGTATAATAGTAATATTACCATTCGTTGACTGAAAGGTCCAACGGAAATATATATATATGTCCACCACATAATTCCAAATTTCGCAGGCCGTTGGAAGAGAAATGGGCTTAAGACCATCCGTCTTCAAATAAAAGGCCCAGACATTTTTCGTGTGAGCACAGTTTCAAGCCCAAAATTGAACCAAATTGTAGCATTGCAGGATTGGGATAATTATTTTAGAAATTCGGTTATTGATTGTTGTGAATATCAAAAACCCGTTTAGTTTCTATTTTAGAAATTTATTTTCCAACTTAAAAAATAGCTTTGGTTTGGAATAATTGAATTCAAAATGAATCAATTTGGTTTGATTCAATTTATGTATCATTTTTTTCAACACAATAAAATACATTTGATTATATCAAAATTGAGCTAATCTAGTTTAATTGGATTCAATTAACCGAATATTCACCTTTAGATCATGTTCGACAAAATTAGTTATTTTAATAATTGTTAGATATTATCGTTTCATTAAAATTTAAATGATGTAACGTTTCATAATCCGTTCTCTTTAATTTTATGTTAATATAAATATTGTATCATCGAACATTGAAATAACATAAAAAAATCAAGATACTAAACTACGAAAGAATATATACACCGAGACGAGTATTTTGCTGGTTTGATTCAAATAAAAAAATACTAAATTTTTTATAAAATGAAATTCAATTAATTTAATGTTTGAATTTTGACATAATTTTTAATTTTGACATAAATGGAATGGGTAGGTAAAATGAACGGTAGCTATTTAGCTACGCAACCAATTGGCCAACCACGCGGGTTGCCGAATGGTCTTTGAAACCATTTCTATTACTTAATATTCATAAATGCTCCATTTATTCTTCATCTGTCTTCTGTTTCTATATGCCCAATTAACATTATTCTTTTGACATTACAAAATAGTTATTTTTCATGGACTAATTTAAAACTCCTGCTCAATCAATTTATTCAATAAAAAAGTTTCCTTTTCAATTCTCTTTCTAAATCAAACTCGATCGTAAATCATTTTTCGAATTTAAGAAATTCACAAAGTTATATGAAATAAATTTATTCTCACTAAATATTATGAAATTAGGAAGGACATGAACGAAATAATGTGGAAAATTGAGATTTATATTGAAAATTAATTTGAAGAGTTCAAAAATAGAAGTAAAGTTGGAGAAAATGAGGTGAATCACAAGCTCCCCAACTTCCACTACCTACCACCATCACCATCACCATCAACTATATAACAAAGTTAGAAAGTTAGATAAGCACACTCTTAAATATCAATCATCTCTTTACTTCAATATCTGAAAATTGAAAGAAAATTTCTCTTCACAACTCCTTTCTATCCCCAAAACAAAGGCCTAATAACAGTAAGATCTCTAATTATTGAAGCTTTTCAATTCCTTTTACCAAAAATTTATGTTTTTTGGTGTTTTTTTTTTTTTTTTTTTTTGTGGGATACTGAAGTGGTTTTGGTAGATTGAAGTCCCGTTTCCCCTCAAGATCACAACCACTAAAAGCCTTTATCTCTGCTGGCATGAATACAGACATTTGATTTTTTTTTTTTTTTTTTTTTGCAGTGGGTACTGAAGTGGTTTTGGTAGATGAAGTCCCTTTCCCCTCAAAGATCACAACCACTAAGCCTTTATCTCTGCTTGGTCATGGAATTACAGACATTGAAATTCACTTTCTTCAAATTAAGTTCACAGCCATTGGAGTTTACTTGGACCCTGAAATTGTAGGCCATTTGCAACAATGGAAGGGAAAACCAGGAAATCACCTTGCAGAAGATGATGATTTCTTTGAAGCTCTAATTGCTGGTACTTATATTATCATTTTGGATACTTATGCAAGGTGTACGGAACGTGTACATTTTAACGGTTTACTGTAAATCTGACTAACCTCCACATTCCTCGAAGGGAAAGGCGCTGGCCTGAGGAGTTTGATTAGCGTAGGATTGAACCCATCATCTAAATCATGGTGATCAATCCTGCAAATGCTCTTCGCTGTTGAGCTACCTTGTTATTATTATTATTATTAGTTAATTAATTAAGCATGAACTTCAAATTTAAATTACTCTAAAGGTATACTTATGGAGTTAATTAATTAATTGGTCAGCTCCTGTGGAGAAGTTCCTTAGAGTTGTGGTGATTAAGGAAATTAAAGGATCACAATATGGAGTGCAGCTAGAGAGTGCTGTGAGAGACAGATTGGCGGCAGATGATAAATATGAAGAAGAGGAAGAAGAAGCTTTAGAGAAAGTTGTTGAATTTTTCCAGTCTAAGTACTTCAAGAAAGACTCCATTATCACTTTCCATTTTCCTGCTACCTCACCTACTGCTGAGGTAAAATTTACATGATAAAACACAGTTTTTTCTTCTTTTTCTTCTATAACCATCTGTGTCCGAAACCCACTAAGCTCTAACTATGTCGGGTTCGAGTTCTGGAGAGTTTTTTAGTTGTGCTGTGTTATAAAATTGGAAAACTACTAATGATTAAAAATCTTTCCATGTTTTAATAAGAACAGATTGCATTTAGCACAGAAGGGAAAGAGGAATCAAAGCTGAAGGTGGAGAATGCAAATGTTGTGGAGATGATAAAGAAATGGTATTTGGGAGGAACAAGGGGTGTGTCTGCTACAACTATAACCTCCTTGGCTAATACACTTTCTGCAGAGTTGTCTAAATGAAAATAGTCTGCTCAATAATGGGATTTTGAGGTTTTTTTTTCTGAATTTTGTATGCTTTGGACCAATCAAATTTGTAACTTTTCCTTGTTATGCTTCTGGTTTTTCGCAATAAAAGATTTCATGCACATGCCCTTTAAGTTTTCTATCTGCTCACCGACTTGCGAATAGATCTAAGTTCCAATCCCCTTCCCGATGATAATAAAAAAAGAGTTTTCAATCTTTCTTTATGGATTGGGCTCTAATATTAAACTACATAGTGAAAATGGATATTACTATTTTGGCCCATTTAGAAAAAAAAAAAGGATGCAATTACAACCCTAGTAAGAAGGCAAGATTGGCCCATTTCATTCCAAAGGAAAAACTATGAACAATGAAAGATTGATTCCTTCCATATCTTCATATAAGATTCAATAATAAGAAAAGAGGAAATTTCTTATCTTATCTTAATTTCTCCTTTCTCTTTTGAACAAAAAAGATAAAGTAAAATATATGAGAGAATCTCCCCTTTTGATGGTGTTTGAAAAGAAAGAAAAAAGTTTGAAATTGGAAGTAAGGTTCCACATGCTAAACCCATAAATGAACTTTACATATTTTTGCATTTTGCTTATTTCTTGTATAAAAAAAAAAAATCTCATTATCATATTATTTTAGCTTTCTAACACATTTGGGTGTTGGTATTAGAGGTAAAAATATAATTTTCTTTTATCAAGTTATTATTAATTATTCCTTTTAATTTATTAGTGAGAAAATTTTTTTTTATTCCAATCTTTTCAAATCAAGAAAAGAAAAACTCTAAGGATGGATGGACATTGATCAATAGGCATAGAAAAGGGTGGTCCAATGATGAATGATGCTAAATATAAAGTCCTAATCACAATAGTTAGTGCAATGAATGAAATTTCTTAATCATGGACCTACTAGATCCCACAAAAGATTATAAAAACAATAATAAAAATATAAAGAAATAGAAGAAAGTAAAGAAATGAGTTTGAGATTCCATTCTTTAAGCAACAAAATCATGATTCCATATGCTTCTTCTCTAAAATGCCCATCAAATCAAACAGGAAAAAAAGTGGACTAAATTCTATAAGCTTCCTTATCTTAATGAATTAAAGAATTCCTTAATATATATATTTATGCTTCTTTGCTTTGATTTTTTTTTTCTATATTTAAAGTTTATTTCGCAAAATTAACCATTTTAATATCCATTAGCTATTTTAATCATGTTTAGCTATTAGCTGTTTAAATAGTTTTTCACTAAACGCTAAATTCTAAACGTTATATGAATTAACATTTTATAAAATACTACATTAATCTCTAAAAAGTCGTTTGAATAGTTTTTCACTAAACGCTAAAATCTAAACGTTACATGAGTTAACATTTTATAAAATACTATATTAATCTCTAAAAGTTAATTCAAACACTATATTACACTAAAAACTATTTTAAAAAAAAAATTGTTGCAGAACACAACTTTACTTCGAACTCTCGTGTTATTTTCAATACTAGAAAGGGTAAAGAAATAGTTTAAATACTATATGGCATGTGGAAGCCAGAATAATTTCTAGTGACATGACTTGCTTGATTTGAACTAAGGCCATTACTTTCAACTTATTAATTTGTGCTTATCCTTTCAAATCTTGTGACTTGGAAATCATTCTTAATGGTTATTAGACTCCATTATTACTTACCATGGTTAGAGCTTAACCCATATAGTTATTTTTTTTATTTTATTCTTTTGTGTAAAATATTCAAATTAATTTAATGTGGGTTTCATACTAAAAGGAAGCATATTTACTGTTATTTGCAGAAATTTCTAATTGCCTTAGCCACTTCTATTTTTCCAAAATGGTTAGATGTGGAAGCATGGATAAAGATCCTATGCTCTTTAATCTTTATCATGTTTTCAAAAAGCAAGGGGAAAAAATTAATCAACTTTATTACAATTGTCGTATTAAGATTTAAGATTGTGAATTTATAAAATGTACCAGAAAAAAAAAAAAAAAGGATCAACTTCCTAAATTGGATGGTTCTCACATAGGAATTAAATGCTTGCTTATGCAAAAATTTGTCTCAAGTAAGAAAAAAAAATTGAATTTTAATTAATTAGGAAAAAGAATAATAATTTGTTTCAATTATTATTTCTGAATGAATATAAGAAATGAGAGAGTGAATTTTGAATCTTTGCACAATTAGTATAATTTGCATCTACCGCATTATAATTAGAGGTTAAAAATGAATAATTGAATAAATAAACCAAGACAGAAATTCTTAATTTAAGACATCAAACTTGCTTTTATACAATAGAACCCTTCTTTAGATGAACCAATTAGTGCCACAAACAAAACAAGACAAGACATAAATTAATGTTGAATTATAATAAAAATGTTAAAAGGCATTTTAACACATAGTAATAAGCAAACAAGAAAGAAACCTTCTAATTAATCAAAGATGGATCAATTTTCTGATCCATAGCACTAAACTAAACATCTACAAACAAACTTTTTCCTCTCATAAACCTTTAACTGAAGCTTCACATCTCTCTCTTTCTGTATATAGATATTCATAATTACATCAATTAACCAACTAAAAATTTAAAATAAAAATTTCAAATTAAGAAAAACCCTTAATTTCATTAATTACCCTCTAGGTACTTGGTTAATTATTCATGTATTTGCAGTCATAATCTATGATGCATAGCAACATTTAGCTATAAGCATTTTTCGCCGTTCGAAAACATTTTCACTTGTCTGTTTTTCTCCATATAAAATAATATTTCTCCGTGTAAAATTATATTTTAAATGTAGTTTTCGCGTTTCCGTGCAAGGTAGATCATAATTAACCTACCTCATCTGCAGCCATAGGCACATGATCAGTTCTGATCCCACCAGTATGAGCTTCTGCATCAACAGAAATAGCCACCATTACTTGTCCAGAAGCAACTGCTGGTTGCTCTATCAATGACTGTCTACAAGTAGGACAAGAAGAATGTGAAACCAACCAAGTGTCTATACACCTTACATGAAAACCATGGCTACATTTTGGCAAAACTCTAATTTTCTCCCCATCCATAAACTCTCCAAGACAAATTGCACAATCTGTAGCTATTATTTGTATTCCATCTCCTGCTGAACCATATATAACTACAGGAATTTGTCTCAATGCGCTTTTTTTAAGCCCAGTTGCTGCTAAACGAGCTGCTGCCTCATCAGCTGTCTCGAAGCTAAACCTTCTGCTACACCTTAATGCACAGCGAACTATTGAGTTTAACCCAAGTGCACATATTAATGCACAGAGCAAAGCTGCTAATATAATAACCATATTTGTGTCAAAATTTGCTTCATTAGTATAGCTTCCACTGCGCGCTCTGCTTCCATCTGAGGTTGGTGCTGTACTGCTTGATTGTGTATCAAGAAGTAGTCTATGAGGGCGATGGTAATTATGACTGCTTACCATTGTTAACTCGTATAACCAAGAAAAGATAAGTCTTTTTACTCAAAATTTCTGCAACTTCTTTGATGGAGAAGAAAAGAAAACAATTATCCAAATAGGGTCGAGATTATCTCATCATGGCTCCAAGGCTTCTTCATATTAAATCGAACAACAAAAGAAACTGAAAGTGAAGAGTTCATTTCAGTTCCTTGTTCTTGAAATAGAAAAGGGTAGAGTTTATCTGTTTATGGGTTTAGAAGTTTCAACAGAGAGAGAGAGAGAGAGAGAGAGAGAGAGAGAGATGTATATGTAAAGGGAAAAGAAAGAAAAAGAAGGTGTTGCCTTTGTTTAGGTTCTTGTTGATCTCATAAAATAAGGAAAGAGGAGTTGAATAGTAGCAACTAGCTAGAAACTTGACAACATGAATGGACTTTCTGGTTTCTAAAAGTAACAAATATGGAGGAAGGATAGCTTAATTAAGCTGAAAAAATTACTGATCTGCAAAGGAATTATATTTAGTAGAAGAAGAAAGGATAGCTTAAAATTTTCTTGTACTAGTCTTTCTTTGGTGTCTTTTCACTCCATTATTATTGAGATGGGGAAATGACAATTAGAAGGATTTTTTTTTTTTTTTTTTTAAATTTTCTTGTACTAGTCTTTCTTTGGTGTCTTTTCACCTCCATTATTATGAGATGGGGAAATTGACAATTAGAAGGATTTTTTTTTTGTTTTTTTTTTGGAAAAATTTAATAATAATTAAAAGTGGTAGCTTAAGAATTTAGTTGAATTTATGTACCTAAGTCCTAATTAATTGTTCAAAAATTATATTATTATATGTTTTTTATATCTTCGACGTGCCAATCCTTCTCGCCACTCTTCCTTTAATCAAAAAGATGGTTATTATGGCCCAAAAAATACTTTTCATCTTTGGATCCCTTTGTATGTTTAGTATATAATTTAATATATGCTAGCTACCAATGTTTCCTCTTTTGTACAAACATTGAAATTCATATTATACTATAATAATGAGAATTCATTTTATATTTTTTTATAAGAAATAAGCAAAGAACCAATCCAAATTAACATCTTATCACGTAATTAGAAGGATTTTTTTTTTTTTTTTTTGGAAAAATTAATAATAATTAAAAGGGTAGCTAAGAATTTAGTTGATTTATGGTACCTAATCCTAATTAATTGTTCTAAAAAAATTATATTATTATATGGTTTTTATATTCTTGAGGACCAAATCCTTCTCCCACTCTTCCTTTAATCAAAAGATGGTTATTATGGCCAAAATACTTTTCATCTTTGGATCCCTTTGTATGTATGTATATATTTAATTAGATGCTAGCTACCAATGTTGTCACCTCTTTGTACAACATTAAATCATATATACTATAATAATTGAGAATCATTTTATATTTTTATAAGAAATAGAAAGAACAATCAAATTACATCTTATTCACGTATTGTTTTTCCTCTTTGACAAGGAAAGACTTCACCTACTTGTAAAAGAGGGCACATGGAGATCGTGTGGACAAGGAGTAGTTCTTCCATGGCTAAACTACACTGGCTATAACCTTGTAATTATAAGTCCCAATCCTGTGGACCCTAAACGACAACATCTGTCTCTCTATGCAAGTTTCATCATTCAGGGCCATGAACCATGTCTGTCCCTTCACCTACTTTTGCTAACCCTTATTAAAACCAACACCCTTTTTAGGTGAAGTAAATCAAAAAACAGTTGCGATACAAACACAACCCAATTCCAAAACCATGTGCCCCCAACTTTCTCCATATCTTCGACCCATCTATGGTTAGGGTAAGGGATAGTGAAATACTTGAATTCTTAAATTCAAACCTGAATCAAGTTTGTCAAAATCGGATCAGATCGAATCTTACTCACTATCTAATCTATCAAAATTAGATAGCATGTCGGACAGGTCGAATAAATTTATCATCCCTACTCATGGAAGATAGACTAGAATTTGAGAGCCAACCCTTATGATAGGTTCTTTGCCTGAGATTATACACAATAGGTGCTTTAGAACCAAAATAAACTACTAGGTAATCCCTCGTTAATACAATTTTTTTATGCTATAATTAATGAAACATAAGATAATTATTTGATTACATTACACTAATATTTTTCTTTTTGACAATTACACTAATAATTATTGGATCTTAAGATGTGGTATGCTAATATTAGGGTAGGAGTTTACTTAAGTGGAGATTAGCATTTAGCTAGGTGGGTATTGATGAGATGTGGACCATTGTGCCATTAGTGGTTCAACCATTACTTCCTATCTCTCTAATAATGTTCTCTTTCTCTCAACTTTTTAGTGTTTCTCATCACTGTTTTCTATCCAAGGGTGCCCTATGGACTACGAGGAAAGTGCATCCTCACATTACTTTTTTTCTTAAAAAAATTATTAAGTTCAATATATGTAAATTAATTTATTTTCTAGAGTAAAATAATTATATATAGCTTTGATCTACTTTAAACATATTTAAGAGACAATTACGTTGTATTCGATAAGAGCTTTTTAAGTAGTTTTTAGTATTTTGATTGGTTAAAATATTAAAAGCTATTTTATTATAGTGTTTAGTAATATACATTTGAACTAGTTTTTAGAAGTTACGGTAACATTTTATAAAAAGTTTAGGGTCTATTCAGTAAAATTAGTTATTTTAGTAACTATTAACTGCTTTAGTAGTGTTTAGCTATTAGCCGTTTAAGTAGCGTTTCATAAAATCTCTAAAAGCTAAACATTGCACGAGTTAATATTTTATAAAACACTACTTTAATCTCTAAAAATCGGTTCAAACGCCATGTTACCGAACACTACAAAAACTAGCAAAAACTGTTTAAAAAACTGTTGTAGTAACGTTTAACTTTTAACGTTTTATGAAAAACTATTCAAACAACTACTAACTATTCAAACAACAAAAACATTATTAAAACAGCTAATAATTATAAAATATTAATTTTGCGGCTTAATTAAAATGGGAATATAATTTCACAGCAAAGATGAGCACTTAATTGTTAATTATACTGAACTAAATCACTCTCTTTTGGCCCACAAAATATGTATCATGTTGATTTAAATCATTCCTTAGCTGTTAGCAACTTTTGTGCTTAACAAGAGAAAATGACTTTTTTTTTTTTTAATTAAAAGAAAAAGGAAAAGAGAAAGATCCTTTGAGAAATATCTTGAGTATAAAGTAAATGCAATAGAGTGTTCTTAGAATTTAATTATCTATTTCTCGATTTTCATCAATCAATTTATTTTTCTTTTTTTAAAAAAAACCCTTTAATTACTTGTCCCTATTAAATGCACATGCTAGTGATAAGAAATAAATAGTATATAAATGGTTTTTTTTTTTAATTTATAAATTATTTTAAAAATAGATAGTTAAATATTTGGTAAAAATTATTTAATTTAAGTACTTGGTTAATAAAATGGTTAAAAGTAAATTAATTTGTTACAATAATAATAATAATAATTTGTTAGAAACCAGGAGAAGGTAATGTTTTTGAAAGATAAATAATTATAAATAAGAGTAACTTTTTATTTATTTAAAGTAGTTTTTTAAGATTATAATATCACTAACTTTTATATAATTCTCTTTTATTTTTAATATTAAAAAATTGTGGATAAAAATTAAAAGAACTATTTCTGCAATAGAACAAAGTTAAAAAAGTAAATGAAAGATAAAAAAGATTGTAGTAAAAAAATATATAAAAAAAGTGAAAAAATAATTACAGGATTCGCAGGAGGAAGGGCCAAAAGCGTATATGTACTCAAAAGCAAGGAGGGATTTGTAATTTATCCGAAAAATACAGCAAAACGGCACGGCGTAACGTCTTTCCAGTGAAAAAAAACACAGACAGGCGCTCTTTTCATCTGTGTAACCCGCGGTGTGTATGGCCATGAGACTCGTCGAAGAAGAAGAAGCAGCAGCAGTAGCAGCAACAGAAGCTGAAACCCATTGAGAGTTGAAACATTTCATTACCCAAAATGCAGGATCCAACAAACACAAACAACTCTAAACCAAATCCAACGTTAGAAACACAAAACTTTCCTCATGGACAACCATTTTCTTTCCGGAGCTCTGGTCACCGGCGGGCACACTCCGAGGTCCATTTCCGGCTTCAGGAAGATCTGGATCTCGTCACAGATCCATTCGAAGGACCATCTGGAAGCTCCTTCGATGAGCTTGGATCCGAGGACGACCTCTTTTGCACCTACATGGACATTGAAAAGCTCGGATCCAGACCCGAGGAAGGTCCTTCGGGTCTGAAACTTGACAATGCGGTTAATGGGTTAACTGATGGTGGTGGGGTCCAAGTAGGAAGAATTGGCGGCGGGGTGGTCGATGCGGATGAAGAAAAGAATGTGAGGCCAAGACATAGGTATAGCAATTCGGTTGATGGGTCTTCGTTTTTGGAGTCTATAGAGGCCAAGAAAGCTATGGCTCCTGATAAATTAGCTGAGCTGTGGACTCTCGATCCAAAACGAGCCAAAAGGTTTTCCTTTTCCTTTTTATCCTCTTTTACGTTCGTGGGAAAAAATGTTTTGGTTGTCTGGTCAATTTGCAATTGGTTTTAAAAGATCTTTTTTTCCCCCTTAAAAAGTTGATGTCACCGCAATTCTATATAAAGTTGGTTGCTTTTGAGAGACAATGTATTTGGTTTGACGCAAATGAGTAGTTCTTATTTTTCCTTGAACTGAACCGGTTGCGTTTTTGATATGTTTCTGTTGGACTATGGACTATCCTTTAAGCCTTGAGTGAAAATTGGGTTGGTATTTGGTGCGGTTTTTTTCGCCTCACGCATTTCTTTATGCTTCTTGCAGCCCTCTTTTTGCTATCAAGAATGTGTAAATGTGAAACTTCTGAGCTTTCAGTCAATGTTCCGAGCTGTTTTTGTTTTGTTTTTATGAAAGCATAACGGTCTCTTGATCCAATGCATGACAAAAGATCTATTGTGTTTATAGGCAATTTGTTCATTGATTATTTAGTTTGTGACATATTATTAGGAACTCTATCACTGTCATTTCTGAAGATGCGGCACTAAATCAGTGGAAACAAAATTGACCCATATTGCTAACCTTATTAATTTGGGTTAAAGCTTAGTTGCGTTCAATTTGATGAGAGGATAAGAGCTTCTTTTGGGGCGCTGCTCTATTGAACAATGATATAATGGAGGTTGATGGCATGGGAATATTCTATTGGGGTTTTAATAGACATGTAGGCAGTACTGTCTTTGATGAGAGGCCCATGAAATCATACCATCTATTAATTTGATTGCTAACTTGGCCTCTGTTTTCTTTTCTTTTATTCTCTATCTGTGGATTGTGCATGTTTTTTGTCTCTTAACTTTTGTTGGCCAATTAAGCTCAAAAAATTTCGTTCTCATATATACCGCATGAAATCATAGCCAATCTATTAATTGTTGATTGCTTAACTTTTGCCTCTGTTTTTCTTTCTTTTATTCTCTATCTGTGGATTGTTGCAATGAGTTTTTTTTGTCTCTTATAACTTTTGTTGTTGGCCAATTAAGCTCAAAAAATTTCGTTCTCAAATATATATATATATAATGAGTATAGGTATATATAATATTGATTAATAAATATGTTCCCAGGCAATATTAATTATTTTTAGTTTTGATTTGAATGTTACTTTATTGCTAACTGTCATAATCAGTGCACGCTATGCCTAAAAAATATATATGACTCCGGCTGCTACCTTTCAAAATTTTTGATTGCAAGAGCAATGAATAATGCTTTGAAGTTTGAATAGCAAAAATGAGGGAAATGCACTGGGCTATATATATTAATAATATGTTCCAGGCATATTAATATTTTTAGTTTGATTTGATGTTACTTTATGCTATGTCATAATCAGTGCACCTATGCAAAAATATGATCCGGCTGCTACCTTCAAAATCTTTGATTGCAGAGCAAATGAAATAATGCTTTGAAGTTGAATAGACAAAATGAAGGGATGCACTGGCTTTGGATATGTTTCTTGTATCATAATAATCTACTTCCGGTGAAGGAGGCTCTTTTGGTTTATTACAGTTGTTCCGCATATTAATTTGTTGTACTAAAGTATGAAATGTATTCATGAACCTCTAAGGACCTGTTTCTCTAGTAATCAAGGAAATTTGTTTTCCAAATTTGTCACTGTTTCAAATGGTGGAAATGGGTGTGCACTCTTTTTTCTTCTGAAACAAGTAATTTATGCAGGATTATTGCAAATCGGCAGTCTGCTGCTCGGTCAAAAGAAAGGAAAGCCCGCTATATATCAGAACTTGAAAGAAAAGTGCAGACCCTTCAGACAGAAGCAACTACACTTTCTGCACAACTCACACTATTCCAGGTTTAGCACATATTTCATGGAAATAAAGAACATTGGTTCTCGTATTTGAAAAACTTAATGATTAGCCTTCTATATCTTTCCTGTTTTATGTTTGCTCTTGTGGTCAAAAACACATTTCAGGTTATGTAAGAGCTTGAATTTTTTTTTCTTTCAATGCCATTTATTTATGGTCTTCTGTTCTCTTTCAGAGAGATACAACAGGTCTATCTACTGAGAACACAGAGCTTAAGCTTCGGTTGCAAGCTATGGAACAACAGGCTCAATTACGTGATGGTATGTTTTATCTTATTTAGTGTTGGACATATTTTTTAATGAAAGTTCCCAATAGGCAATCTAGGGACCATTCCACTTGCTATGTAATTGAACAGTCTATGCGTTGACCTAGTGATTATATGTTTTCAAGACTTACCATGTTTTTCAAAACATATGGGAATGATGTTCTGAATTGTAATGATAGCTTTCTACATGTCGTTACTGTCAAACTGTAACTGTGGGTTAGCCTTGCTGCAGTGTGGACCACTATCTGGGGTTCCAGTGCTTGGAATATGTGATTTCTCATTATTATTGGCAAAAGCTTCTAGTCAACATTTTACAATCTAAGAGTGTGGGATGCAATGAGAAATGACATATTTCTCCTTGTAGATTTTCAATATAAAAATGTACTAAAAAAAATAAACCACTTTTCTCTGATTTGGCTTCATTTAACATATAGTAGGAACGTTTATTAACTGCAACTCTCTGATATGCAGCTCTGAATGAAGCACTAAAGAAGGAAGTAGAGAGACTCAAACTTGCCACTGGAGAAATGATGACGCCAACGGATACCTATAATTTAGGAATGCACCATATGCCATACACCCAATCTTCCTTCTTTCTGCCCCAGTCTCAAACTAGGATAGTTAACAGCCAAAACATGCAGATGCCTCAGTTTCATTCGTTCCAGTCCAACATGTCAACTCCACTTCAACCTATGGGAGGTTCATCTCATTCACATGCCTTCCCGGATATGTTGCAGCAGGATCCTTTGGGACGATTGCAGGGGCTTGATATAAGTAGCAGAAGCACGCTTGTAGTTAAATCTGAGGGTCCGTCACTTTCTGCCAGCGAAAGCAGCAGCCTTTGATGCAAGCTTTTCTGATCAACACTTCACTTCATCCTATTTCTTGGATTGTTTATAGACTGACCATATTGACAGCCTAAGGTAATATTCTTTCGGGTTCGATTCTTTCTTTGTAGTGGGATTCTTTGTTGTTAATTCATCATCTCTTTAAGATACGAGGTTTTGTCTCTGTTCAAATCAAAATTGTATTTTGTCGGGGTTGTTGCTGGAATAGAAGGTTGTTCCTGGCAGAAATGCATCCTTGCATACAAAGTGCCCCAAGTTAGATTTTATTTGTTTACTGTCCAAAATTTGTATTGCTCAGGAAAATGAATTTTTGTTCTTTGATTTCCTCATTATTTCAATGGCTGATCTTCTCGTGACGCCATCGGTTACAATTAAAATGTGCAACTATATGTACTGAATTTTCTCATGAACAATTCATTGTTGTGGAAGTTTTTATCAAGGAACAGACAGCTTTCATGTTCATATTCCTGAATGGATGAAAATTCTACTCTCCTGATGGTTTAATTCAATGTTCGTTACTTATTTTTTATGGCACTTTGACCCTTTCTGCACAGTAAATTTGGCTCACAATATCAAAGCAGTGCCCTAAGGGCTTGTTTGGATAGATTTTTTTGAGGGAAAGATGGGTAGTTATTTTTTTTATGATTTTTTTAACAGTAAAATCTTTTTCTTTTATTATTAATACCTAGGAAAAATTTAATATAATTAAGCATCCATGCCTGGGCCATCAGGTTCAACCGACAATGTTGAGTGAAAAAATCTGATAAAACATTACATCAAAATGAAGAATCTTCTCGAGCATTTTCAACCATCAAATTGATTCTTGGAGAAAGTTATGAATTTTATTATTTTTTTATATATCCATTTTTATTTTTCAAAATCTCAAATTATCCTCTCCATGTTTCTTCTATTTTAAACTAATTTAATATTAATAAATAATATTCTATTAAAAATTCTGATAAATTTATATAATTTCAAATAGTTTTGATAATTTTTATATTTAATCTTGCCTTATAATATTCCAAATCAAATAAAAAATACCTTTACCCTCTAATAATTTTTTTTATTATTATTTACTTTCTACTTGCCCTTGTTTATTGTTGTAACGTTTACCGAAAGAGTCAAGCTCGCAGTTCATGCATGGAAAAAAAGTTATGTCGTTTTTAAACACGAGGAATCGCTTTGTAAAGATTATCATCTAAACGACAGAAATCCGCCCTCCATCTGCCAATATTAGGTATTCAGTTAAGCAAAAGTACACCAAAGTTGCCAAAACGTACAAAAGCAGTGGTTGTTTTCGATGATTCTGAGGTTGGCTGCTTGAAATAAAATGCCTTTATATGTCTTGAGGCAACCAAAAGGAAGAACACATGAAGCATTGAAAGGGACTGAAGTAGCAAGGGAGAAGGAAAAAAGGGGCTCTCTTTCGTTCCAGATTTAAACCGGTATTCTTGTATATTTCTCTTTGGATTTTATTTAAGTAATTCTGATACCAAACTCGCTGCTTTTTAGTCGTGCTCGGTGTTGCATACAAACTGTTCGACAAAAAATCTATATGAAACCCTTGAAGCTGTCATCGAGATATTAATTAATTTGATAACTCAGTTGTTAATTTTTTTATCCCCCCAAATTATAACATTTCTAAGGTGAGTTAGTGGTAGTATCTGAACAAGCGATTTTACATGAAAAAAATAAAAGAACTGGTAAAGCTTCCTCTTTCAATGGCTTTGCATGTCAAGTGACTCATTCTAATTCCTCTTAGAGAGTATGGGGGTGAAAAAAGTAGGGATATTCGGTTTTCCAAAACCCATTACAAAAATAAGCATTTTGGGTAGTGCACGTTAATCTGTTAATCTGTTAAAATGACTGACTAACAAGGAAAGAAAAGTAATGCTTGGAGATAGATGGAATAAACGCATATTTGTTTGTGGAAGAGATTTTAGAATTAATGCGTCTCAGTGAATTCCATGCGCTTGCAACTGATAACTCTTTTAATTGGGGTGCGTTTGATAAAAATGTGCCCTATATTTTTTTCATGTATGCTATCCATTGAGCTGACTTACTGAGGTTTATGTATTTTGCAATACAGGACATATTTGATACTGAAGAAGGCTACAGGTCGAATAGTTAAAATGAACTTTTTGTTTTTTGAGACCTCTCTCCTAATATGAGCCTCTTCAAGCGGCTGATACCCACCAAACAAGGGCTTGGTGATGCCATAAATCACTTGAGGGGTAATAATGTGTATACACTCTTGATGGTTCAAAGTTACTTTTTATTGGCTTTTAAATTACACTGTTGATTTATACTGTGACCAGGTATCTGTGTGCTATTTTGGATTTGGTGGCGTCTGTCCTGATAGATCGTTCTTGTGTCATCTAATGTGGGTTGTGTCATTTGTTTACTTGTTTGGATGAGTTCTAATAGGGAATTCAGTAAAGGAAGATAGAAATTAGTGTATATAATCTGGCAAATATGTTTGGATGAGTTCTAATAGGGAATTCAGTAAAGGAAGATAGAAATTAGTGTATATAATCTGGCAAATATGTTTGGATGAGTTCTAATAGGGAATTCAGTAAAGGAAGATAGAAATTAGTGTATATAATCTGGCAAATATGTTTGGATGAGTTCTAATAGGGAATTCAGTAAAGGAAGATAGAAATTAGTGTATATAATCTGGCAAATATGTTTGGATGAGTTCTAATAGGGAATTCAGTAAAGGAAGATAGAAATTAGTGTATATAATCTGGCAAATAGGTGGCGTCATGTCCTTGATAGATCCGTTTCTTGCGTGTCATGTTCTAATGTGGGCTTGTGTCATTTGTTTTACGTTGATTTGGCATGAGTTCTAATAGGGGAATATCAGTAAAGGAAGATAGAAATTAGCTGTATATTAAATCTGGCAAATATGTATTGGATGAGTTTCTAAATAGGAATTTCAGTAAAAGGTAAGATAGAAAATTAGTGATAGCTAAATAATTCATGGCAAATGAAAACTTTTTTTTTCTTTTGCAAATACTAATGCAAGGATACTAGGTTTGGTCCTTTGATAGTTGTTTCAATATCTCCGTTTGCAGGACCTTCTTTTTGCTTTCTGCCATTCAGGCATCTTGATAGTAATATGGAGACTTCATTCTCAAGACCAGGAAGTAATGTAATTGCTTTGGGAAGCACAATAGTGGGTCAGAGACTCCATAAATGTTTGGATGAGTTCTAATAGGGAATTCAGTAAAGGAAGATAGAAATTAGTGTATATAATCTGGCAAATATGTTTGGATGAGTTCTAATAGGGAATTCAGTAAAGGAAGATAGAAATTAGTGTATATAATCTGGCAAATATGTTTGGATGAGTTCTAATAGGGAATTCAGTAAAGGAAGATAGAAATTAGTGTATATAATCTGGCAAATATGTTTGGATGAGTTCTAATAGGGAATTCAGTAAAGGAAGATAGAAATTAGTGTATATAATCTGGCAAATATGTTTGGATGAGTTCTAATAGGGAATTCAGTAAAGGAAGATAGAAATTAGTGTATATAATCTGGCAAATAAAACTTTTTTTTTTTCAATACTATGAAGGATACTAGGTTTGGTCCTTTGATAGTTGTTTCATATTCTTTGCAGGACCTTCTTTTTGCCTTTTCCATTCAGCATCAGATAGTAATATGGAACTTCATTCTCAAGACCAGGAAGTAGTAATTGCTTTGGGAAGCAATGTGGGTCAGAGACTCCATAATTTCAACAAAGCATTACAGATGATGAAGCAATCTGGCATTAATATTACTAGACATGGTTGTTTATATGAGACAGCACCTGCCTATGTGACTGATCAGCCTCATTTTCTTAACTCAGCTGTTAGAGCTGTTACGAAACATGGTCCACATGAGTTGCTGGAAGTGCTTAAGAAGATTGAAAAGGATATCGGCCGTACTGCTGGGATAAGATATGGGCCAAGGCCAATTGATTTGGATATATTGTTCTATGGAAAGTTCAGAATTGATTCGGCGACACTCACTGTCCCTCATGAGAGAATATGGGAGAGACCATTTGTAATGGCCCCATTGGTAGATTTACTGGGATCAGACATTGAGAATGATACAGTTGCTTGCTGGCATTCTTTGTCGAGGCATTCTGGTGGACTTTTTGAATCATGGGAGAAATTGGGTGGTGAACACCTTATTGGGAAGGAAGGGTTGAAAAGAGTTATACCAATTGGAAATCACTTGTGGGATTGGTCACAGAAAACTTCTGTGATGGGTATTATTAATTTAACCCCTGATAGTTTTAGTGATGGAGGAAAGTTCCAGTGTGTGGATTCTGTAGTTTCTCAGGTCCACTTGATGCTTTCAGAAGGGGTAGATATTATTGATTTTGGAGCTCAATCAACAAGGCCAATGGCCTCTAGGTTATCTCCTCAGGAAGAATTAGATAGACTAATGCCTGTCTTAGAAGCGGTCGTTAAAATACCTGAGATGAATGGAAAGCTCATATCTGTGGACACTTTTTACTCTGAAGTTGCTTCAGAAGCAGTCAAAATGGGAGCGCAGCTTGTAAATGATGTTTCTGGTGGACGGTTGGACCCAAACATGACTAAGGTTGTTGCTGGCCTGGAGGTTCCTTATGTCACAATGCACATGAGAGGAGATCCAACTACAATGCAGAATACTGAGAACCTGCAATATGATGACGTTTGTAAGCAGGTTGCATCTGAGTTGTATTTGAGGATTAATGATGCAGAATTATCAGGCATCCCAGCTTGGAGGGTTATCATTGATCCTGGAATTGGATTCTCAAAGAACACTCGGCAGAATTTGGACATACTCATGGGATTGCCAACTATTAGAGCAGAGATTGCAAAAAAAAGCTTAGCCTTGTCTCATGCTCCTGTACTCATTGGACCTTCCAGAAAGAGATTCTTGGGTGAAATTTGCTCTCGCCCTGCTGCAATTGAAAGAGATCCTGCAACCATTGCTTCCATCACTGCCGGGATTTTGGGAGGAGCGAACATTGTGAGAGTACATAATGTTAGAGATAATGTAGATGCTGTGAAGGTATGTGATGCCATGCTGAAAAAATAAAGCTCTGCTCCATAATTATCAGACAATAATTTAATTTCTTTCTTTCTGAACACTTTGCTCTGCGTTTTAGTCCGCCACCCCTCTTATTGTCTGCATCATTCTTATGAGAGTAGAAGAATGGTGTTGCCATTAATAGCGTGAGGCTTATGGTTCCCTTTGCTGCAAATCTCATGGAGATGCTGTTTCCATTGTAAACTTAATGTTTCAGTTTGTAAATTTTTTTGTTGTGCAATGGATGACACAGTTTAAATTGCTGCACTTCTGTGCCTTTTGTGACTTTTCTTATCAATTTTGTATTTCTTACAGATTCCCTTAGAATCTAGCTGATGTGGCCATCAGTGGACTCACACATTGCCACCTTAGCGCCACATGGACAGGCCATGTCATCATATAAAAAGGCTTAATGATTTTAAAAAATAAATGAATAAATAAATTTTGACCCTTTTTTTTCAATTTGGCTAATATTTTTAATTTTATCCATTAGTGTTAAGTTATTAAATCTTTAAACGTTAATAACATACTAAACCCTTAAATGGAAATGAAATGAAACAGAAATCTCATTTTGCCAAAACATTTTCACCAATCTTAGATGAAAAGGTGCAAAGGCTCAATTTACCTCTTTTTACACTTTTATCTATGGTAACTTCAACGTCAGTAGTAAATCATAAATGATAGAATATTACTCATTGGTCCAAAAATTTATCCTTTTTAGAACTTTAATTTTAAAATTTTCAAAACGATTTATATTTTAAGATGGAAGGAGTATTAATCATTTAATTCAGAAAAGTATTATTACGTGAGATGAGATGGGTAACTTAATTGAAGTTGAACTCAAACTACCAAATACAACTAAATTTTGACCTTACAAAGGTTTAGTTGGCCTACACTCCCAATCTCACATTAAAAGTCACATGGTGGGGATTGGACTCTAAATTTATGAAATGCTCCTATCTTGAAAATTCCAAGTGGGATTGTTTGCGGATAGAGTAAGCAAACCATGTTATGAACTAACCTTTAGAAAGTGACTATTGAAAACCCTAGTGGCTATTGTCCCTTCCATGTTGGGGTTTTGTTGGTGTCCTTCAACTACAACCCCTTGTGAGGGGCACTTTCATTTCCATCTCTAACCGACAACATTTTAGTTGGATGAAAAACCCATCTTCCTTTTTGTGGATATCATTTTAAGTTAGAAGCAAAGATTGTTCCTTTTTAGTGTTTTAGGATCACAAATTTAGAGTGCATATATAAGTTGTAAACATGAATAATATTTTTGAATGCACATATTGATGTTAGGACATTTCGCTTCGGTTGTTTTTTCTTTTTTCTTTTTTTATTTTTTTTCTAATCTCAAGAAATAATTCAATAAAGAAAGGAGAATAATTATAAAGTGAAGGTAGCAAAAGCATATTTATTACTTTAATTTTCAAGTGAACTTTCCATTCTTCTATGATGCGTTTTGTCGACAAATTAAATACTCCGTCAAGAAAAAATGTGCCCTTTGACGTTCCTTTTTGACATTGCCATTATTTTTTCTGTTTAGGAAGCCACAAATCTTGACCTTTACATGCAGACAAATCACATTGAACCTTGCAAAGTCTTTTCTTCTTTTTTTTTTTTTTCCTTATTCTTTTTTATTTTAAAAAATAAGTTTTGAGTATGAGATTTATTTAGTTTTGGTATTTGTGAGTATTTTTTTTATTATGGATTGAATTTTTAATTTTTGAAAGAGATTATATGTATTAAAAGTTTATAAAGTGGATTAATGAAATCTCGATTTTGGTGGCAATTGATTTCAATTTCCGTAAAATAAGAATACAAATTCGATCTTGAGAAATCCCATTTTATTTGGACAGTCTAAAATTATTTACGCTTTATGGTCCGATAAAAATTATGAAGCGGGAAACCAATCGTTATCCATTTCCTAGTCTTCCCATACGAAAGAAACAAAGATTGAAAGCTTTGGTTGAGGCTTAACAATTTCTGAGTATAAAAAAGAAACCAAAGTTGTACAATTAACATTATATTCCAAAATTTTAATTAATTAAATTAAACAAGAAACAAAAGTTCAATATCAACCAAACCATATCCTATTTGTTTTCAATATTGTCAAGTCAGCATCTCATTTTCTTTGCAATAACTTGTTAATTCACACATATCCATATTTTGTTTCTTGAATATTATTATTATTATTATTATTATTATTATTATTATTATTATTATTTAAAAAATTCTATTGATAGAAAACGATGCATGAATTAAGGGACCGCAAAGACCGGGAAAGGCATGTGCTTGTAACGTGGTAGGACCTAATTACACTATCAAATCCAAGTTTTTTTTAGTTATTTGATAATTAAATCATATAATTTTCGAAAGAAAATAATTAAGTAATGATCAACTAATAATACTTTGATTGAAAAAGGCTAATCATCCACGCATGATCTAAGTAACAAGTTTTCTTCTTCTGTGAAACTTTCTAAATTATAATTTCATCATCATCATACGTGTGCTTGTTATATTTTATTTATAAATAATTATATTATTTGTGATTAATGTTAATTAGTAATTAATGATTTATATAAAAAAGCTCATCTCTAATCATGTTTATTATTATTTATAGCAACCGACAATGATTATATTATATGATCAATTAAATGCCTCACTCATCTAGAAAAGGGAAAAAAAAAAAAATTAATATGTGGATAATATTTTTTTTATTAAAGGCGACTGCAGTTCTTCTAATTAGTCATCTACAATCTTTAAATTAAAAAAAAAAAGAAAAAATCAACCTAACAAGTTAGCACGTTATGCTTAGTTCTTTTTGTTTCTTTTTAAATTAAGATTAGTATCACGAATTAATTCTTATATATACCATATTGTATTTATTTTTCTACTATAGTTTTAAAATTATATATATTTTCTCAATATGCTAAGATTAGAAGATTTATACTTAAAGAAGAAATTAAATCAAACTTACTGATAACTAAATCAAATTAAAGACTTACTTATAGCTTTTGCCCACATGAGATGAACAAAACCTAAATATAGTTCTTTTATTTAATGCCTTGAAGCTTGTCATTCGCCGTTATGTCAAGAATGAACCAATTTTGTGTACCAAACGTGATTTGATGCTTAACTTCTAAAACTAAAACCTACCCACCAAATTAGACCGTTTGAAAATGAAAACCCTAAAATCCCATAATCAGAGGCATGAGAATTGTATAGGCTACTTGATTTGCGCAACTAATAAGGTAGTTATGAAGAAAATTTCCACTTAAATTACCACACGTAAGTAAGAGGAAACTAATACTATGAAATATACTAAGAACAAGTGAAACTGAACGTTGAAAAATGCATGTGCAAGTGGGGTCATAGGATTAGCATTTGGTATTCCAACTCAGAACATTTGCATGTGCAATTGGATTCTTGGAAATGACTTTGAATATAATAACATTTGAAAAAAAATAAAAATCACTTCTTTTTTGTGGCTTTGGCTCTCTTTCTAAGGCATGAGCTTTTGTTAACTTGTTTCTTGTTAGTCTCCATGTCCACATCAAATCCTATAGCTTCCTTTTACTATATAAGCATACTCTCATTTCCTTTGCTAAGCACTTAGCCCTCCACCGCCCCTTATCCCTCTCTCTCTCTCTCTCTCTCTCTCCCTCACAGAACTATACAAGAAATGGCCATTCCGACATTTTCTGCAGCTACCCTTCTACTCTTTGTGCTAAATTTATGCTTTAGAGGCACTTATGGTGACTATGGAGGCTGGCAAAGTGGCCATGCCACCTTCTATGGCGGGGGTGATGCTTCTGGCACAATGGGTAAGTACTCGGAAGAAAAGAAAGTGTCTTTCTTTAGTTATATCTGGCCAAAAACTAAAAAGAAAGCGTCTTTCTTTAGTTAATTGAAATGATTGTGTTCATTGTAGGTGGTGCTTGTGGATATGGCAATTTGTACAGCCAAGGGTATGGTACTAACACTGCAGCACTTAGTACTGCCCTATTCAACAGTGGATTAAGCTGTGGTTCTTGCTACGAAATGAGATGTGACAATGACCCTAAATGGTGTCTTCCTGGATCAATCATTGTCACTGCTACAAATTTCTGTCCTCCTAACTATGCTCTCGCTAATGACAATGGTGGTTGGTGTAATCCTCCTCTCCAGCATTTTGACATGGCTGAGCCTGCTTTCTTGCAAATTGCTCAATACAGAGCTGGGATTGTCCCTATTTCATTTAGAAGGTAAAAATTTATCTATATTTTTCTTTCTTTAAAAAAGAAAACTTTAGCTCCATAACTTAAGAAATTTATGGTTTGGTCTGAACAGGGTGCCCTGTGTGAAGAAAGGAGGAATAAGGTTCACCATTAATGGACACTCATACTTCAACTTGGTATTAATATCAAATGTTGGAGGAGCAGGAGATGTACATTCTGTGTCAATCAAGGGTTCAAAGACAGGATGGCAAGCTATGTCAAGAAACTGGGGCCAAAATTGGCAAAGCAATGGGTATTTGAATGGACAAAGCCTCTCTTTTCAAGTTACTACAAGTGATGGAAAAACTGTGACAAGCTATAATGTTGTGCCTTCTAACTGGCAGTTTGGGCAAACATTTGCAGGTGGACAATTTTAGACTTTTGAATTAATTAAAAAAATTAATTATTTGGCATTACATTTGTATATTTTAATGTTGTTTGTGTAAGGATATGAGAGTGTGGGGTTAGGGTTATAGCCTATAGGACAAGGTTGGTTGGCCCAAATGTGGCTGGCTGTTGGCTGAGGTGGTTTATTGGCACCCGCTTGGCCTTTTTTTCTTTTTGTCTTTTTAATTTTTTATTTTTATTACAAAAGCAAAAGTAATGATATGTAGTTAGTTTTTGAATAGGGATATTTCACCTTTGGCTGTGAAATATCATTCCTTTTCTCTTACATATATTTATGTTGATGAACATTTTGATTATCCTTTTGCATTTGCTCAATTTGAATCATAATAAGATCTCCAATTTCAATTCTCTTCTATTAAGTTTGCGCTGTTGCTCTTTTTTTCTACGTGATGCTAAAACAAATCGTGTTGTATCGGTTCTTATATGTGATGGGTGAACGAAAAATTAAATTAATTTAATTTGAAATTAAAAAAGAGAGTATACCAAACATTTTGTAATTAAATTTAGTAGAAATGGCTGTATTTTTTTTATAAACAAAGATGTGTAAACCAGTTGAATCAAGCTCGAATCTGTCAGGTTCAAAATTCGATTTGAAATTCGACAATTCTGAAAATTTCAAACTCGATTTTATTGATAGGTTTAATGTTTAAATAAATGTAAAATAAATATTATATATATACATATATATAAAAGTTTGATAGAACTTGACGAGCTTTCAATATGAACATCACTAGATTGAAGCTCAACTCATTTACTAACGAGTCGGCTCGAGTTTGATCCGATTTAAACTTTTTAAAACTTTTCTTGAACCGAGTTCGAATAGTTTGCAAGCTAGTTTGACTCGTTACAAATTATGGTGAGTGACTTGTGTCTTTGCCCTGGTTCTAAAGCCCATTTAACCACATTATTCTCTTGGCGACCTAATGGTGGTTTTTAAGGAAGAATGGACCTTTGTTGGGCTCAGGCTCATAGGCCTACACCTAGTAATTGGGCCAGAAGATATCGACTCGTCGTCTAAAACTCCGTTGTGAGTAAACGACGAGTCGTATTGTTCAGTGTATGACTTTAGGCCCATTACTCTTAGATCTTTACAGAGACAAAATCATAGCAAGAAAAATGATGTCCAAGGCAATGAAAGAAAATGACCTCACTCTGTAGAGGGCTTCTAGTAGTGGGAGCAAGACTATCACCAACTCCTCGATTCCTTTTGGCTGCTTCTCCTTATTATTCTTTCTCTTTCTCTATTAACAGCCTCAACCAACGATTTCTTGAAAGCAAATCAATTCATTATTGCCATCATCGCAGCCTCAACAAACGCCTTCTCCTTAGACTTCCTTTAACATCATCGTCTTCTATCATGTCCCAGATGGAAAGTTCTGCTGGGGTTTCTACCAAGGCATCCTTTGATAATGGAGGGGATACAACTGTTTTTCCTTTGTCTTCATCTAGTGTTCTCAAAATCAACAAGGGAGATATCACCAAGTGGTTCGTTGATGGCTCTTCTGATGCTATTGTAACTTCTTACCACTCTTCCTAATTAACAATATCAACTTTCTTGATCTGTGTGTGTTGCTTTCTTGATCACCTTTACTTGTTAATAATAATGCAAATAGCGTTTTCTTGCTATTGAAGACAATAATCTGGATATCAGTCTTGGGTGGAAGTAAAGTTAATAGCTTTACTTTGTTTTATTTTATTTTATTGATCTCGATATTAATCTAAGGTGGAAGTAAATTGGAGAGATGACTAAATTGATTTAGTAATTTTTACTTATAAAATATTAATGATGCAAACATTTGTTTTATTGTTATTGAACTCCAGGAGTCTCTGTGTGTGTGCGTGTGAATATGAGGTTTATTAAACTTCAAATCAATTGGGTTTGCTAATTAACCCTTCTTCATGGTTAATCATTCTGGTGCATGAATGAGTATTGGCTGGTAGTAAATTCAATTGCTTTACCTTGTTTGTTTTATTTCATTCAACTTAAGTTATGAAACACTTGAATCAGTTTGGTGATGAATTCAGTTTCCTAAGTTATTTGTTATAAATTTTAGATTTTTAAGTCATAAAGTTTGTGCAGTATAGCTATGAAGTTTTGAGGGATACAAATTTCCCGCATTTTTACTGCAAGGACTAAATGATTGCACAAATTGATATTTGAATTTTTCTACTTTAAATAATGGGAAGCAAGCATTTACAAAAAAAAAAAATGTTATCTTCTGCAGGTTAATCCAGCAAATGAGAGAATGCTGGGAGGTGGAGGTGCAGATGGAGGTAATCTTGTCTTGTATATTCTCCTTTACATTGTGCTCAAACCTTATTTCAAGTTTTGATTCAAACTTCTGACAAATTTCACCACATTTTGGTAGCTATACATAGAGCTGCTGGACCAGAACTCCTAGATGCATGTTATAAGGTCCCTGAAGTCCAACCTGGAATCCGTTGCCCCACAGGAGAAGCCAGAATCACTCCGTATGCTCTTGTTGCTTAAATTTGTTGTAATGTAGCTACCATTCCAACTTTGTATACATTTGTCAATAATCATTCAATAATAACATATTGCACATATGCAGAGGTTTCAAATTGCCGGCATCTCACGTGATTTACACTGTTGGTCCTATTTATGATACTGATAGCAACCCTGCAGCCTCCCTGAAAAATGCATACAGGTGTATACTAACTTGGGTTGTGTCCTTCTTCGTGAGTAGTTTTAATTAGAATTCTAAATAGGATCTCTTGTTTACCCTTAATTGTGACAGGAACAGCTTGACAGTAGCCAAAGACAACAACATCAAATATATTGCTTTTCCTGCTATATCTTGTGGTGTTTATGGGTAAGTTGGCTGAAGGGGACCACCAATTTTCTCGCTATCCAAATATATTTACTTAGATATCTGTTGTCAATGACAAAGAGCTTGAGTGTTGATCACATTGCACGACTTCCATATAAATGGGTGCTTTTGAATGCCCTCTAGGCTTTCTAACTATCTATTTGTAGTTTGAGGATTAGTTGATTGGAGAAGCATTATCTCAGTGATGATGGCTTACTGTCTGAAAGATATAGCCTAAGTAGGGTTATGAGCTCAAACTATTAATTATTGGATAAGATGCCATATTTTGAATTCCACCTAGTTTGGAGTCTGTAAAACCCATGTGGAGAGTTCATTTATCTCTTGAAAGTCATTGTTTTTTCTTTCTATTTGCTTTTTCAGGTATCCTTATGAGGAAGCTGCTGCAGTCTCTATATCCACAATCAAAGAATTTAAAGATCCCATGTGGAGAGTTCATTTATCTCTTGAAAGTCATTGTTTTTTCTTTCTATTTGCTTTTTCAGGTATCCTTATGAGGAAGCTGCTGCAGTCTCTATATCCACAATCAAAGAATTTAAAGATGACTTAAAAGAGGTATCATTGCATCTGTATTTTGCTTCATGATATATACTCTAAATCACTTCATTATCTTGAAATCCAATAATCTCCATTCTCTATGATACTAGTCCATGACTTGGTGTAGTTCACCATATTTTTCCAAGACACCAATTCATAATCCATGACTAATTATCATCAGTCTCTTCTTGTAGAGGTCTCTGCCCCTATAATAGCAGAAATATATCATTTTCATTAATCACATGTTCATAAAAACTTACTGGTTTTACTTAATATCATTATTGGCAGGTGCATTTTGTTCTGTTCTCAGATGACATTTATAATGTTTGGTTAAAGAAGGCAAAGGAGTTGCTTCTGCCATAGCCTGTGCTGCAACTGGAACTTTGTATCGCATCAATGCGTTGGAGACAAAGTGAATAGTAATGGCTTTGGAATTTGATCCATCTTGGGTCTACGCGAATGTGTTTTTTTTCAAGTAATTGGGGTGAAGAGGGATTGCTGTGGACTGAATTTGAACACTCCCCATCATATATATTACTATTATTTTATATATTATGTTGATACCAATATATCATATAATAGTACTATTTTATATAAAGACTAATATTTAAGTCTTACACAGGAAAGACATATCATAAAGTAATAGTTTTTTCCTTTTTTTAATAAAAAAGTTCGTTCCTTTAGTTGGTTTGGCTCCTACCACTACTAGAGTTCAAACGCACAACCCATAACCTAAGAACAACTTAAAGCTCATCGAGTTAAAGTTGTCAAGTGCATTTTTTCTGTTTTTGGACGTTGCTTACAGAGTTTGGTTGAACCAGACAGGGGAACTTCTTCATCATTAGATTCATTCCTATACATAAATAAAATCATGTGCTGTTTTGTTGTTCAGTCAACATACACATTTTCAGAAATTGTTCTTCATAATCCATTACCTCCCGTTCTTTCAATCGAAGAAGATCAATGTATAATATACAACCGATCCTATTCTCAATTTAGAATCCATCCTATCTTCATCTTTCCCAAAGAAAATAGTCCCACTCCCACATGAAAACTTGCTCTAAAATTTAAGAATATATAGATCTTAAGCCCAGTTTCAAAAGCTCAGATGCTTATAGAAGATTATGAAAACACTCTGTTCTGTTCATCGTAATGAGGGAAAAGGGACAGCACCTACTCTTGTTCAGTCAAGAACCCACCCTCATAAGTAACACATAAGAAAGAGATGATCTCACCAAGAAGTTGAAACTCCGCAGACTTTGTGGTAGCACTTAGAACTTTTGAACCACAGACTCAACCGTCACGCTTATGCATCTTTGACCCTGTATAAACTCTTGTTGGATTCTAATAGTTACACTCACATCCACTACCTTATAGCGATTCGATACTTTTTCAACAATTTTCTGGATCATCCCGCCATATCTATCGACATGCTCTTCATATTTGCTATACAAGGCAGGAATTCTAATGGATAATTGCAATGGAGCAGAAGCTGGATCCGAAGCCGGCGAAGGCTCGGAGGGTGCTTCAGTTTCCACCATCTCTGACTCCTCTTCAGCCATATCGCTAACTGCTTATCCAAATTTAGGAACTTTTTATGGAAAAGTTGGAAAAGGTAGAAAGAGAATTAAGAAGATAACGAGTGATTTGTGATCGCAGAGAGAGTGGTGTGAGTGAGAGAGATTTACAAGTGAAAAAACTATTCATGACCATTGTCATTGTAGATCAGAACTCAATAGGGAGGAGAATAAAAAATGCCGAGGGTAAAAAGGGAAATTTGAGTTATGAGTTTCCCGTTCGAGAATAAGACTTTCATTTGAACAATGTCAATTAGACTTGATGGCCGAAGTCTACCTAAGGCATCAGCTCTGATATCAATTGTTGGGAATCATTTCTGATATCATTTTGTTGGATTCTCATAAAGAATTAAGAGAAAATTGACGCAGCGAAATAATCAAAATTGTGACATGCAGAAATTTACCTGGTTCACCCTCAACGGTTTAGGATACATCCACGGGAAAAACATTGAATAATTCTTTCACTATTAAAAATAGTAGGTACACTAAGAGAGTAATACAAAAATAGTGGTACTCCAAGTGTTTTTCAAAAACAACCCATAATAATTTTCTCACTATTTTCCCTCTCCTAGTTTTAGGAAACCCTTCCTAAAACTAGATAACTCTCTCTCTACATTTTTTTTTTTCTTTTTGCTGTGTGTTGTTTGAGGGAAATCTTCTCCTATTTATAGGAGAAGAGGATGCGTTAACTAATGCGTCCACCGACTGACGCATAATTAACGCATCCATCTTCAATTATTGGTGCAGCCTTCTTTAAAGATGGATTATCAAAAACGTGTTTTCCCTTTTTTTTTTTTTTTTTTTTCAAAAGTGTGTGGGTCCCACTTAAGTGGGCATCGACATAATAAATCTCCCCTTGCACACATTAGGGTGGATACACCACTTCTTCATTAATTGTTGTGAATCCCACTTAAGTGGGCACACCACAACAATTCTCCCCCTGCACACTTAAGTGGAAACATTAGCCGCTATCATCCCTGCAGCTAACCGACAGTATTCGAACTTCTCCTTTGAAAGAATCTTCGTTAACATGTTTGATCCATTTTCTTTTGTATGGATCTTTTCAAGCCGTATGTAACAGCTTCATCTCCAACACATCCCTAATATCAATGTGTTTTGATCTTGAATGGAAGGAGGAATTCTTTCCAAGGTGAATTGCGCTTTGACTGTCATAAAATATCTGATACTATTCTTGATGAATTTCGAGTTCATTCAAGAATTTCTTCATCCACAGCAACTCCTTGCACGCTTCAATAATCTTGACTATCACGACACAACTCCCCCTGCAAATGTGATTAGATATCCTGAAAATCCATTTCACTGCAGTCCAATGTTCCTTTTCAAGATTTGAGAGTGCAGTCCAATGTTCCTTTTCAAGATTTGAGAGAAACCGACTCACTACTCCAACTGAGTGAGCAATATCTGGCCGTGTACAAACCATGGCATACATCAAGCTTCCAACTGCTGAAGCACATGGAATCTTTTTCTTTTCTTCCTTCTATCCATCCGTACAAGGGCACTGTTTAGAACTCAATTTAAAGTGACTAACAAGAGGACAACTAACCGCTTTAGCATTCTCCATTCTAAACATTTGAAGTACTTTCTCAATGTACTTCTCCTATGACAACCATAATTTTTTGGCTCTTCAATTCCTTATAATCTTCATGCCAAGAATCTGCTTTGCTGGTCCCAAATCTTTCATAGCAAAAGACTTACTTAGCTGTATCTTCAAGCTAGTAATTCTGACCAACAAGCAACATATCAAACACACAGAGCAAAAACAATGTAGTCATCATCAGAGAATTTCTTCATAGAAACACAGTGATCTGAAGTAGTCTTTCTGTAGCCTCGCTTCCCCATAACAGACTCAAACTTCTTGTACCACTGTCTCAATGCCTGCTTCAAGCCGTACAGGCTCTTCCTCAGTTTGCAAACACAATCCTCTTAACCCTCTGAACTGCTCCATGATATTTCTTCTCCATAAATCTCCATACTAGGGAAGGTAGGTCCTTTCCATCCATTTGCTTGATTTTCAGATCCAAAAACTGACGGCCATTTCCGAGCATTGTCCGAATGGATGTCATTTTTCACTTACTGGTTGAAAAGGATCAAAATCAATTGCCCTTTTCTTTGATTGAATCCCTTTACAACCAGTCTAGCTTTTGAATCGTGGTTGGGAGCTGTGTTCTCCCTGCTTGATCCTGAACACTCACTTGTTCTTCAAAAGCTTTCTTCCTTTAGGCAACTTCACCAGCTCAGAATTGTGTTCATCCTCATGCAAGGACTCATGTTCATCTTCATGGCTTCAATCCAGTTTCTCCTTGTGTTCATTTTCCATAAGTTTCTTCAAAGCTTTCAGGTTTCTCCCCGTTATTGTCAGTTACATACTCATTGACTGGGAATCTAGTAGATGGTTTGTCAGACTGCCTAGTAGATGGTTGTCAGACTCTACTAGATCTTCTTAATGTTTGAGAACCTTCCGGTGCTGGTGGTTGAACATGAACACCATAATCTTTATTTGGTTCATTCTGATTAGGAACTTCTAGATTTTCTAACTCTGGCACTTGTTCTTATGAAACATTTTCTTCATCTCCAATTTGTCTGCGTTCTATTCGAGGGACTCTCTGTATGTTTGTTGAGTCTTCATCATATCTATTGGCACTCTGCTTCAACATTTTCAATTGTTTGATCTTTAACAAATATAACATCACGATTTCTTATAATCGTCTTCTGGATTGGGTCATAAAACTTATAGCCAAATTGGTCTTGGCCATAGCCAATGAATACACACCTGTCTGATCTTGGGACATCAGCTCATCAAGCTTAGACCATTCATCCTTCGGGATACCTGCGAAGGCTTTGCAACCAAACACTTGCAAATGATCATAGGAAACATCCTTTCCTAACCATACTTTCTCTGGAATATCATACTGTAGACGGAAACAGAGTGAATGCCGAACTGCTGTGAATAACACTGCACCCCAAATCTTTTAGACAACTTTGCATGGTGAGAGTAGATATCTGACTCTCTCCATCAAAGTTTTGTTCATCCTCTCAGCCAAACTGTTCAGTTGCGGCGTCTTAGAAAGTGTCGTTTGATATCGAATGTCATGCTCTTTATAGAAAGCATCAAATGACCTAGTGTATTCTCCACCTTTATCTGTCTTGATACACTTCAGCTTCTTGCCAGTCTGTCTCTCAACCAGGTTTAGAAGACTTCAATGTGTATACCCAGGTCTTCCTAGAATGGTCATCAATAAATATCACAAAATATCGATTTCCACCGACAGTTGTCAATGGTCCACACAAATCTGAATGAATCAGATTTTAATTACCATCTTCATTCGTAAGAAGGAGGGTAAATCACTTGAAAGCATACTCTATTAGCTTCTCGCCTCATACAATCGAGGACAACTTGTCTAGCGTGAACTTCAGTCCAATCCAGTACTACGTTCTTTTTTGCCAAAGTTTTCTTACTCATGTGTGCATAGTGGTTATGCCATAATTCAATTTTGTACGTCATTCCGTACACTCCAAAGCTTTACACTCAAAGTGTCTTAGGAGAGTTCGCATGCATCACGTTACAGCTGTTCGGTTCTTTAGCTACCACAAATGAACCTTTTGTAGCTTCCACTGACCGATTCTAAAGGGTGCCTACAGAGGACCTTTATCATTCGAAATCTGCCCAAACCTTTATCATCAAATCTGCCAACCGAGATTTGGACGCATGCTCGAAAGCCCATTCCTCATCAATCTTCTCTTCTGGTTTAGTTCAACTAAACACAGATAAATGCATTTTGATTACCATAAGGAGATCTCTCATTTCTCCATATATGGTAATATGCACCATTCAGACTGATCATTTTGTTTGTCCATTTTGACTTGTGCAGAATATCATTACCAACATAAATCGTATACGTGAATAGTGATCATGAATAGTAATAGTATACTCGAATAGTAACTGTATGCATGAATAGTAAGTGTACATGTGAATAGTGCTGGGCTTACTTAAACCGGAGTCAGCAACAGTAACGCCAATAGTACTGTTCACCATCAAATTTACTATTCATCACTAAGTCGATTCTGCAACGTCTTTCTGAGCGGACAGCACCAATGGACTCGTCGTAATTTTTCTTCGTTGTGGTATAATTATTTTTAAAATATTTATTTTTAAAATATATCCACGGATCCGGTGCCGCTATCTAATCGGCTGGACCTGCCGAAACCTTCGGCTCTGATACCACTTGTTAGGCATCAGCTCTGATATCAGTTTTTAGACATCAGCTTTGATACCAGTTTTTAGACATCAGCTCTGATACTAATTGTTGGGAATCAACTCTGATACTACTTGTTGGGCCCTCACAAAGAATTAAGAGAAAATTGACACAGCAGAATAATCAAAATTGTAATATGCAGAAATTTACGTGGTTCACCCTCAACTGTTTAGGGTTACGTCCACGGGACAAATTTACGTGGTTCACCCTCAACTGTTTAGGGTTACGTCCACGGGACAAAGTCTGAATATTAAAAATAATAGGTACACCAAGAGAGTAATACAAAAATAGTGATACTCCAAGTGTTTTCTAAAAACGCTCCATAATAATTTTATCACTATTTTTTCCTCCCTAATTTTAGGAAACCCTTCCTAAAATATATATATATTTTTCTTTTTGCTATGTGTTGAGGGAAAACCTTCTCCTCCTATTTATAGGAGGAGGAGAGGATGCATTAATTAATGCGGCTGACGCGCAATTAATGCATCCATATCCAATTGTTGGTGCTGCCTTCATTGAAGATGATTATCAAAAATGTGTTTTCCCTTTGTTTTTTCTTTTTTCTTTTTAAAAAATGTGCCCACTTGATTGGGCACCGACACAACGGTCTACACCGTGTGGAGCCGGCGTGCGCAATTTGCGTTTCAACGCTTCTAAAGAAATTATAATCTAATCTGTGGGTATTTTTTTCCTTTGTTTTTGTTTTTTTTATAATCTGACAAAAGTTATCTCCTTTTGGTTTTGTGGTTCTTCTACGAGATTAGTCAGAGGGTGATCATGGCTGATGCTGAATCAGTAATCATCAATACTGAAGATTATATTGGCGAAACGGAATATCATACTCCCAATCGGAAGGTTAAGATTAGAACCTCAATTGTCGTGTTATATATACATATGTTCGCTAATTTGTTGTTTCAGAAGCTAAATACATACGCATATTTCTCTTTTCAAAAAGGTTACTACCCCGGAATGGTTTATCCTCGTCGCGAACTTCATCTTGGAGCTTCCATCGGCTGTTTTTGATCAGCTATCTTCTGTGCATAAGCCTCAGTATGCATTGCTTAGTATGTTGATGTCTTTCATAGTCTTGATCCTTTCAATCGTTGACCTTGTTTACAAGGGTCGAAAAAAAAGAGTTACATTCATGTGGAGGGGTTTGATACCATGGTTTTATTACCAACATCCGAATCGAACTCTCATGTCCTTTGGAACATTTTCTGAGATTATTGGATTAGTTTGTAGCATATTTCAATGTGTTTTTACATCAATAGGATATGGCTTTTTGTATAGGCATGTTGATAATCCTATCAACGTGAATGCCTGGCCTGTGATCTTTGCATTTGGTGTATTGTATTACAGAGGTCCAGAAAGGCTCCCAATCCTACGGAATAGGGAGTCAACCCTACTTTTAAGGACACTCAATGAAGAAGAGAATACAGCTGTTTTTCCTTTGTCTTCATCTACTGTTCTCAAAATCAACAAGGGAGATATCACCAAGTGGTTCGTTGATGGCTATTCTGATGCTATTGTAACTTCTTACTACCCTTTCTTATTGTTTCCTTTAATAATAATATCAACTTTCTTGATCTGTGTATGTTGCTTTCTTGATTACCTTTACTTGCTAATAATGATGCAAATGCTGTTTCCTTGCTATTGAAGACCATAATCTTGATATCAATCTTGGGTGGAAATAAACTCTGTTTTATTTTATTTCACTGATCCTGTTATTAGTTATGAATTCAGTTCTGTTTAGTTGTTTGTTATAAATTTTAGATTTTTAAGTCAAAGTTTGTTCATTAGAGCTATAAGGTTATAACGAACACAAATTTCCCCCAGTTTTTTGCAGTAAGACGAACTAATTGCACAAATTGAGATTTGAAGTTTTCTACTTTACATAATGGGAAGCGAGCATTTATGAAAAAGAAAAAACATTATCTTATGCAGGTTAATTCTGCAAATCAGAGAATGCTTGGAGGTGGAGGTGCAGATGGAGGTATTCCTGTCTTGTACATTCTCCTTTTCAATCTCTTCCAACCTTACTTCAAGTTTTGATTCAAACTCACGAAAATTTCGAAAGCATTTTGGTAGCGATCCATAGTGCTGCTGGACCAGAACTCTTTGATGCATGTTATAAGGTCCCTGAAGTCCAACCTGGAGTCCGTTGCCCCACTGGAGAAGCAAGAATAACTCCGTATGCTCTTGTTATAAGGTCCCTGAAGTCCAACCTGGAGTCCGTTGCCCCACTGGAGAAGCAAGAATAACTCCGTATGCTCTTGTTGCTTAACTTTTGCCATATTCTAGTAATCACTCCAGCATTGTATACATCTATTAATAATCACTCAATAATAACATGTTTCACATATGCAGCGGCTTCAGATTACTTGCATCTCATGTGATTCACACTGTTGGTCCTATTTATGGTTTCGATGTCGACCCTGCAGCCTCCCTGAAAAGTGCATATAGGTGTATCCTAACTTGGGTTGTGTCCTTTATTATCATTAGTTTTAATTAGAATTCTAAATAGGATCTCTTGTTTACTCTTGATTGTGACAGGAATAGCTTGAAATTAGCCAGAGACAACAACATCAAGTATATTGCTTTTCCTGCTATATCCTGTGGTATTTATGGGTAAGTTGTCTGAAGGAGACCACCACCAAACCGCCACCCACCACCCCCACCCCAAAACAATCTCATCAGTACCCCAAAAAAAAAAAAAAAAAAAAATCACTGTGTGGGGAGTTCATTTCTGCTCTTCGAAAGGTCATCTGTTTTTCTTTTCTATTTGCTTATTTAGATCCTCATGAGAAGCTGCTGCAATGATCTATATCCACATCGAAAATCCACAATCAAAGAATTTAAAGATGACTTGAAAGAGGTATCATTTATATTTTTATTTTGCTTCATGCTATATACCCTATATCACTTTTTTTTTTTAAAAAAAAAATTTTAATCAACAAAAACTTATCAAACTCCAGCAATCTTATAATCTCTGCCCTATAATAGCAGAAATTTACCATTTTACTAGTCACATGTCCTTAAAAACTTATTGGGTTTTACTTAAAATTATTGTCGGCAGGTCCATTTTGTTCTGTTCTTCGATGAGATTTACGACGTTTGGTTAAAGAAAGCCAAAGAATTGCTTCTACCTTGGCCTGACAGTCAAGAACGATAAGGAAATCTTTTTCCTCTAGTTTACAATAGGAGGGAAACTTTTCTGTCCAGTATAACAACTTTCCAACCACCACCCCCACCCCCACCCCAAAACCGCCACCCACCACCCCCACCCCAAATCTCATAACAGTACCCCCCCAAAAAATAAAAAAAACTTTCCTGTGTGGGGAGTTCCATGTTTCTCTCTCGAAAGTTCGTTGTTTTTTCTTTCTATTTGCTATTTAGGTATCCTCATGAGGAAAGCTGCGCAATATTCTATATCACAATCAAAGAATTAGAATTGTTTTTCTTTCTATTTGCTATTTTAGGTATCCTCATGAGGAAGCTGCTGCAATATCTATATCCACAATCAAAGAATTTAAAGATGACTTGAAAGAGGTATCATTTATATTTTTATTTTGCTTCATGCTATATACCCTATATCACTTTTTTTTTTTTTAAAAAAAATTTAATCAACAAAAACTTATCAAACTCCAGCAATCTTATAATCTCTGCCCTATAATAGCAGAAATTTACCATTTTTACTAGTCACATGTCCTTAAAAACTTATTGGGTTTTACTTAAAATTATTGTTGGCAGGTGCATTTTGTTCTGTTCTTCGATGAGATTTACGACGTTTGGTTAAAGAAAGCCAAAGAATTGCTTCTACCTTGGCCTGACAGTCAAGAACGATAAGGAAATATTTTCTGTCCAGTATAACAACTTTTCAAATTTTTGTTCTGTTTTTGGACGATGCTTACAAAATGTAATTGAACAAGAAAGGCAACTACAACATTAGCTTCGTTCCTGTATAAACATGCTTCAATTGGACAATGTACTGTTTTGTTGTTCTATTACCAAAGAAATTTATCCACTTCTCATTATTAATAATGTCTTAAAAGAGGAAAATACAAAAGAAATAAAAAAAAAAAAAGTCGTCGTTTTTGCTTGTTTTTTCAAGATATGATGCTTTAATGGCTCCAAAAATAGAACTATAATCAGGTCTTTCAATCTTACTAGCTTTTAACATACACATCATTAAATATTGTTGTTCATAATCCATTACCTCCTGTTCTTTCAATCTAAGAAGATCAATGTACAAACTGATCCTATCCTAAATTTACAATCCATCCTAATTTCATCTTTCCCAAAGCAAGTCCCACATGAAATGGAAAGCAAACTAGCTCTAAAAATTTAATGATCATGAGATCTTAAGCCAAATTTCAAAAGTTCACTTGCTCGTAGAAGCTTATGAAACACTTTGTTCTGTTTATCATAACAAGGGTACAAGGGGCAGCAGCTACTCTTGTTCAGTGAAGAACCCAACACTGTAAGTAGCCCAGAAGAAACCGACATTGCCCCAAGAACTTGAAACTCTGCAGACTTTGTAGTAGCTTTTAGAACTTTTGAACCGCAAACTCGACCATAACCTGTACGCATTGCAGGCTTATGCATCTTTGTCCTTGGATAAACTCTGTGGGATTCTACTAATAACACTCTCATCCACTATCTTATAGTGATGCGATAATTTTCTGTGGATCATCCCGCAATATCTATCCACACGCTCTTCATATTTGCTATACAAAGCAGGAATTGTAATGGATAAGATGGTTCCTGTCACCACGATCAATGGCACACCTATAAATATTTGGCTCCTCCATTTACTGATCACAAACATCCAATGCATATATGGATGCAATTTTAAACATACATAATACAAAGTGAATCTATCTGGTTTCTAGGACATATCAATAATATATTGCAAGAAAACTTTTCCATTGCTACTTCAGAGCTAGAGAATGATGACAATTAGCCAAAGGAGTAGCCAGACTGTAAAAATGAGTAAAGTACAAAAGAATTTTGACAAAGAGAGGAGCCTGCATTTGCTTAACAACTTGGGCAAGTAGTGCATACCTATGTAGGCCAATGTGAAGAAAGATAGGTAGCTACCAATGGCAGACAGAAGCCATAGACAAACCACCACCTGTCAAACAAGAAATACTTTTATATCACCGGATTAAATTAGTCAGCAGAACAATGCATATATGGAAGAAATATACTGTTGATTTGTCAACAAAGATTCTGAGGATCATTTATTCAAACAATAGAAATATCCTTCAGGATGGTGTGTCCTGAGACCCAAAACATGCTTATCAGAGTGCATAATTAACAAATTAACCAAATCAAATGCAAAACTCATTGCGAGGGTTCCAAACAATATCCATAAGCTATAATGGGACCTGCTTTCAGATATTCCAGCAACTAAGTAATAACTCAAGGTATGGAGGGGGTGGGTGGGTGGTTGGAGGTTTATCGGTTATACTGATTCTATTTGCCTTCCATTCATTTTTAGCAGATGAAATTATAAAAATTAAACACAATCCATTTGTAGTTCCTAGACTTTATATGTTAAATATTTAAATTACAGATTTCATTGAGTTATGTAATTTCACTTCCATTGCGTTGGAACTTAAAAAGGAAATTCATTATTAAAACTCCAAAATTTTAATTTTATGGAAGTGAATGCACTTCGAGCAAACTTATGTCAAATTCAATGGACTTTGCAAATGAATTCAACATCTTTAATTGCCAATTAAAAACATTAAAAATATAACAAATGAATTCAGATCACTTACCATGATGCCTCATTAGGGTGAAAAGTGATCATTGTAAAGATATAGCTATCTAATCTTCTTAAATTAATAAATACAAACCTTGAAAAAGAGTCTAAAATCTTTTCCAATAGTGATGTCATGAGCCATAAGAAGCATATTGTTGATTTTAACACGAAAAGAAGCTGCAGCATTATGAACCATTTCCTCCGACAAAACTAGCTCTGGTAACGATTGGGGTTGTCTGCTCAAACACAAACAGTTGTTGCCATTAGAAATGGTTTCAGCATCAAAACAAAGAGCTCACAACTGACCAAAATAGTGGATATTGGGCATACTTATTTCTGATAACAGCAAAGTTGGCATGAAAGAATAGTAATACTGTCACGACCAGCAAAACGTCCGAACAAATTGTTAAGAATGGTAATCCAGACCGTTCAAATATAAACCATGCAACTGTTGCAACAACAATGACACCAAAAGAAACATGCCGCCGCTTCCATAAAAGTACATCGGCAGCTATCATTAAAGAAACAAATTTGTCAAACTTCAACAAATGCAGAAACAAAATGAAAAAGGTGTACCAATATGCAATTCTGGAGATAATGTTATATTCTCTACTATAATCATGACAAACAGTAACAAATTTGTTGCAATAGTAAATACATCAAGATGAGATAAATTTTCTCAAAACATCAATGATCAATCAGCTAGACAAATCAACAAACTTTCTATCCAAGTACTTGGTGCCTAACAAATATTCAGTCCGATCAATGAGGCAATGCAGAAAGAGGAATAGAAAAGATGAATGAAAATACAAATGAATAAGGCTGGAGGTATATCCTCAAAATTCCAAGCTTGATATAATTAGAGAACTTTTCTGAACGAATAGCAATATAACTACCAAGGGACACTATCCACATTCATCCCATGCTCCTATCGTGTCTCTTCCATATGCAGATGAAGTTTCAAAGAAAAGTTTCTGAATTGGTGTGTTACTATCGAATAAAGAGAAATATATGGACACAAGAGCCATGTCACAGAAGATGTAAGTTTTGACTTTTAACTGGACACTAGTAGCAACATAACCTGAACTATCAGTAATTTATCTGTTGAGAATAACCAGCATAAAACAAACAATAATGATAGTAAAATAGAACATTTTTGAAATAACACAATAGAAAATATTGAAATATTGTAGGTAGTTTAGAGTTGAAACATCAACTTGTAAAATTCTACTAATGCCACTTCAAACTGGAATTCAATTTCATAGAAATCAGAGAAATCAATAAAGCACAAACTAATTTATTCTACTAATGCCACTTCGAACTTCTTGAATTCAAGCAAAAATCATCTTTCGTTTCAGTCCAAGAAGACCGTAATCAGAATCTATTACTAGTTTGCTCAAACTTCAGATATCTTAACCACACGAGAGTTTGTTATAAATTATACATTCTACAAATGATGAAACCCATTTCATCATCATCCTCCTCCATAAAACAAACAGCATAAATAAATAATAATAAAAAAAACAACTTTAAATATGCTAGAGAACCTATTGTTGAATAATTTTCAATTAAAAGTAGAACTGCATTTCTAGTGGCAACTTGATCAAGACTTAAAAATTGAAAAATACAAACAAAAAAGACCAATTTTTTTCCTTTTTCTTCTCAAATTACCTTTGCCACCTCCCATAAATTGATGAAGTGAGACTTGCCGACCAAACAATCGATACCCAGATGTTAATGCTGAAGAACAACAACTAGCAGAAGAAGCTGCAGCGTCATTTCTTGTCTCTCCTCCATTGACGTCCTCTCTATTTACAGAATCACCTGAATTCTCCATTACTGGCCAAATAAAAACAATTCCGATTGGCAATTTGCTTCCACGAAGAAATGGATGATCGGAAGCAAATTCAAATCTTTTTGAAATACTGATCTCAGGAATCTCAAAAAATCTTACCTTTCCGTTACAGGAGAGTATGGATCTAAATTTAAGAACGAGGGTCTATTTTGACGTTGCGTTTTAGGAATGTCTACTTCATGGTTCTAGAGAAGTGCAAAGAAGACGACAAGTGAAGGTAAGTCAGAGAGGGTGGCGATTACCTACTTCTCTTCCCCAATTACGCCGTAGCCCCATTGAATTATTATATTTATAATTATTAAAGATAATAAATAATTAGCTTAGCTACTTTATTATTCTATTTATAATTATCTAAACGCTTACGTAATTAAAAAAGTTAATTAATATTTTTTATTTATTTATTAACATATTGAAATCATATTGATTATTTAAACGCTTACCTTCTTTTCCCCATTAGACAACTGTTGAAATGACTGAAAATAGTCTCAAATAAGACAAAGTTTTGGTTGTTTGCCATGAAGATGGTGATATTCTCACAATAAAGCACTACACTTTCATCTCTCAAGATTCGAAAATCTTTGTTAAACTTTCTAATATGGCTTCCTGTTCATCATCATCTAATTCTTCTCTTCGAGTGGAAGAAAAATATGAAGTATTTCTTAGTTTCACAGGAAGTGAGGACTCCTGCATTAACTTTACAAGTCATCTTTATACTGTTCTGTCCCAGAAGCAACTCAAGACCTTCATGGCTGATTCACTTAATAGAGGGGATGAATTATGGCTTGCAGTTACAGAAGTGATAGAAGAATCAAAGCTAGCATTGATAATCTTTTCTAAGGACTATGCCCCATCAAGCTTGTGCTTGGATTTACTTGTAAAGATTCTTGATTGCAAGAGAGGAAAAGGGCTGATTGTTTTACCTGTTTTCAACCATGTAGATCCATTAGATGTTGGGAAGCTGAGTGGGGATTTTGGGGAGGCAATTTTCAACCTTGAAGAACAATTTAAGGAGGAGATGAACAGAGTGTATGGGTGGAGGGCTGCTCTGGAAAAAGTTGCCTATCTTTCTGGTTGGGTTTTTTTAGCTACCCGGCAATAACTGTCTTTCTCTTCTGTTTCAATTGTTAATATGTGGGAGAAGGAAGGGTTTGCTTCAAACATTTAAGCAGTAAGCATGTGGAATTGTTTTGCCATCTTTTGTTTGTGATCTTAGGACATGTGATGATGTATCATAAATTAATGAAATCGAAAGTTATTTTGGTCCTGTAAGTTGAGAACTTTGTCCGGAAAATGGGAAACAAATGTGATATTTGGGAAGCTTTTGGACTTATTTTCTCTACTGAAAGTGTAGGTACTAAAAATTTAAAATATGAAGACATGTGTGGATGAAGTATTACTTTCGAAGAGAAACAAAAAGGGAGTCACATTCAATTATGCTCTGAAATTATTGTGTTATTGTGAGAGCAATGGGAAATTTGCATAATGCTGGTTTGAGATTTAGCTGGTGGAAACTAACAAAGATTCTAAAGCTGTTTGTAATAAGTTCTTGCTGAATGAGACAGCAAAGGAGAGAGGTTTTGTTCTCTAATTGTTTATTTAACTAATTAACTTATGAGAAAACAAAACAAATTTTTAGAAGAACTTGTTTGTCTTTCTAACTTCTATTGGTGTTTTTAATAACGGCTAGCTAGTTTAGCTTTATGTTTTGTCACCAAGGAAGTAAATTTCACAAGTATATTACATGTGGATGAAAAAGGAAGTATTTTGTGTCTTAAAAAGGACAAAATAAATGTAACCATATCACTGATGTATATTCCACTTATTACTGCTGATGGAAGTCCACAGTCATGTGTGTATTTTATTATCTGCATCAGGTTTCAGTTGGCCTCTCACACTCTCTTTGCTCTTCGTATTTTGCAGGATCAAATTGAAATTTATTGACGAAGTTGTTCGGGATATTTTAGTGAAACTGAATTGTCTACATCATAATGAAATTCAGGGTTTAGTTGGCATCCAATCACGTTTAGCAGAGATTCAAGAGTTGCTATGTACTGGATTGACTGATGTTCTCATTATTGGAATATGGGGAATGGGTGGTATAGGTAAGACAACCATCGCTGCTGCTATTTTTAAAGAAAAGTCTTGTCAATTTGAATCATCTTGTTTTGTTGCAGATGTGTGGGAAGGGTCGGAGAAACATGGTCTGACTCATTTACGAAAGAAACTCCTCGGTGAACTGTTGGGGAAAGAAAATAGATACTCATACACAAATTTATCATGTGTCAGGAACCAGACTTGAACTGGTGACACGAGATTTTGGATTCACTTTTATAAGGCACAGACTTCAAAGTAAGAAGGTTCAATTAGTCATTGATGATGTGAATAGTTTACAGCATATAGAAGTTTTAGTTGGAAAGCAATGTTGGTTTGGCTTAGGAAGTAGAATTATCATAACATCACGAGACAATCATGTACTAAAGAACGCAGTTGATGAAACATATGAGGTTAAGGAATTAAATTATGATGATGCTCTTCAACTTTTTGTTATGAGTGCATTTAAGTGAGACCTTCCCAAAAAAGATTATTTGGATCTATCAACTGAAGTGGTACATCATGTTAAAGGCGATCCATTTGCTCTTAAAGTCTTGGGCTCCTCTTTATTTGGCAAGACAAAGCCAGAATGGAAAAGTGCCTTGAATAAGCTTAAAGAAGTTCCTAATGAAGAAATTCTAAATGTGTTGAAGATTTAGTTATGATGGACTGGAAAATGAAGAGAAAGACATATTTCTTGATATTGCCTGTTTCTTTAAAGGCAAGGAAATTGATCTTGTGAAAAGAGTACTTGATGGCTGTGGTTTTTTTTACAGATATTGGGTTAAGCATTCTCAGGGATAAGTGCCCCGTTACAATTTTTGACAACAAAGTACAGATGCATGGTTTATTGCAATAAATGGGTTGGGAAATTGTTTGTAGAGAACATAGCAAAGAGCCTGGAAAACGCAGCAGATTGTGGATAGCCAAGGATATAAACTATGTACTAATAAAAAACACGGTGAGAGCTTAACGTGTTAACTATCCTTTTCTTAGGTGACAGTGAAAGCTTGTGCAATATAGTTTTTTATTGGGAAGAGCTGTAATTGTGACTACACCTACGTAATTGTGTTTCTTATTGTCCTTTCGTTTTGGTTTCTAGGGGGCTAGAAGCATTGAAACCATGTCCTTAAACATCTCTAGAACAGGAGAGATCCAAGTAAATTTTGAAGCATTCAAAGCAATGAGTAATCTTAGATTGCTCGGATTCTATACTTCAGAATTTGGAAACTACAAACTGCAACTTCCTCATGGTCTCATATCTCTTCCTGGTAAGTTAAGTTATCTACGTTGGCAAGGATATCCTCTGAAATCTTTGCCATCTAATTTTCTTCCGCAGAATCTTGTGGAACTTGTCCTGACTGATAGTAAGGTTGAAGAACTTTGGTCTGGAGTCCAGGCATGATTAATATCTGAATTGTTAAAGGTTACAGCTACAGCTCCATTGAAGTAAAATCGATTCAAGTGTTGCTGACAGATTTTGGATTTATTTTGCTGATGAAGATAGTGTAGCTGATTGGAGATTATTTTGATGAAGTCATTTAGATTTTGTTGTACTTTGTTATCTTTTAATCTCCATCTCTTGTGTTAGTTGAAGTCAAGTAGCAGTAGTTGAAAAATCTATGATGTACCTTGCTTTAAGCTTTAGTTTGGAAGACAAACTTCCTTGATTTATGGAGGTTTGATGAACAAACTTTAGAATAGCTCTTGTATAAATACTTTCACTCTGCTATAATATAGATTATATCTTTTCTCTCCACACTTACATAATTCTCTGCAGAATTTTCCTTCTCTTTCTTAATTCTCTGTTCTTCTAAACCAACATGAATGCATGTATCCTTCGTTTCTGTGACCATCTAATTGCAGTTCCAGACCTCTCACTGCCCACAAATCTTGAGGAAATAGATATTGCGCACTGTATTAGTTTGGTGGAGGTTTTCTCATCAATTCGATATCGTAACAAGCTTAACTATTTGAATTTGAGATCCTGCAAAAGCCTTAGGGATGATTTCTTTATGGAAATCTCTTCAATCTCTGTCTCTCTATGGTTGCTCAAAAGTCACCAGATTTCCATAGATTTCAGGGAACATAAAGAAGTTGGACTTAAGTGGGACTGCAATAAAGGAAGTTCCCAGCTCAATTGGATGTCTCTCTGGGCTCGTTGACTTGGCATTGAGAAACTGTACAAAACTTGAGAGTCTCCCTAGCAGTATTTTTCAGTTGAAACTTTTCGAAATACTTTATGTAAATGGAACAAGCATAAAAGGATTACCCTCTCAAATTGAAAATCTACAAAGACTTACTGAGTTGACATTGAGTAACTGCAAATACCCTGAGAAATTGCCAGAGAACGTTGGATGTCTAACTTCTTTGTGGAAACTAGTCCTCAGTGGTTGCAATCTGTCAGACATACCAGATAGCATCAGTTGCTTATCCTCAGTGAAAGAATTAGATCTAAGTGAAAACAATTTTGATATCCTACCTGCAGGCATCAGTGAACTTACAAGGTTGCTTTACCTTGGCTTAAAATATTGCAAGAGGTTCCAATCACTGCCACAGCTTCCACCACGTCTAATATTACTAGATGCACATGAATGCACTTCGCTGGAAACAGTATCTAGCTTATTTACCAGACTCAAGAAGTACAATTTTGAGTTCATTTTTACTAATTGCTTCGAGTTGGATCGGGATACATGGAGGAATTTCCTACTATATGCTCAGGTCTCTCTCTCTCTTGTTGTAGTTGTTTTTATGCCTCTGTCATGTTCAAATTGTGTTCATCTTACAGGTTTCTTTTTTACGAGGACGATACACTTACAGTTGTCACTTCCCTGGAAAAACAATTCCAAAGTGGTTTGTCAATCAAAGCAGGGGATCTGCACTAACAATTCATCAGCCTACACATTGGTTTAATTGCAAGTTCTTGGGTTTCAGCTTCTGCGTCGTTGTTAAGTTCAAGGACTATTTTGATGATGGTGGTTTCGAGGTGATACGCAGTTACCATTTCAAAGATAACTATTGTAAGCACTTCCATTTCAGATCCTCTTTTGGTGGCTGGGATAGCGAGGAAAGCCGTCCAAGATCAGTTACATCAGATCATGTGCTTCTGGGATTTGATCCATCTTTATATGCTGAAAGATACGATATTTTAAGTGAACATTATTACAATGAGGTTTCTATTG